TAGGAAGCCAGGAAATCTTGGATGTACTTTTAGTGGCCTGATAATTCATTAATATTATGCAGTTAAGCTCAGGCTTATTATTCAAAACAGGTGTATGGATATAATGCTGCTATCCTTCTGATAAACCATTTCAACAAGGCAATTGATAAGATAACCAAACATCACATAGGTGAATATTTTTTGAAATGATTTCATCCATTACACAATTAGAAGAACCGCAAAATTGATTGTTGATGCCTTCGGCCAGTTTATTTGTTTTACTGCGGTGGTTCAATTTACGGAGACATTCCTTATCATTTGACATATGAAATCATATCAGTTACTGATACATATACTGCTATCGATCGTTTTGAACAGTAGTCCTGAAGTTGACAGCCACATAACAGACCGATAAACAAAACAGACATACAATACAAGAATGCTTTCTTGTGTATACTGTCAATACTTCATCTAATTAATAGATTTCTATTATCAATATCATTTGGCATCACAATGACTCAATCAGTTCATTTTTTTTCACTCTCTTGGCGAGATGTTCTCTCTTCTTATCACTATTTCTGTCACACGTAATGTCTATCAACTACATTTCATAGTCTCTTCCTTCTCTTTTTCTTTCCATTGAAATCATTTTACCTTCATTTTGAATTATCAACTTCTGCCCGGAACTAATTTCATCATTTCAAACTGCTTCTCTCTAATACCTTCAATAGCCGATGTTTACTTCAACTTCACTTCTCAATCTATATGCTTCAGTTTTTGAACTAGATTCCTGAACTTATATGTTCTAGAATTCTGATTTATAGATTTTTTTTAACGTCTACGACGAAATAACTTTTCTAAGGGAGACAGAGTTTAGTTATAGCTATATTTTAATATGCCAAGTCTATATCAATGGTCAGCCTGTTTTCGGGGAAGTATATTGGTTGCTTTGTTACTGATCTGTAATCTGCTTGGCTGCTTTATTCTCGTATTCTTAATGGAATTAAGCAAAAGCATGTGGATAATGTAAAATTTTCTCCTTTTTTAGTTGTTATTGTCAAGCATTTTTCGCGAATTATATCAAAAAGCTGAATTATAACGACGAAATATCATTATAAATTTTACGATGCTACCGCAGCCGAACACATTTTAATTGGGAATTTGTAATATTCATCGAAACAAGCGTAACAATTCACTGTAATAGTATTCTTTTTTTATTTTTAACAAAATCCATTTCATTCAGCGTGAATATTCTCAATTGATTATTTTCGAATTCATCTCTAAACAAAGAATTTTATTGTCGCTGAAAAATAAAAAAAATTCAGCATGTATAAAAGCGTAGATGGATTACAATTACTGGAAAAGTCAAGGTCGTAAAGCGGAAGAGCTTGTGGAATCTAACGAACCGACAGGTGTTTTTGAGTTCACTCCACAATATCATCATTTGTCCAGGTAAAAAAAAACCTAGGAGGATTGTCAAATCTGCGAAATTTTAAGACTTAGATCTATTAACTAATTCATCTGTTTTTGATGTACAGTAATTGTTAGGATACAGAATTTTTAAAAAAAAGTGAGGTCTGGTGAAATATGAAGCAAAATGTCTGATAGTTTGGGAAACCTGTTGATGAGCTAGTTTTACGGGACAGACACCGTCTTTAATAAAGATTTAATGATGTATCTGTCTCTTTCGGTGAAATTCAGGTAATTAAAGAAGAGGAATGGAAGAAAAGAAGGAAAAGGGTAGGAAAGTAATCTCAACTGGCTGATGAAAGGATGCTGCTGTAGCGTCCTTTTATCAGTACATTCAGTATGCTGTGACGAGAATTTTTTTGTTAAAATTTCGTGCATCTCAAAGTTTGTCCAATTTGCAATGGTTCTTACTATATCAATATATTCATATCATTACTTTCCTTTCATTTGCATCGAAGGAGTGCTCATGCATTATTTTTCGATAGGCAAGTCTTTTATGTTGCATTCTGATAACTCCTAACAACGAAAACATAAATAAGTAAATAAATAAGAACAATCGTTAGGATGATTATAAGTCGATCTCATTATGAATTCCTGAATGATTTAATCATTGCAAAATACAAATACTAAGCAATCTATTCCAAACTATTTTTTATCATTACAATTCATCGCCTAAATTATTTCTTAGAATAAAATGAGAGGCTTTGTATGCTTTGTAATAAGTTTATTGCGGAATCAAAAAAGATTTTTTAATACTCCTTACTGAGAATATTATAAATAACTTAGTTAAAGGTGAATCGGAAAGATTAGCAGAAGTTTGATAGTTGGAAACTTTTAAAAGATGATGCTACACTGCAAGAACAAAATTCAATGTCAGGTTTTCCAGTTTGTTCCTTTAAAAAACCAAATATTAGAATTAGTTGTGTCTGTCTACTGATCTTTTCAACTTTCACCTATCCCAAACTGGCACTTTCTGCCAAAATTAACTAATGTAATGCTCTCCAATTGGATGATCTCTGCAGAGATGTGAAGTCAGGAAGAAAATTACTCTCATTTTTAGCAGTATTGGGCCAAAACCACAATAACTCTTTTACAAAATGGAAATTTATAAATGCACGGTACGGTAGCGACGGTGTTTTAAGATTATTTTAAAACGATGCGAACATTTTATTACGGTGTGCAAGCTAATAAAACCACTACATAATTTATATAAATAGATGAGTTAAGTGTGAGCAATAAAGATTATGGTTCATGCCCATGCTCATTCCATACTTTTTGTAAAGTCCTAATTGCTCCTTCTTTCATCTGAAATGTATTTGATTGTCTGTGCGTTATGTATATTTACGGACCGCTGAAGCCAGAAGTATTACCGGTATATTCAGTTTGATTGCTTTGAATAAAACAGGTTTTCATGGTGAGGAGAGAAATTTATCAAGCTAATAAAACTGATGACCAGAATGGACTTTTCATCTTACACATTTTCAATTATGAGCTAAGGGCATAAAACAGCTTCCATTAAAGCGAACATAACAGAAGAAAAATAATATTAGTTATCATTTGTAAATCTAATCACATAGTTAAAATCAAAGTTGATATTAATGTTATATCACAGAAAGAATTGAGCAATCGCTTGGGAGATCTCCCATAATTGTTTGACAGTAATCGCAATGTAATCTGTTAATGCTAAATTCATTCAACAATTTAACAATCTCTCGACACTTCCCATTAAACAGTTGTTTGAATTTTAAATAAACGATTTTGAAAGTATGGTAAGTTGCACGCTGTTATTTTGTGGTAAATCAAGGATTTGATATATGCACTAATCTCAGAAATTCATATAGCTTGCATCATTCTGCATGTGTCATCTAGGGATACAAAAATTCGGCATGTGTCATCTAGGAATACAAGAAAGATAGGCATCGTTCTGGAATACAATTATTATTCCAAAAAACACTAAAATGTGTGCATACCAACAAAATTATGAGGCAATAATAATGCATTAGTAGCAAATTAAAATTGATTGACACTATCAATATGAGCTACATGGTAGCTTAATGGACCAGTAACATCGATCAGGCTGATACTTCCTTCCAAACTCAACTTTAACAGTATTATTTGATGGGTATATTGAAAAGTGGGGTTGGTTGCTGATTATCGAATAATGATTTCTTTGTGCAAGTACATGTAGATATTATATAGGTTTGATTATTTATTGATCGTTCAATATTCAAAATTTTTTTCTGCTAATGCTTTGTTTTTCTGCATTTTCAACTTTGGTTCAGATCATTAGCTAATATGAACAAGGTTGTGATTTCTCGATTCATCAAAGTTTCTAAGTGCTTTCTACTTCGATACTACTCAACCATTATTGCTTCCACATTGCGGTACGATATTTAGTCAGATTCCTGGACATTTGAAAGAAACTGTTGAAGGTTAAATGGAATCTCCTGTACACTCGTTGTTTCGAAGACTAATGAATACATTTTCCTAAAAGCTTTTTCACGTGAAATGTAGAGTAATCATATTCTGTTAGATTTGCGAATAGTCACTTCAAGCGTCAACTATCGAGGAGTGGTGGGTCATCTGCTTTTCCACCTACTCTTACCCTCTTTCTCTCGTTTACATCTACAAATTGTAGAGAGGGTTTTTGAAAAAAAAATTCTCGCTTTTCAATCATTATCTGGCAAATGACATTTTATGCACTGCAGCAATATGGTTTTATCATTTCACATTATTGATAGTTAATTGAATAGCTGTATATGAGAGATGTCACTCTAAGCGATAAATATGCAATGACACTTATCTGATATTGGTCCCTCAGTGACTGTTCTTTAATCTGAACCGATAACTTTTCTGAAATAACAATGCATGAATAATTATGATAAAATATCAACTAATTTATTTTTCGAAAATTTAGGCCTATTTAGTTTTCACTCTTTTCTCACATGTATAATTAAATTCTTTTCATTTGTTTCCTTCCAAAATTAGTGTTGCAATTGCAAATCTTATTTATATTTGTGGTGTCAATTTTGCATTGTTAGAACTTCTTAATTTAAAGAAAGTCTATTCCAAAGCCTATCTTAATATCATATATTATCTCAATTATTAAGCAAGTAATAGCTTAAACTTGGACAATTTCAAGGTCATTTTTATTAGTGTAAGGCATAGCATGACCAAAATCTTCTCTGAGGGAATAACCCGAAGATTATGTTTCCTCACTGCTTATGTGATAAAGTAATTCAAAATAAATTGGTCGTTAAAGAAGCACTTCATTTGAATAAAGTAAAAAATTTCATATGGAATGAGCGAAAAAAAAATTACCGATTCAATAAGTTGACGGAAGTTTGTTCAAGATTACGTGTACATGTACGTGTTTATGTACGTGTATGTATCTATGTGTATGTGTGTGTGTTTGTGTATGTGTGTGTGTGTGTGTGTGTGTGTGTGTGTGTGTGTGTGATTTAGGTACGTTAGAGTGCAAAACCGCAAAAAAAAATACCCAATTTTCTTTCATTTTTGATTGAAAAAAGTTAAAGTTTCTGCTCTGCAGAATGCCGATAATCAGAGAAATGATGATCGGAGCCAGTACAGCTAGTGCACATTCCTTATATGATACCAAGGACAAGCCTGCTGGTACTATTTCACTTTTATTTATTTGAGTATATTATTCATTCTTTTTTGTTAAACTAAATTCTATATAATTTTCATAAAAGAACATGTAATTGTAAACGTCACTGTAGATAACAATGCAGTGTGCGCAGTATGCGGTGATGGCCATGCTAAGCTGCACTATCGTATCTTGGCTTGTTACGGATGCAAAGGATTCTTTCGACGAACGATCACTGGAAAATATCAATATGTATGCAGATTCGGCAATAAGTGCATCGTTGATAAATGTGAATTATTGTACGATCAGAAAAAAAATTTAGCTATATGGGAGCATAGGAGGATACCATATCATACTATACCATAGATGTAAATATGCGATTTTCGTTACTCTCAGACGTTATTCGAAAAAAAAATGTTTTGGTATGTAGTTCTAAACAAAGTTAGAAATGATACAGCAAGAACACTTCTAAGAATGATGGAAGAAAAATATGGCAAAATCAAATGTTCATGAGAGATTGCATATAGAATAGAATAAATTGTCAAGTAAGATAGCAAACTTGAATTTTTTATAGAAAACCCATGTAGTGCTAATTTAGCATGCGGTTGTACAGCAGTGGAAAGTCCACTACTCTAAATGATTGAATAATCCTGACGGAATTTCATGAAATATGTCCCTACATGTAATAGGGCAAATCTGCTGTCAAACTTCTTTAATCAACGCCTTTTTAAGGAGTCTGCAATAGAAAAACAATTTCATGGTATCTTTAAGTACTGACATTGCAAGAAATTCCAAAATTATTTACTTAGTCAGATGTATGAAGTTCAACATTTTGACAGCAATAAAACGCAGAAAGATAATCTGCATAATTTGAATTTGCAATATTACCATACAGATCTTAAAAGGTTATTTAGATCAAAGAAATAGTTGTCGATATTGTCGTTTTCAGCGGTGCTTGGAAGTTGGAATGGATCCTAAAGGTATTCTTGCATAAAATAATCTTTGCAATGCAGATGTTTTTCAATATTAATTTTAGACACAGTTTATGTCGAATCTTTTGATTTACAGCTAATTATAGTATAGGTGGCATTCTATGATGTTGAAAAATTGACAAAAACTTATAACTCGCTGCAGTCATTTGTGAAAAATATTCCTGTAAATTAGGTCCTTACCTGCACTAAAGCGATGTTATAGCAGTGAAACCAGATCGTGATTTAACTGGTAGACAACGAGTTCCACGTTTGCGGAAAAGACAGATTGATGAAGAATTCTTAAACCACATGGTACGTAGTGTTTTCCCTTTTCATTCTTTCAGATGTTATTGCCGTCCATTCATTATTCATTTCATTCAAGTTGTAATTTCGCATCTTCTATCTATCAGAAAAGCGTATTGTGATTTATCTCGAAATGATCTGGGATAAACTTATGTGATCGGTTACACGCTTTCTTTCATATCTTACCCTCTTAAGTTAATTTTCGTACTATCTGACTTTTCACCAGTGAAAACTTCCTGATGAAAAATATGTTTGAAAATGTACTTCTTTGTAGTGAAAATCTATGTTGTGATGGAATCATTTTGAAAATATCCTTTCCAAAGCTTTTTGTTGTGTTGGCAAACCATGCAAAATAAGCTGCTTAATTTTTCCCGGGTCCATCGAGTATGCTTTAACTTTGAAGCACATCTTTTAGCGTAACTCCGGCAGCAATTTTTTTCAATTGCGATTACAAGATGATAATTGGTTACGAAAACTACCGGTGGAATCACGTGTGTTGCTAATACAGTTGATGAATATTGAGTCGAAAATTGTTAAAGGAGATGAAACATCATTCACAAGGAATGGCAACAGGGACTTATCCAAGACGGTCTCTATTCTGGAACTTTTTGAACAGAGGCCAATTTTGGATGGCCGATCAACTAAGGTATCACATATTTTTACTCTTTAGCTATTCATACATAATGCTGCTGAATGAAACAAACATTTGCTACAAGTTTGCTCCTTTCTCTTCCTTCATGTTTAAAGGGCGATGATATATTATATTTTCGTACTGAAATTTTAGTTTCACATTTATTGTTACTGAAGTGGATATTTGTAACTATAAGGATTAATGGGAGCATTGAACTGAAGTGAAGCTTGCTACAGATTCGATACGAACCATATCGGATGGCCCAACTTACTGAATTACCTCAGATTGCTCATCGCATGGCGATGGCTGCCGTCGATTGGGTCGATTCATTGGCCGAACTAGCTCATATTACTGATATTGAAGACAGGGTACATAACAATATGAATTGCTTCTTCTAATTAGGGGGATGTTACCACCCGTTACAAGTCCAATTTTAAGAACTAAAACTGTGCATGAAAAGATTTCATCTAATTTCATCTTGTTATTAAAGTAATGAAGAATATTGTTTTAGCTGTTAATAAAGTTACAGAATTTTTGCCATATCAATATCTAAAGTAACGGCCTTTATTTTTTGCAGGTTGCTCTCGTAAAATCATGCTATTCATCTCTAACTATATTCAATTTTTCAACGAGAACCGCTCAAAACGCTAATAATCCCGATATACTATGTCTATGCAGTTTTTCATATGTGCCCAGGAAACTTCCGCTCAAATTCACCCGAACAAAGTGACGTATCCACTAATTGTCAAATCATTAAAAATTTCCTTGTTCTCTTTTTAACTGTCGCTTGTTCTTATTTTGCAGAAGATGGCACGAAATAATGCATTGTGAGTTATCAATTATATAAAATCGTTTCAGTCAACTATCTGACGATCTAGTCAATAGAACGTTAAACGAATTGGTAGTCCCGCTGAGGAAGCTAAAATTGAAGGAAGAAGAAGCTGTACTACTCAAAGCAGTCATAATTTTAAATCCAAGTATTTTTTTGATATAATTTATTGTGTACTATAGCGCTACTGTTCTTGGGAGTTTTCGATATTTTGATGACATAAAAGGCTTGTAGATGCGAAAGGTTTGTCAGTATCCGCTCAACAAGTTGTATCGGATCTACGGGATCGTGTCCAAGAAGTACTATTCGAAGTTATTAAAGAATTATATCCTACCTACACTGCCACTGCACGATTTGGCAACCTCCTTTTGTTACTACCTACAATTATGGTACGAATACTTCTTTACGAATGATATATTTTTTTGAACAAATAGTTCAAACTGTTTGTTTTTATTGTCATAAAATCAAATAAGGAGTAGGTGCACTTTAATTTTTTTTTTTTGCAAACTTTCTTGAGAATGCTCCTGTTTTGAAAACAGTTGGAATACAATCCTGAAGATTATTAAATAATGTTTGCAGACGTTATCTGGGACAATGAATGAGAATTTGCAATTTGTGCAAGCTCTAGCTAGAGATCAGAAAGAGGATAATTTATTACACGAAATGTTTGCTGAGATGTATGGCAAGCTAGATGACCCAATAACTTCGACATCCTCACCACCAATACTTGAAAATCCGGCAGAAATATCATTAAAAGTTAATCTTCATCCGATTATAGTTGCTGCAATGAAACAAACCATATTATTGTATTGGAGTGATGAAAACTATATTGCATATTTATTATTTGTTCCAGTATGACAGCTCATCAAATCCATCAATAATAATAAACTCCAGTATAGTCAATGAAGGGAAATTCAGAATGGATTCGAGTACACAAACCTATCCGGATGACAGTCTTAAAGGATCATTATCGAGCAGCAGCTTATGCAAATCACTTACTCCTCCTAGTCATGTAAAAAATTTCTTTACATTGCTTCACTATGTAGTAACTACCCCGTATTGCAAGACAATAATTGCGCTGAGTTTAGATATCTCATCCTATAATTCGCTTCAGTTAATTTGAAAAGACATACATGTTGCATAGGAAGGGAACAACCTTTACAAAGTCTAATCAGGTGCGATAGTTGAGAAAAATCATGTACAATTGAGAAAAATCATGTGCAACGTAGTTGAGGAAAATACGGCCCCTCGAAAGTTACTGCTATTTGAATGTAGCCACATTTTCTCATCTTTGAAATAAAATTTCTATCATTTTCTATCACAGCAGACAAATGAAACTTCTGTGATCAAAAAAAATTACAGATCAACTTCAGTCCACTTCATTCTCTCCTGGATGATGACCGAACGAATTATTCACTTGGTCCGGATTACAGTGAGATTCATAATGACTGCGGTGATTTATTCTTCCTAATGGACGACATTAAATGATCATGGACACTCAATCCATTGTACAGTGTACCTGCTAGTTGTATAACATTTTTCCAATGCCTTTAGTATTGTGATAATGTTTTTATCGCTGTTCGAACTTTCACTTAAATTCGTTCAGTCACACCATGCCACCTACTCGGATGTACTAGAAGATTTGTATTTTGAACCAACATATTGTAATTATAATCCATATCATCAATATTAAGACTAACTTCAGTTAAATAAAAACTCTTTAGATCTAAAAATATCTTCATCTTTTAGCCAAAGAAATAGTCTTTCATCTCTTAGTCAAAGAAATAATGCTATTCAGTTTATTATAAAAAAGTATATGAGCATTAGAGTGACAACTCGGCGTCCATTGCGAGAATCCTTCCTATCCTGTCCCTCTCCTCCAACAATCCTATGTAATTAATCTTGAGAACCTCCCTATTCCATTCCTCATATTACAGTTAGTAATTTAAGCTAGCTGAATTTCAAATCTCAAAGTTATATACTTAACCAGCTAGTCTATTTTTTCAATTCATACCAGTTAGTAGTGGCAGTTTCTCATAACTGAACAGAGTATTTATGTATCTTCTAATAAAAATCAGGTTGTCCACAAAGATGCACTACCGTTAATGTAGGGAAGTTTTTCTACATTGCACTGTGGCAACCGTTCCTCAGAAAGCTGCATCGTTACCCTAAATAAAATGAGGACGAAGACAGGAGAATCTTCCCGAAGGTCTCGTACTTCGCCTAATACCTTAATATCTTCCCTTCTGCTTGAATTAGATTCTGCTACCTCCTTGTTCTGCTACCGATTCTGCTACGGCTCTAATGTGAAGATTTTTATTGTGTTTGAATAAAACATTTAGATCTTGTTTGTTTGCTTGATACACAAAGCAAGCCTTCAAAAAAATGTCATGTAGTATAAACGTCTATTTAAAAATTCGTGATATTCTCAAATTTAAACAAATAAGTCAACTTTATAAAATAAAAACATATCTATTATCACAATTCGATATCAAAATAACTCGAAATTGAAATGTGAACTGAAATAGTAGATCTTAGAAATTAAACTGAGCAGCAGACATTAAAAATGTTAACAACTCAAGAGATTTCATTTCAGTCACATAGGAGAGTATTTAGATGCAAAACAACCAAACTGAAATAACGATGAAATTAATACTATATATGGACAGTAAAATAGACCTCTGCTAAAACATATAATGGACATTTAGAAAATTCAACTCAACTTACTGTGAAACAATCAAAACTCCTGCATTGTGAGACTTTGAATTGAAATTCTTCTGATTGTGAGAGGATCTAATTTTTCCGCCAACAACTATTGCTCATTTGGTATCTCCAGACAAAAAATAAACTTCGAGATTCTGACATGAAAATAACCAATTATTCTTGGACAAAGACGACCAATACTTGCCTGTCATTACAAATTCATAATTCAGCAATTAATGTATCCAGTTGTTCTTTACTCAATCGTTCAAATTTTCCAGTTAGTCGACCTGAAAATTCAACTTAAAGAATGAGGGAACATCTATTAATCATTTCGAGCAAGAAAAAGTTTATATGGAAAGGAAAAAAAGAAACCTTTGCTATCTTTCATCGGAGTTATTGCAACTATTTCAACATTGGAACTGGTAAGTTTCTCTTCCATTACTTGTTTCAAAATTGACAGCGCAATCTTTTCTGCCTCCACCAGTGATATGGACTTTAACAAACCAATCAAATCAATATGCTTCCAAAAATATTCAAGAAACAGCAATTAGAAGTCTTACACTCATTAAAGTGATTTTAATACAATCTTAATGTAAGAATGTATGAGTTGAAGATGTAAATGAACTGTTCAGAACAGACTTCACACTGCACAACGATGAACCTCAATATAATACCTCATGATACTGTTCTTTTAAACTTTGTTCTGCTCCATCTGAAGCAGCTCCAATTGACTTCGCCAAACAATCGATGAAGGTACCCGATGGATCCAAATGAAAACTAAAGTATAACAAGAACATTGTAGACATGATAAAGTTTGAATGAAGTCTCTGGTTACACCGTATGTTTTATTATAAACAGAACGGATGAATGGATAATCGCATGCTCATTAAAGTTTTATAAACAAAAATGAAAGAAAATTAAGCAGGACAGAAAAGAACGAAAACATACAGTCGTGGCCCATCTTGGTCAACTCCAGCGAAAAGCATAGCAACACCAAACGGTCTTGACATAGATGCCTGAAACATACTGTATCGTGAACTAACAGTGAACTACGTATTGGCCAAACGAAATTTTTTTGAGCGATTTTTTCTTTTTAGTTAAGTTAAAAATATCCTCAACGAACTAAAAAATGAAATGAGCACTGAATGCTGTATAAATTCTATCTCAAGTGTGCGCTATAATGATATAACAAATAAAGTATGGTAAAAGAGTGAAGAATTAGTAACCTAATGTCCACATGCGCGGTAGACATGTCTATACACGTCTATAGGAAGAGACAAACAAAAATGGTTCCTCACCAAACGATTTTAATAGACTCATAAAACAAAAATAAGTATACAGAAACAATGTGAAACAGGATAAAGGCAACCTTCGCATCATCATCACCAAACTGTAATGCCAGATTAGCAACTGACATCGTTACATCTTCAACTCGTATTTTACGATTGTATGTGAACCAGAAATTTTGGGCTTCGACCTGTGCTCGCTCCACTAATGTTCTCGAATCGGCAATGAGACCAGCAAATGTTACTGCTGAAAAGCATGCATGTGTATGAGTGCAGAACCATTTAAATCCAAGTTTTATTAAATTAATTGCTAACTTACCAACATGCGAATCGACTTTGGATATCTTTTCTGTGGCATCATTTACCATTAATTTTGATGTAGCACGCTTTTCTGCTGCCAAAATTACTCCTTCAATCGTGCGAATACCAATACTCGTCGAACCTAACTAAAAAGGATTTATTAAATGCAATAAAAATGAAGAAAGTAAAAACAGAACTTATATTTCGAATCATAACAAATCACCTTTACGGCTTCAATTGCATATTCAACTTGAAAAAGTCGACCTTCAGGCGAAAAAGTGTTGACACCACGGTCATATTCACTTCTAGTCAAAAACATCGCCTGCAAACAACACGCGGAAAAATTATCAACAAAATGTTTGAACATGAGCAGTAAGTGTAGTTTATAGACACAAACTATGAATGGCCGAATATTATAATTCGCATGGCACAAACACCATCAACCCTAATCAAGAAGCATTTCTTGCGTTTTTACGATGAAATATTACTATTGTTTGTAAGATAAAGGACATAACATGCTTAATGGACAATATTTAGCCCACAATAAGAGTTAGAGAAGTATATAAGTAATTAAATGCTTAAGTATCTACGAAGAAACTGGAAAAATGAATTTTTTTTTGCAATATTTTAAGTTCACAAACAATTTTCTTTGCTATAACTAAAACTTTTTGAGTTATCAGGTGTCAATCGTTTTTAGTAAAATAACATAGTAATGGAGAGTTATAAGTAAAGAAAGGCAGCGGTGATACTTGGATATTGAGGTATGGATGTATTTACTGGCTTGTCTCCATTTTCATAACCCAGGTGGCTATTCTCTACTCCTTATATTAAATCAATAAAAATCTTAATATTTCCTGAAAGCATGTTCCACATTCTATTCTATCTTCCTCTCAAATTGCAGAAAACTCTTCTCGAGACAGGTAAACAATCAACGTTAAACTTTCATGCAATTTGAAAGTTAAATTATGTAGCTGGTTCAAAAAATCATCAATACAAATAGGTGTGAAGTGAAGTAGAAGAGCTATTTCAGAGTAATGGCGCTAGTGCAGTGTTAGTGTTTGAATGATAGTTGTTCTTTTGTCATCTGTTCTTTCTAAACAAAACTCTTTATAATACAATGAACATTCAGGAACTGATATACAACTTAAAATACTTCGCAAATAACTTAAACACAGTTTTCAACTGACCATAACGAACAGAGCAATGGTAAAACACTTCAGCTTATTAACAACCTCAAGAAGATAATTTGGTTTTCATACTGCCCTACTGACGACCTCGTACTGTTCACTGAAATTAGTTTTTTATTGAACCTATCTACACTTCCTTTGGCTCGCTATGAAATATTCGTCCAAGCAAGCATTTCATGGTTATCGTCCATTCTTTTGGTTGGAAGGATGTGTTCACTTTCTAGCTGTGGTATGCAGTAAATATAAAGCTGTGCGAAAATGATTTGGTCAGAACACATCGTTGCTTGAAAAAAATTGGTATGAAAATGGATCAATGGATGTGTGAAAAGCTTGATATAAGGCAAAATAAGAATGGCTTTATCATTGGATGATGTGTTTTGGCCGTTTTCCTTCCCTGATGTTCCTTCAAATATCCGTTATGCTTTTCAGTTTAAAGTAATCATTATTATTATCATTATTATTACAGGCATCCAATGTTATGTCGTACAAATGGCAAAGAGAAGATTGGGGATGTGAATTAGGTGAAAATGAACGAATTATTGATTGGTCATTCTTAGCGGAATTGAATTTCACATTAGCTGCTTTACTGACTTCTAAAGGTAAGATAATGTTCATTTTAAATTTCTGACTGGCAATTTGGATCTCATTGATGATATCAACATTTAGAAATATATTAGGTAATTGTTATTGACTGAAGTTGGACTTATAAGAAGCTAGAATTCTTGTCAATGTTTTTAAATTGAAAATTTGTTTTGAAATCCAATAATTGAAATCCAATTTTTTAAATTAGGATGCGCATAGTAAGAAGTGGAAGCTTGTATATCTTCCGTAATTGTTTTCCAAATGAGAGTTAAGATATTTTGGGAGTCTCAAAATTGATTACTTTTGTGGGCTGAAGTGGAAACGTTATCTTCCTTGACAGTTAATGTTTCATTTATTTTATTAGATGTACTTCTGTGCACATCATTTTTTTTATTTAGGTGGAGTTCTAATTTATTCTAACGTTGGAAGCAGTGGCGTTAAACTCTGTGTTACTCATTTACGGAAATTTGCTCCAACTGTAAATGAGGCTGCTGCCGTATGTCTTCTTCCTGATGCAAGTGGTCTTGCATTTATTCTTTTAAAAGGGAGTGTTTTACTGGTACCACTGCGGTGCATTTTAGTAAGTTTTTGTTCTTTTAGTTAACATGGATGAAAACGGAGGTTGGAAGTTGTTCTGGTATTATTTATGCACATAGTGATTTCGAAGCCTTTACTTATTTTATGTCATATCTTTGAGGATGTGCCGTGGGGTAGATGTGATATTTTGGCCAATGATTCCATTTCAATTTTGGAAGTTAATGGTGTGGAGGAAGGATGCCTCTGTATACCAACATCTGCACTTTGTTACACTGCCCATCATTCAAATCGTCCTTACTTAATATATGCGAATAAGGTACTACTATTATATTTTTCTGAAAATCGTCGTTCACAATACAATGGTCGATTTTATATTCTTCATTTTATAGGGTGGACAACTATTCATTATTGATTTAACCATGATGGTAGTGTCCGTAATGTTAAGAGCACCAGCAAGCATTCACAGCATTTCTTTGTATGCAAGCAAAGGCGATGTTCATTTACTGGTTTGTTTTTGAGAAATAGAAATTTTCTATTACGAAGCATCAGACAGATTATTCACTTAAGGAATCTTTGTCATATTGGCAATAGTTTGTTTATCTGCAATAAATCTTTGAAGCTTATTTCAGGTAAGTGGTTTCACCAATGAACAGTGGATATTGCCACTGGAAACTGATGGACGTGGTTTGCGTGAAACATTAGGTCAGGTTATACCATGGGATCTAAGAGAGCAGTATCACAAAACATCTCAAATTAGTGTTGCTTTCGATGGGAATCTTGCCGCACTTAGCACTGAAGATTGTGTTGTCAAGGTAAGGTACGGCTGAATTTTTCAAAAATTGCTAGTGGTATCAGGTGCTTGGCTGTCTAACATCGTAAAATCCTAGTATATGACATATGGCAATATCATTTAAGCAAAGCTACTTATAATTTCATTAAGTTCTACGACGATACTGATATGAAAATAGCGAAAAATTCTATCTGCGTGCCTGAAAACACGTGGCAGGTGCATATTCTCCCACATGCGATTTTTGCTATTACTGATCAGGTTTCTGGTACTGGAGTTTCGGTCCACTTCGGCGTAAGTTTCCATTTATTGCATTAGTTTCTTGCTTTATATCTGAATAGTCCCATAATGTTATACTGACTTCAAAGGCTCTCTAATCATCAAAATAAAAGGTGCAGTGTGTCTTCTCGATTGTTATTGTTCAATTTTTAAATATATATTCCACTATATGATTTGTTTAGTTCTAAATCACTGTTTTAGGGTTTGTTTAGTGCTGCAAAGATTTTTTACGAAAAAATCCTTGATTTTTCAAATGAGAAAGTATTGGGTTTTGTACCGATCCTATGCGAAAATATTTTGCCTTCGTGTTTGCTTGTGACGGAACATGATGTTATCGTTTTATCTCCAAATAAGTTATTTCTTTGCTATTATATCTTCCAACAATTTGTATATATTCACTTTATGATCTTTCTAAACCTTGTGTTTATAGTTATGAACTTGCTGTTGCAATATTACAGAGCCCATGTGGAAATGATATGTTTAGGTCTTTACGCGAAGTTCTGGTTGATTATATCGCGAAACTCGACTACAGTTATAACGTTTGCACGTTGGTTGCTGAAAAATTTAGATTAAGTACCGCAGATATAGTTCAAGATGTCCTCGATGATACTTTCTCTACTGTTCAGAATTCTATAGACCGAGAAATCATTCTGGATAAATTAATTCGTCTTGCACTTGATTCATCTGTAAGTTCGTTATACGCACCTCTGCGATTTTTGATTTTAAATTTGCTTGAAAGTGATGTTTGTTTCTGGTCATTTTTTATTGCCATCTATGATTTTTTAATTTCGTATAATCCATTACTTATAAGTGTGGCCTTACTGATATCTGGTAACATATCTCTATTGGCCTATTGTTTTGAAAGTTGCGACTAGTCAGAATCATTGCATGTGTTTCTAAATTTGCCGATAATACTTGCTAAAAAAGTAATATCGAGATATAAAATATATAAGTTAAACACAAGTTTTTCGGTCAACGAGCCATTTTCCAAGGGGTTCTTACTTGGTGCTTTTTCAGATGGATCTTATCACTTTAATACAGTGGTGCACGAAGAATAACTCTGAATATGCCCTTGTGGAAGTGGTGAGAAACATATGTGCAGGAGATCCAAATGAAGAAGGTAGACATCACATGATCAACCTGTGCATGGCCCGTTATAAAGCTTGCCCTCAAGACAGAGATAAGATTGAAACCATTTTAAAGTAAGATCTTTGCTTTTGAAACCGCAATGTCTATTATTTTGTTGCAATATACCATTGATAAATTTCATCAAAATATATTGTTCATAGTGAGAGTGGAGACTACTGATTTTCGTATCTATTATAAATTTTTTGGAAAGACGAATTCCAGCGAATTTTTGGTGCGACATCCAGATGTTCATATTGGCATGGAGCAGTTGCTTGAAGCGGATTTTTGGACTAGTGTTGCTATAGTCGTTGATAATTCGTTAGATAAAGCTGAAACTGTCGGAAGATATCTAGCAAAGACCAAAAAGGATTGGCCAGTTGTTCATAGCTCATTTATTGTGAAGATTTTGTCATCTTTGTGTTGGAAATCATACAGCAAAGAGGATGGCGAAATACTTTTACGCCGAATGACGGAATTTGTACCTCATCTCAGATCTGTACCACATCTCACTACTTTTGCTAAGATTGGTGTAGAACAGGTGACGAGGTTTGCAATTTTTCGTTTGTGCGAGTTTTTCTGCATGATTATAAGATTCTATTCTATCTTGACAGGTTACAAATTTGATTTGAGCATTATCGTAGTCATATCTCTCTTGCAGTTACCAACACAGTGCAGCTGTTCTATACGTGTTATCCTCGTTGCATTTGATGCAAGCAACATACAATACTGTAAGTCGTTTAAATTTTTGGTAAGAAAAAAGTATTTTTCCTATTCTGAACCACTTCTATTTTTCATTAGTGAGTTTATTATATTTCCCAAATAATCCTTGAAAAAATTCTCTTCGTTTGGAATTGTTTCTTATATTAAACGATTTATTATTAGTTAAGTGAAATTTTAATGTTATGCCAACAAGTTGGTTGTTTTTTTTTACTAAAAAAGATATTGGAATATGAAAAGTTATGCGAGGGCAGATTAATTTGTATTGGAAGATCAACTATAGTAAATTAGCAACATTAACAGCAGGTGATAACTAATGTTTGTGTTGTAGTGTCTTCCTTCTGCAACGGATAGCATTATTTCAAGTGGATCGAACTTTACCGCTGTAGTGACTTCTGAAGAAGGTGTTGGTTATTGGGGAGAATTCTCCCCAGGACCATTAAAATCAAAAGAATGTGAAAAACCTCATAGGCAACGTGTATCTCGTTTATGTATGCTGAATATACCTGCTAGAATTTGTAGCGTTTCTTGCGGCACTGAGCATCTGCTTTGCTTAACTATACATGGGAAAGTCTATGCATTTGGTCGCAATAGGTTTGTTATATTGGCAGTTAAAATTTATGGATCGTTTAAAGAATAAAATTTTCATTTGCGAAGTTTGTTTTGCTGAATGAATGCATTTGCTTTTTGTCACATATCATTCTTAAGCTTATAACAAACTTTTGTTGGCTGTAACGAATCCTCTAATTTATAGATTTGGTCAGTGTGGCGTTGGTCATACAGATGAGGTCACAGCTGCCACAGAAATTATTGATAATTATGGGAGCGCCCGTACAGTATGTGCTGGACATTACCATTCAGCTCTAATCAATGAAAAGGGATGTGCTTTCACTTGGGGTTGGTCATTTTATGGACAGCTAGGAATTAATACTCGCTCTTCATTTGCAGACGAATTTGTGCCGAAACTAGTGAAGTCCTTGAAGTAAGTGTTTACTTTAAGAACCTGTGCTTGTTGTTCTGAAATTTGACAGATTATTTTTGCATGAATCCACTCTGTAAGTGTTGTAAAATCGCCTTTTTTAGTTTCAGTCTTATACCCCGAAAGATTGTTTTTCTGTTTTCAGTTTAGTGTTAAAAGAAATGAGGAAACTGATGAAATTAGGAAATTTTTATTTAAAAATATCAAAAAACTAATAGTATTTATTTCAGAGGGCGAGTTATTTCAGTTGCTTGTGGATATGCACATACATTGTTTTTGATGGAATCAGGCGTTATTTATTCTTGCGGTAACGGGTCATATGGACAGCTGGGTACTGGTGCTGAAATAAAAAAGCGTTTTAAGCCTGAGGCAGTTCCTGTGCCCGATAAAGTCAGTATGATTGCTTCGAAGTATTTCCATTGTTTAGCTGTATCCGAAGGGCAGAAAATTTATTGCTGGGGCGCTAATCCTCAAGCACTAAAGATGAAAATGTTTGTCAAACGAAGATTGCGCACAGAAGCAGATAAGAATACTTCAGTTACTGGAAAGACAAATGACAAACTGGTAATCAATAACGATCACTTAGCAGTCACTCAATTAGAACATATGGTTTGTCTTTTGCTAATGGTTAATGTTTACCTTTTTATGAATTATAGGTTCATAGTGCAGTTGAAAAAAGTTGAAAAAAGTTGCAGTTGAAAATTTCCCATAATTGCAGGTGCAAGGGAAAATAATACATATTGACGCAGGTTATAGTCATTCAGCTCTTGTAAACGAATGTAAAAATCTGTACACATGGGGTAAAAGTTTGGACATGCAACTGGGTCATGGTAACAAGAAAGAGCAGGAGGAACCTCATCAGTTGTTTGAACCAGCTGATGTAGCCTGGGATTTCGTTTCATGCGGTATGCGACATTTTCCTATAATATTTCTGAAGTTTTACGCTGTGAAAAGACATTTGATCCTTTTTTTGTAGGATACGATTTCACTACTGCAGTAACGTCCAAGGGCACTATTTACGTGTGGGGAAGAAATTATAAAGGCCATTTGGGTGTTGAATTAGGCGTTTCTTCATCAGTCAGTCGTAAAATTGTATTCAAAACAGTGAAAGGTCCTTCGAAAACAATTGAAGTGGCTGGTGACAGTCCTTGCATACCACGACCGACAAAGTTTCCATCTCTGGTTGCATTTACGCTTACAGGTATTTTTAGTTGTATTGGTTTCCTTGTTTCAATAATTCTTTCTCCATATTGAAGGAAGCATTTTCTTAGCGTTTATGTTAAAGTTTAAGGTGACTTATTCAAATTTCAGAAGTTTGCTTCGACGAAGTGAGGAAACGTAATTTCATTAATTTTGTGAAAAAAATGGACTCGAATACGATCTCATATATTTCTTCTCTGCTTCTTAGAAATCCAGTGTATTGTCTTCCTACTGTATATGTGCATTTATTGGCTGGCAATCTCATTCATGCTATTGAATTTCTTTTACAAATACCATCAAAAGAAATAGAGGAAGTAGCGGATAATAATAATGAGCAGGAAGGAAGCGAATTATTTGCGTTTATTGATATTGTCTGGGATTTGATGTGCAAACACCCAAATATCACGGTTCAGTCCAAAGCTGTATCGGATTTGCTGGGCACTTTCGCTATTGGTGATCGTGTTGTTAAGAGTAAGAAGATGAGCACTTTGGCTCCACTCCTCTTGATTTCGAAACCAGAAGCACTTTCTTCATTAAATTCATCTGAAACCCTGGAAATTCTAGAAAAATGGCAACCCGATCCATTTTTTCATGGCCTACAAATATCTCAAAATTCTGTTCAGGTTTGTCAACAAATTTTGTTACATGAAAAGTTTTTGATTTTCTCAATAAATTCGTATTTTCCTCATTTTTTATAGGTGTGACTATCACTGATTACTATATATTATTTCATTTTGTTCTCCTTTCCATGATCTTATTGTTTCCATTCTTTACTTACTACCCTTCTTGATAAGTTATTTTCAACAGCTACATATTTATGAGCTCATCGCGTGGTGGTGGAAATCAGATATTTATATAGATATTTAAAAAGATATTTAAAATCTTAAAAGAAAAATGAATAATGAAAATGTTGGATATTGCAGCGTAATGTGAGCTAGCATAGAATTCGGTGGTTTTTGTTTTATGCTTATGTACTGCATTTAAGATTTCTTTTAATTCGTTAAGGTAATTTAACAATATCTTGACGGATTACTGAACTGACTCTATGTTGTCTGCCAATTAAGCTGAAGAGTTCCGTGATATTTGTCGAATTGTATGTTCATAGTAAAAAACATCAGTTAGGTTATTTTATTAATTTTGGATTGGGTAGATCAGTTTTTAAAAGGTGAGTGGAGTGATAGTTATACATCACTTCATTGTTTGCTTCACTAGGCACAGTGTGAAATGTTTTAATAAAGAAGCGGTCTAAATCTACCGGTGAACATAATATTTTTAGTCCTTCACTTCAGCTACTGGAACTAATTACTTGTCAAAGAAGTTCTTTTTTTGGCGATATTTGCTTCACATGAAGGAGAAAAGTTTTTTTTGTTAGTGCCACATCAATTTTTGACCGATCCTTTTACTACCCAACCCGAAAGCATCCTTGCGTCCTCAGTTCTTTTTAGGGGCAAAAGAGATGCAGGAGTTCTGCTTTTTATAGTCCATTGTTTGAATTCGGTTTTCATTACTAATAATTTGCTATATAATATGATGCACATGTCAGAGATGAACATGTTTTTGCATGGTTTTTTAGAATTACTCGGGAAGAATCCGCTATTGGACTTGCTGTGGTGCTGTAGAAAAATGCCCCGTGACGGTTCGGAATAGTACAATTAACGATAAAAGACGAATTTGCCCAAAGTGCTGCGAAAAGTGGTCGTGTTCAGTACGAACAAAGTTTCTCAAGTACGAAAATGACGATAATGATTAGTGAGGACGTGATTCCCAAGATTACTCATGTAATGATGGAGGTGGACTTTGATGATAGAAAATATAGCAGTAAATGTTATAATGAAGTGGACGTAAAAGCAGTAAAAAAAACTTGTCTGCTTAGGAATCTGCTGAATGAAACTTAAATCATTGTTCCTAATGACTTGACTTTCATCCATCTGTTTTTCAGCACTAAAAATTCGTAACTAGTTTGAGTGGTTACCGCGATAAGTTTCAGATAAATAAGCGTATTTCTGTATATGTGCGGAGACTTATGTGAACTTGTTTCTGTTTCTTTCAAATTATTTGTTCAGTACATACCTGTGGGATAAACGGTCAAGTTCAATATCACTTCAGGTGTTGATAGAATTTTACTGGGGCAAGATTCATTGGTAATTAGAGACTAAATTATGTTTTTAATTAGAGAAAAAAAGTGACAAAATTAGAGACTTTGGTATTTAAGAAATGATGTATCGCAGAGAAGTTTCCAAAAAAATGCCTTATTCAAAGATACGAATTCTACTGTTTGATACTCTATCAAATCATAAACATGAATTTAGATTGAGGTGTAGAAAGAGGAAGAGAAGCTCTTTCATGGCTTATTTTCTTTTGTTGCTGTAGATCGAAGTGGGGCCTGATAATTGATTTTTAATTTGTGCATCTCCTGGTCAAATTTTGGAGGATATAATATATTAAAAATTGCTCCACAAATCTGACAAAATTTTAAACATTTTGTAATTGCTAAACCGTCGAATCCCACAAGTATCGTAAATGTAAAGTTTTCTTTGCAGTATTTATTATAAAACATTCATCAGCAATAAAATGACGATGTTAGAGTACAGCGGGGATTGTCGAAGAACAAGAAGTTAGTTGACAATGTAAGAACAAAGTATAACAACGATGACAGCTTGTAAATTGTGATATTCTGTGGGAAGAATTTTGTTGAACTGAATTGCTGTGCGTCATTTGTCAATATAAGACTCCATTTCGTTTCAAGAAAAAAATTGTGGAATCAGTAAAGCTAGGAGATCACTTGTTTTTCGAAGGTTGAATTTATACTACTGTTGACATCGAACTATTATCGCACATTACGAACGTAACCAACAGGTGGACATCATTGCTGCATCTTATTCCAGTAAAAAAAGAAACAATAGCGGTCTAATAGTTATCTTTGGCATAATTCACTATTTTATTGTATACAAAATAATACATGCAAGGCTAAATGACCTCAATAATCAAAAAATTTATGATTTGATCCATGAAGTACTCTTGAAATAAGCTTATAACTTTTGGATAGAAAAGCGCCATTCCTTTTATATCTTCCGGTACTTGCCATCATTACTTTTTAGTTGAGCATTGAACGAAAGTTAAACTAGTATAAAAATTAGTATGGAAGTTGTGATTTAACTGATTAACTACTGAAGTGTATGCTTTTTCGCTCCGGAATGCACTTCTGCGAGAAATGATCTCATAATTGAGATATCAATGGCTGCACCAAATAGAGTTTAAAAATTAGTATGGAAGTCTCGCTGCTTATCATTTTTCCGTATTGAACTTCTTAACATATAATCACATATATTTATCTGTTAGTATTTCTAAAAGCAGACTAAACCCTGAGCTTTCTTGGGAGCTCTAAAGCTGTTAATCTTTCGCTTCATGCCTGTCAAATTAGTATGTAAGATACTGTCGCTGTTTCATTATATATATTTCCACCTATCATACTATCATGATAGTATAATTTCGTGGAAAAATTTCAGTCATCCAAACTTTGTTCTTATCTTTTTTAAATTATAATTTCTTTAACAAATATGTTTCTCTGTGGAACTGTCGAAAGATTACAGTATCATTAACGTAAAATAAACAAATATTGAAATGGAAGTGGCTAATCGTAAAAACCGGGAACACATGAATGTTCGACAGATCCTTTTCTTTCTTTGCGCTAATCCATATAGGGTTTCGCAAAAAGAATCATAAATATTTTGCTGAAGGTTCAAATTTTGGTTTGAGATCCTTCATCGTCGTTTTGGAAGCGCAAAACACAAAAAACGAAACAAGAATATGAAAAACTAAGTTGATAAACATCCAACAAACAAATAAAGATCCAAACATTGGAAATGTGGAAATAATTATCGCAGAATAAATTGGTCCATTTTATATTTGAAAAGTTAGATAATGAGACTAGTAAAAATTAAGGAATTCCAATTTCTATTAATGTCATGCAATGATATTAATATCAGCGATATGTAAGAGTTGTATTGATAGACGACGAACTGTTTGAGATGCGTTATATACTGAAGTTTGTTCTGATTTCCGATCTTTTTGTTGCTATATTGAGTGAAAATAACAGGTGGATGTCATTTGACCTACAATTTGGCGTTAATTTTGAAATACAAACCAAGCATTAAAAGTGTTATAATATATTGGTGGAAGTGCCGTTTATTACTAAGCAACAAATGATGGATCATTTTTGTCGTTCAAAAAATTCCAATACATAACAGCAAATAATGAATGATATTATCGTTTCATATTGTAGATGGACATGATTAGCATTCAGTTAGCTCAATCAATTCGATGTAACAATCAGTGTGGGTCAGTAAAATATTTGTAAAGGAATGAAATATTCAGTAGCTTGGATGTTGAAAAACAATAAAAGACAGAGCTATACGTTCCAAGTGAATGTGGCATGAATAGAGGAGAGAGTAGTGATTAGTACGGCAACAAGCGCTTTATGTTGTGGATAACAGCAGGATAAATACAGTAGGTTAGTATCTGACAAATTCCAGAAGATGTTAGTGTGTTAGCAGAGCACAACTGCTCCAGCATGTCATACAACACCTACTTCCCGTCATATATCCATCCCTAACACTCTAATCGAGTTTTAACCATTCATCCCATCTCCGCCTCTCCGTATACCTTCTTCAACTTACGTTGCCGCAACTTTTGCGACCAATTTCCGTCTTTCACACTCACAATCACCACATCCTTTTTAGTTCTTGTATCACTTAGCGCTAATACATTGCATAACTTATTCATTTGTTTGAAGTCACGCTATCAATTCATTGTTTTTCTTCTTTCCATATTATTCGCTGTAATTGTCTCATTTCCAAAGCTAAAATTACCGCTAATCAATTAACTTTCTCTTTGTTTTTCATAGGACGATAAAACAATGATTGTTTCATGTTTCATTTGTATCTCAAAGCGATTCAGCACAAAATTACGCTAATTCTTGCAATGACTGACATGTTCCCATATTTGTCTTCCTTTTTTCAATTCTTTCAATTTTACAAGCTTCTATATTTTCTCGATTAATCACATTGCTACAAATAACATTTTTAAATTTAGGGGATAGGTTGTAAAATAGATTAATTCTTCATTTAAGCAATAATTTTTTCGTAATTTTCTTTGCTGCTTATTCGTATTTGAAAATGAAGAAAGCATAAAAATGTTTTGAAAAAGTTAAGTTTAGATGAGAAATAAGTGCCACAGTGTCACCAAATTATAATGTTGAAGCATTTTGAATTGGAGCAAAATTTGATACCAGAAAACAAGGTATATGTTAAAAAAGAGCATTTCTGAATTCAAAGGCTGGAAGTTCTCGAGAAGACAGTGAAACAAACCTATCATCGTCTTTAATCAGTTCACTGCTTCGATCTAGAATTATCCTTCACTCATAATAAGATGTGGAAACGAATCTCGTAGATGTTGAAATAATTTTTTTTTAATTTCAGTACCACAATTTTTTCATTTTGTAACTGGAAATGTAAGACTGTAGAATTGGACAATGCAGAATAAGTATTAACTGATTGAATAGTCAGTATTGCAATTGAAATATAGGGCTTTCTGTCATCTCTTTTTTGGAAACCAAATTTTACGATTAAAAGTTTTGTCTTAATTGTTAATTGATAATGTATCAATAGCTATTGAAATGATGCCATAAATTGCAAGTCATTGCGGAATCGCAATGATTTAATTTGAGTATGCGGAAGGCGTTGTTGACCCTTCCATTTTCATCAGTTATATTCTTTCATATTTTCTAACATTTTTCCTTTGAGCTTTTGCAGTCGAACTTCATTCCATTACATATAGACGAACAGTTGTTTTATCCTGCTTCATATGTTCAGTAAGGTTCCTCTCTTGAAATGTAATCAAGTTAACTTGATTATTAGCGTCAACTTCACCGACATCTCTAATCCAAAATCCTCCTGCTCTGTTCGTACTAGTTGCTACCATACGTAAATATTGCAGCTTGTTCTCTTGTGTGTTTTGTAAGATATAGCAAATCTTTTTTTTAGAAAAAGTTTAAACTTACTAAAATTATTTGACTACTTTTTCCGGACGGTAAGTGTTAAGAAATTTTGCAGAAAGCCCTTCATTTAAAGGTCAGATCAGTTTTTGTGTATTTTATAGAATTTATTCTGAATTTGCTAAGATGGAAATATTTGTTTTGTCAAATATACGGTGTTGTTTTTTTCGTCTATTACTTTCCATTTCAAAATATTTTCAGAAGTCAGCGTTAAAAGAATGCATAGGCATATTGATAAGAAGTGTGAAGTATTCTTCATTAAGTAATCTTTTACTCATCACAATTTGCTCCTTTATTCCATTCACTGATTTATGAATTTCAAAAAAATATCACTATCAAAAATATTAATCACAACACGCTAATTTCAAACAGTGAGTTTCAAACAGTTAACTTTTATATTACATCTAGAAAATTTTGTGCTTTATGAGCTTGCATGAAGCTGAAATTTATTGGCGTTAAATCACATAACGGTCACTTTATTGTTGTTTGATGACTGTGTTACATACATAACATGCATTTTTGAATGCAGTTGACAACAATGGTCATTTTCACAGCCTTGCCATTTGGTACTAGCAGTGATGAAGGTCGTATACTGGTTGACGAATCAGACTATCAAGGAGGTAAGTTTAGAAAAAGATCTTTCACTAATTTTTTGACTAATTTTGTTAAAATAGTAGCTGCGTAATTCTTGGTAAGCTAAAAATAGTATTCGTATCAAAGTTATGTTGCTTTAAACTTTAAGACATCAATAAGGCATATAATATAAAGCTGAAGGAAATTTATCAATTTCCTCCAAATTATGTTGTAGTGGACGATGAACAACTTCCATTTGAAATCAAGGATGTTGTACGGATACGAGCCAATGAGAAGTTTTCCAAATATTACGACTGCATGAATGAACTTGGAGAGTTAATATTTTTTCGATATATTTTAATATAAGATTGTATGGTAGGTTGTTGAGATATTGAACTAATAAAATGTGTTACCGTGAACAGAACTTGAGATGCATGGAGAACCGAAGAGACCAAAAGATTTATATATATATTGTGGATATCTTGAATCGAGTGAAACGTCGCAAATGTTGTACCTTATTACAGTTTTTCAAAGAGAGCATTTGTTCAGGGGAAAGTTTGGGAAAGTATATCGATGCCGTGAAAAAGCAACAGGACTTGAGCTGGCAGCAAAACGTATCAAAATAAAACGTGATGCGGATCGAGAAAAAGTGGAACGGGAGGTTTGTCATAATGGTGATTGATGGTGAATTGTCTTTTTTTACTTTTTCTTTTTTCTGTTGATTTGTAAAACAATTTAGGTAGCTATTATGACGAAGTTGAGACATCCCAGAATAGCGCAGATCTATGATGCTTTCGCTACACCTGACAACGATGTTGTACTGATTATGGAAATGTAAGTTCATCGCTATTAGTATTCATTATTTTACCTCTCATAAGTCGCATTGATTCTTACGAATTTAGAGTGACTGGCGGTGAACTATTTGATCGGGTTGTTGACGAGAACTATATTCTAACAGAGCTGGCCGTTGTAATGATTGTTTGTCAGTTATGTGAAGCAATTAGTTATATTCATAGCAAAAATATTGTTCACCTTGATATAAAGGTTATTCCTATGTTCTCTTAATTATACATTATCAATTGGCTAGTATTAAGTGCCATCTGATTACAAATGGTATTATGCAAGATTCCAGGTTTCATCTCAAATTTGAGATATTCAATCAAAGATTTAACACTCTAAGACAAATATGCTAATGGAAATTTGTGATCATAGTGGACCTAACATCATTGTGACTATGATGCAAATTCCATATTCAGAACTAGTCATTGGTCATGATAAATACTACAAATAAGGAGTACTGGATGTATCATATTTGCTAAATATTTAATATCTGATATCATCGGCAAACAATAATTGTAGCCGGAAAACATCATGTGTGTTTCACAAACGGGTAACCGTATAAAACTCATTGATTTTGGGCTTGCTCAATTTTATGACGGTTCGTCGAATTTATTATTTATGGCTGGTACTCCGGAATTCGTCGCTCCGGAAGTGATCAAATTTGAACCAATCGATTTCTACACTGACATGTGGAGCATTGGCGTCATCACTTACATTCTGTTAGACTAAAATGTTATTTTTCATAACTAGCACATGTGTCGGAGCACTGAAATCTTCATAATTGTACTTTTTTCCATTATTCATTGAGAAATCAGAGCACTTTAGATTTTTCGAATCCAAAAGAATTGGAATCTAGCTTTTTAACTGATATAAAACAAAGATATTCCAGGTTATCAGGCATATCGCCATTTTTGGGCGAAACTCTAGGTGATACTTATGTAGCTGTTGAAAAAGGAGAATGGGAATTCGATGATGAAGCATTCGAAGCTATTTCTGACGCTGCCAAAGACTTCATATCCAAACTTCTTATAATGGATCAGAAGTTTGCTTTGGTTTTTATTCGCCTCTTTCGGGATTAGAGACATTGTTAATTAGTATTTTGAAAAATATCGTAATATTATTTATTTATATTCAAATATAATAACAGGCAAAGAATGCTTCCGGAAGATTGCTTAAATCATCCATGGATTGTTGACAGCCGAACAAAAGCTGCAAATGATCTGATATTAAGTCAACCGAACAGCGGTACTTTGCTATCGAAAGAAGGGTTGAAATTATATCTCAGAAATAAACGTTTTAGGGTAAGCAACAATTATTTCCGCCTGATGCATTATTGTCCGAGAATTTAAAATTGAAATGAAATGTTTGTTGAGTGAGAGATGATAATGAAGGATTGGTCATCTAAAAATCTTGCATTTCCGTTCAACATTAAATTCTGCTGTCATGAGATAACTCGATTTCCATAACTTCATGGCATCCTAGAAACTACTTGACACGAGCTCAGTGTTATCTTTCCTTTATCAATCACTTGTAACTTTACCTTAATGAAATATATTTTATTTTGCAATTTCATTTTTATTCAATAATGAAATAATCGCAAAATGTTTCATTCCTCCTTTTTTTTGTCTGGCTGTTTAAGAAGTTGAATTTGAGTAAAACGATTACTTGCTGATTGCAATCTTCACAAAAATTTTCAATTTATCTATTTATTTGCTTCTGCAATATTTGCAGAAAGCAACTTGGGCGCTGGTTTTCTTGATGCGGTTCAAACGACAAACACTAATGAACTTCGGAAAAGTTTCTGCTGCTGATGGTGCTGTTGTGGAAGCATATGACAGTCTTCCTGTCTCAACAAGAAAGATTATGGAAAGTTATACTGAATCAGAAGCCAGTGTTTCCGGAACAGTAGAATCGGCACAGGAGAACGAGAAAATGAAGAGCGTGTTAACTGACATTTCTGCTTTTGATACTTCCAGAATGGAGTCAATGACTGCAACAAAGCATCCTGAGGTAAACTTTTGTTTTTTCATAAAAATTTGTTTTAAGACAGTTTCCCGGCAATTTACTAAAGAGAAGATCATTTACAGGAAAAGAAGTTAAGCAGCGAGATTCCGAAAAAGAAAGCAAAACCAAACACAACTGATGAGGGAAGAAAGAAGCCAAAGCCAAATGATGAAAGAAGGACGAAAAAAGGAGCAAAGAAGCCCAGAGAGAAAAACAATGAGAAATCAGATGAAATCTCTTGTAAGCCGAAAAAGGTTTCCAAGCATCTTAAAACTGCATCCGACGGATCAGAAGGTCAAATTAAAAAGTCCACTGAGACAGTTTCTGGATGCAATGAAGTAAGTGATTCAAAAAATTTTATTCCAGCGATGTGCGAAGTATGCATCACATTGGAGACAGCCAAACCTGCTGCTTCTTTCACCGAATTTTCAAAATCTGTCTGTGCTGCAGAAAGCGCTCACCTGCGTTCTTTGAGTTCCGGATTAGCTCGGACAAATAAGAATGAGGTGGAAACGGAGGAAAGACAAAAAAAATATTGCGTTTCATTATCTAGTAATCGAACAGCAAAAGAATCAACACATCATAGCAGTTCAACTAATAAGCTTAGTGAAATCAATAAAAAAGGCAATTCTGTAGCTGCTATTTTGTCAATGTTCACTGAAAAAGCTGAACAGGAAAGAAGACGTTTTGAGCGCCGACCTTCTCGTCCAGTAAGAACTTTTCGAGATGTGGAGAAATCTTCACCCAGAAAATCATCGGTAGTAACTCATGAAAATGATGGCAACTATGGAAAGCTTTATCGAGCACCGGAAGAAGAGAAGAAAAGGGTGAAAAATTTGATTGAACTTCATCGACGTGGTTCTGCAGATCGAAAGCAAGTTGACACGAAAGAGATTGTAGCTGTGAAGCAAGATGAAGAGAATAAAAGCTTTACGGGTGAAAGAGTAAATATTGTCGAACAAGACAAGGTGGAAATGGAACGAATGAGCTTAACTGGGGAAAAAACGGAAATAAATCCCTCATTAAATGTTAAGAAAGAGACGGAATTGTCAGGGAAAAAGGTTACAGTTTCAGATTTAGCCCCTTCAAAATTAAGCGCTGTCAAAAAAACTAGTCAGATAATAGAAGAACGGAGTGGTGATGCCATGACGATAGCAAAAACAACGCGTGTGCGAAACGAAACAAAGAAGCAGAAAAAAGATATGATAGAATTGACGATAAATCAGGAAATGGCGGAAGGGGTTGAAAGGCAAGCGGAAAATATTCTGGTCGAGGCATTGCAAATTCAACCTTTATTGGCATCGCAACAGAAGATGGCGATTCAGGATGATTCTAACACTAAAAGAAGTAGAAAAACAAGAAGTTGTATGAAGTTGGACGAATCACAGAATGATTATCCATTAAATTCTTTGGATATGACAACGAAACAGCCAAAACATACAAAAAGCAATAGTGGTAAAAAAATTGAAATTGTTAATGAAAAGAGAGCTTTATCTTCGGATCCACGTCTTTTGGTCGCAAAAAAAAAAGTTACGGGAAATGCAAACAGTCAAAATGTGTCTAAACGAAAGAAAAACAAAGTTGAAATTGTTAACATAAACCCTGATATTAAGGATGCTGCGCAAAATTTGTTAGTTAGAGTGGAAAATTCTGAAGAGTTTATTGAACATCAAGATCCTTCCAGCGAAAAGAAAATGAAAGAGGGCATCAAGAAATTGAAGAAAGGTAAAGCTTTAACAGAATTGGTTGCAACACCTAGCAGTTCTCAATTCCCTCATAAAGCAAAGCAGATGAAATCAGTCGAAGTAAAAAATAGCAGAATTCAAAAACCAATCTCAGTTTTGCAACCATTGTCAGCTGACCCAATAATTACTACAATTAAACATACGGAGGAGAATCATGCTGATGAACTATTACAATGCATCACTCTCAAAAAACCTCCAAAAGGTTCAGGACGGAAAAAAGTTAGCGGAGAAACGAAATTGAAGAAGGCACAAGATAAATACGGATCACAGACAGACAGTATCAGTTCTGACCTTAAGAATAACGAAACTACAACTTCAGTGCAAAACAAATTATCGGATTCAACAGTTGGAGCATTGCACTCAATTCAGGATACTTTATCAAATGTTCAGGGATCATTAGGGGTTTTTCCTAACTCCGGACCTCCAATGCATGACATAGTAAAACGAAAATTTACTCGAAAAAATAGTTGCTTGAAAAATTTGTTAGTAAGAATGAGATCAGAAATCAATTTGGCTGAAGATAAGGAAAAAATGAGATCAATATGTACACGCCGAAAAGCTGTTGATGATCAAGCCGTTTTTGGTAATGAAAGAGATAAAAATCAGCGTGACATTTCGGTTTGTTCCTCTTGGCTCTTTTACCAAATTAACATTTTTTACCTTTTTTTGAATTCCTGGATCATATATTGTTTTTCTGGATAGTATGCTACTCATTATTCCGATAATATGAGACTGATCATTTTGGTTACAGTATATGTATTTAATTTTGTCCCTTCATTGACTCCTAGGAAAAAGGATGCATATTTGTCTCAATAATAAGAATACATCTTTTGTTTTTTGTTATTTTTCAATACGATACCATAAGTATATTTGCAGATAGCTCACTTAAAGAATCAGGAGAACTACAGTTTTGGTTGGCTTAAACTGCAATTAGAAACACGAGTAAATAAAGAAAAAGATGATCAAATGGGATGGAGATATCGTCGTGATTTAGAAATTTCACCAATTCAATCCGGAAATGCTAAAAAGGCTTTAAGTATTTGGAAAACAATGGAGCAGAGCAGTATTGCCAAAATTTAGACCTTTTTTCAGTGCTTTTGGTAGTATTTTGAAGGCCCTTTAGATTAAAATTGACTCATGCCGGGTCAGTTCTTGCTTACGGATTGTTGTTGGATGCCTCCTTACCCTCACTATAAGTATAAAGACTTTCCATTACTGTAGTACACATACAAAAGCGTACAAATATATAAAATGCAACTTTGCATTCTATGTTCTTCTCGTATCCGATTTAGACATGCAGTATTTTCAAAACTTGTACACAGTACTCATAGCGCAGAAACAAATCCTCAAATGTTGATCAAATGTTGATCTTATTGGAAAGGTCAATTCATATTTACTAGTTCCATTATGTGATTCAGTGTGACATCATTTTTCTATATATGAATTGTTAGCTCTAAATCCTACATATCTGTACAGCGTATTTCATATATATATATATATATATATATATATATATCCATTGTTTTGCTTTCCGTTCAGCAGAGAGATAATTAATCTGCTATTTATTAGCATACTATTGCTCTTCTAGCAGATCGTTATCGCCTACATTCTCCCTCACTTTTTCATTGGACATTGTTTCTTTATGATTTGTAAGTCCACTACGTACCTTTAAAAGAAATGCTTATCAGCATTGATAATGAGAAAAGTTACGCAGTATAACCTGTTGTAATCAGAAAGCTTGACTGTTTATCACATCTTTCTGATCTGGATGTCAGATCAAAAAGTAATGATCTGTCATTCAAAATCATTCTGGGTTATTAATTGTGCAGATTACAAATTCGAGTAAAACACTTATCGTGCTATATGTGCATGGGTCAAACCTATAATCATAATCCCGATATCGAACACATTAATTTATTTTCAAAAACATCAGAAGACATAAGTTGGGGCAAGGATAGACTCAACGAAAAATAAAATGAAATGAAAAGTTGCAAAGTAATAAGTAAATAGCTTAATTGCAAATTAGTGAATGGCTACATGAGGAAGACTACATATTAGATAATACAAAGTTGTATATATTATTCCGAAAACGAAATGTATACATTATTCCATTTACGAAATTGATGAACTTTTGCTTTCCAAATAGGTTGATATCTATCAATTTACTTTCTTCATGATCCACCATGCAGTAAAAAGTCAACTACTAGTTCTTGCTCCATAGATATCGTTACAAAAATATTCCCGAATATGACAAGTGGCGGTTAATATTTAATTTGTTTGTTGCTGCATGATCACCATTGATGCTAACCGTTCATTATTAATTGGCTCAGATTCAGATCCGTCAATTCTGTATCTATCAAACTTTCTTTCAAGGCTTCTCATAATTTATTGAATTTTTCCAAAGAATTGGTAAGATATAGATAAACTGCATAAATACGCCATCTTGTAACAAACATCAGTGTGCATCATTGTATTCCCATTTTTGAGTACTAATTTTAAAAGAAGAGAAGCAAGATATCAGCAATTCCAGATTCTACTATCATTACCTTGTATTATATTTTGCAAATGTTTTGAGGAGTGAGATCGTGAAAGCTTATCAGTTCTTAACTGTTGAACCGTAAGAAATGTCAATTTATTAAAATAACTGTGTGTATTATTTCTGTTTTAGAAAAAATCTAAACAGTTAAAAAAGAAGAAATGATAAAGAATATTCATAATATTGTCCTGTTTCTCCTGATATCTCTCGTGATGCAACAGGGAACAAACGGTGAATGAATTTGTTGTTTTTGGATGATTAGTATAGTGAAAGGCACAGCGATTGTTTTACTTGCTTGAACAAGAAGTGGAGTTTGCAGGAAGAAGTGGAAATCCTTTAGAGCCAATAAATTCAGATTCAGAGAAGAATTCAATCAGTGACCTTGAAGAAATGCCTGAGTTTCTGCCAAATTGTGCTGAAGGTAAAATAAACAAATGTATTTCTTTCAAATATATTCCTTTCTGCTTTTATTGCTTATTCGTATCAATTTTGTGTACTCATTCTAGGCTGTTTGAAACCTTTCCTTCTTACGATACGCGCAAGTTTTGTTTCTGGAAACAACTACGAACGTTTGGTGAACACATGCGAGTAAGAGATTAGCTGTTTTATGAGAACTGTGAATGAATTACATTTCTTGTTTTAAAATTCCCCAATAATTAATTTAGGAAATTTCACGAAGTATATGAATGTATGGATCGTTTAAAGAAATGTCAGCCGAATTATTTCTTTCGCATATTTATGGATGGCTTTGAGTATATGTGTATCGAACATCCTGCCGGTCATTTTTTCAACACATTTTTTGATTGATTTGTTTTTTTTTTATGAAGTTACTCCTCCTTATGCACATCGCTATTAATGTATTGCGTAATTTATTTTTAAAATTTATTGAAGCTTTCCGAGACTTGGTGGAATGTATGGATCTACATGCACAAATTGCTAACAGAGGTTAGATGTTTAATTTTTGAATTTCCGGATTAATTCAATAAAATGGTCAATTTTATGGCCAGTTTCTTGACATATATTTGCTTGATTTGGTGAGAGTTACATCGAAATTTTGCAGACTGTGAGCAGAAGTGTAAAGCGCATAACTTAATTGCTGGCTGGTTCATTTATTCGGCAATGCATTCCACCAAGCTTCTTCATACCGGAGCAAATGGTGCACCGCCACGCGTTAATATTGGTTTTCTTCGTAAAATTATTTCTGAAGCTTGCTCGTCAGTCTTTGTATTTATATGTTTATTCATTATAAATTATCGCGATTGCTTAAAATATGAATTAACTGGTTACCTTATCATGCATCTTCTTTTTGCTTAACAAATCTATGATACAAAATCTATAATATAGATTTTTATTCGGTTGGCAAGCGAAATTCTTTCTGTATAATTCTTAACATTGCTGCTCACCAAACCAATTTAATATATTTGTGAACAATGATTAACTTCTCACAAAGGTTACTGCCCTAAAAGTTTTCTAGCTTTTAAGGATTAAAGGATAATCATGCAGTAATATTAAAATGATGTACTACTGTTCACGCGGTTCTGTTGCATATTTGAGACAGCCTTCTGTTGCATATTGAGTGATAGGTTCTAAGATACTGCAATATTCGGATATAAGCCGTGAAATAATTCCATGTCTAACTAGCCATATTTCAGGATTGTACAGTGCTATTTCCTTTGTTTAAAAACAAAATATAATGCACGTTGTCATGGTATTGCTGGTAACTTGCTTATGGTAAGCTTAATTAACCATTTTCGTATTCAAATGGTTAACGCTTGAATGTATTTAAAGACATTTGAACTTTTAAGATGTCTTCAACTATTTTTATAAGATAACATGATAAAATTTAAAGGCTGAAAATTTTTATGTACTCCATTAGATTGCGATTGATATCATGGATTATGAATAAAATAGGTAAGATGCTCTTCTTCTAAATATTGACAAACACATCATAACATTTGTTGTAGGAAGTAATGGTAAGACCAATATATCGAATGCATAATTCGATGTTATTAAGTCCATTTTGGAATGTAATGAGATTGATGCTGCCTTCCCAGTGCAATTTCATAACGGCCGACGCGGAGATCTCTTGGCAGAGGTTTTTTGTTCATACTTCAGTTCAGTAATAAAATTGAAGAAAATCCATTTGAAATGCATCCTACTTAATACAGGAATGTAATTTAAAGCTTTAAATGACTGATTTAAATCTGAATTGATTTGTTTAGAATCAGTCCGAAGCTGGATAAAGATTTAAAGAAGTTTTATAAGAATCGAACAGAACCGTTGATCAAATTGCGTCCTCCAGTACATATTCTAAATTTTTACAATTTTATTTACATCAAAGTATTGCCAGTGTCATTAAAGAAAAATATATAAATCTAATCTGAAGAAGTCTTAAATTTAAGAATCTGCTAGTAGAAAGCTATGAATTAGTTTTGCAAACGTAGATAAATACCAGGAAAATGGATACAAAAATGGGTTTACTTGCTTTTGTGTAAGTGTGCTTAGCCGCTTAAAGTTTCAACAAATGAAAACAGTTTCAATAGCATGCTGAACTTTTGTAAAATTTGTTTTATTTTGTATGAAACTTGTTAAATACGTTGTAAAGTTTATAGTTTTTGGAACGAAAAATTCTACCCTATAGTGCCTCGGGGTAGGTTATTGAATGATATCAAATAAAAGAGTTATTAAATAATGAAATAGATTATTTTAAGCCAGAGAACTTCACTGAACTTGAGAAATCTCTATTTCGGCAGCGAACAAAAAGGAATAATAAAGAGATTAACATAGAAACTTTCATTACGGTGAAGAAGAGAAACGAAACAAGAAATATTACACGTGACAATATTGGTTAGTTTTTTCTCTTTTTTTATATTCTCCACGATGTTATAAAAGACTATGCGCTGAAGTGAATTACCGCATTACAAATATTCCTCTTTCTGATGTTTCTGCACATTAATTTGGGGGTTCAAATCAATTAGAGTATTTGAATGCTTTCATCATCAGCTTCTTTTTGCAGAAGAAGAATACCAGGAAGACTGTTTCGCTAAATATAATAAAGATTGTAGTAAAAATAAGTGAAATTAAATACATGTGTAAAGCCGTGAAACGAATGACAACTGTAGTTTTTGAATGACTGTTGTAATTTAAAATTAAAAATTTAAAATTATTATATTTAAAATTTATATTTAAAGCTAAATTTTTTTTAATTTAAAACTCTATCGTAATTTCCTACAGTAGCTAGCCAGACTGTAATCTTTTATGCTTATTATTTATTCATTTGTCGCAAACATTCCAACGTTCTTTGTAATTGAATTCCTTAGAATACTGTTTTTGCTGTATAAGGTACTAGATATTCTGTGATTTAAAAATTTTGAAGGTACAAATACGGACAAAAATAATACTTTTATGAAAAACACTTTTCATACAAATTAATCAAAAACCTTATTTACAAATATGCTCAAATTGTTTCCTAATCATCACAACGTAGTGACTTTAAAACTTTTTTCCATCATTTATTTTCGACTTTAAAAACAAGAAATTCTTTCAAAAATAAAAAACGTCTGGATTGATTAATTCCTAAAACAAACGCAGAGAAATGAATGTGGTGATTTGCTTCGTATTCTATGAATTTTTTTACAGTTTTGCTTATTTCTTTGTAAAGCGATACATGTGATCAAATAAACATTTGTAAATATCCTTCCTTGGCAACAATTATACAAAATTGAGTTTTCATCAAAAAACGGTAAAAATGATAAGTGACTACTTATACAAAACAGCATGGAATGATTTTATTTCAGATTCTTTAACCAATTTTTATTGTTCTGATTTTCATGTTCCCTTCATTAAACCAATAAACTCTCATTTCTTCTCACATTTTGTTTCTAAATTAGTTTTACTGTTTTTATCAGTTTTTAATATAGTTTTAAATATAAATGGAATATTATAAAATCGAGTCCAATTAAGTTATCAGTCAGTTACCGTAATATTTCTGTCCACACATACGAAGTCTTCTAAGTATACAAATTAAAAAGTCCACCAAATATGTAATACAATTTTTAAAATATTTCGTAAAAAACAGTACTAGAAAATAAAAGGAAAAGATACACATAATAAATGAATCCAATACATTGTAACCTAACTGAGAATGCATAAAATTTAGGAAATATAGTTCGAACATAAAGCATAGGATTGATATTGCTTGAAATGTTGATATAACTAATTAAGGTGATTTCTGAATGGTGCTAATCAGAAGAAACAAATTTTTATTTTTTTTATTTTTTGCTGGTAAAAATACTTCAAAAATACAGTTGTCTGCAATGGCGCCCTTTTCTAGTTCTTCTAATCAGCTTATTTTCTGAATTCACTCTCATTCTGAATTTGAGAATGAAAGCCATTTTTTTTGCTTTAAACTATATTTTTATAAATCGAAAGAAGGGATAGGCATAAGATGAAGAATTAAAATAAAATCAGAATTTGTGAATATATTGTAGAATCATTAAACAGATACGGTCTGTGAAAGTTGCAATCTGAAACATTCTTTGTAACAACATTCGCTTTTCACAAACATCTTAAATTAAAAATAAGCTATGTTACGTCATCTTAGTTTGTTCAGAGCCTTTAAAAGGAACGGAAATCCGAACTTAGCAGGATATGAAATATACAGACGAATTGTATCCACGAATTGTACTAACCTAATATCAAGTTTGAGACCATCAATAAATTGATCACAGATAAGGTTCCTATTGTTTCAGAAAAAGATCACCATTTATTTTCCTTGCAATATTGGATCATTCATCTTCAAGCTCTGACCAAACTACTGACATCAAAAATAATTGATTTTAAGATGTGTAATATGGCCAAAACCAATCTAATACCTATCATAAATTAACAAATTCAACATTTATCAACCATTTAATAGAGGATGTTTTTTGGTATATTATGTATAATAGCAGAATATGCCAGTAGCAGAACTTTTTTTTATTGTTCAGTTGTTCATTAATATTTTTCCTAATCATTTTTCTCTCAGAATTAAATTTTTATACCCCTATGAGTAAATGAGCAACGATAGTTATCAAATCCTCAGATGTAATCGATGTATAAAACCTGTATTTTACATAATTGGCATTGAAATACAAATAAAAGAATGTCTTTCGAAAAGAAAAAGCATGGCTTAAAAAATTTTCGCCTACTAATTATGAACATTATCTAATTAGAAATATTTTACGTTCTTAAGGCCTCCCTCTTTGTTCTTCTATCACATATTTGGCACACAACACTATCATCTTAATAGTATCCGTGTTCAAAGAAAATAAAAACACTAAAATTGCATTTTCTAATCTCTGTCCCTCAACTAATGTCAAGAACCTAAATTAATGATTTAATATTTTCAGGATTGCAGTGCTTCGCCAGAACCATTCCTACAAAAGTCTAACTCGATGTGACTTATAAAAATCTCGAGTATAATATTTAGAGACCCCCATCTAAATCTTCAGCAATTAGCTAAAATATGCTGGGTTCAATAATAACATTTATGCTCTTAATAATTCACTGCAGATATACTACAACTGATAGTTGATTAATAATATGTCTTCTGAAGTCATTGAACTGATTCCTCACATTCGCAGTACGGTATATCATGCAGACGATGAATAGGAATTGTTCTTAGTGCTCAAAAGTTCCAAGCGTTTCAGATGAGCCGATGTTATTCGTAATACTGATCGGGAAACGAAATTAGGCATAACCTAAAATAGTCCATACTTTAATGATAAACATTTGCTTCACATAGACTGATATGAGAAAGATGGCACTTGTTTTAAAGACTTATGTCCTAAGTTCACTTTTCATGAAATGAATAAAGAAACATGTGCTCATTTGAATTTGATACTAGAATAAAACTCAAATCGCCATGGTTCTTTTACTTTTTCTAACAACCCGAAACTATCATTTACATATTTTCTCACCTTATCTTTTTTCAACCCAAATCTTTCTGCATTTCCGACTCCTATTTCATCTCCTTGTATTTCTATTTTCTTCACAGGTGTTATCTTTCCTAGTTCTTGTTGCGCATCACTTGAAAATTTCTCTTCCTCAGTCCATTCTTGAACTTCACTACAATCATTTGAGTTCCGTTTTATAAACTGACTACTTGCAGTATCTTCGGATATTTCTTTATATTCGTCTTGATTATCCTCCAATGTGGATCGCTCTGTACTGGTGTCAACAATTGCATGTATATCGGCTCGATCTTCGCTATCTTTCTGTTTTTCCCGGTTTCTTTGAGTTGTTTCAGGTGCGTGTTCGGTCTGAGTTTTCACTAGTTGCTGTCTTTGTTCAGCTATTTCGCTTTCTCTTCCTGCTTGTTCCGATACACTTTCTGTTCCACTGAATGAATACTCGAGCCTTTCGGTTACATTTTCCGTTTTTGTATTAACTGCTATTCCATGTGGTGTTCTAGAATGAATAATTAGCTAGATTTAGTCGGTAGTGTAGATGAATAATAAATTTGTACAAAATACAAAAATTCTTGAAAATATGTCCTGTTCAAGTTTTTTGGAGCAGTTATAAAATATTAGCATAAAAAGGAATAAAAGGTTTGTTTAATAAAAACCATTTAAGGCATGGTAAAACCTTGCACGACTGTCATCACTTTCCCAATCATTAGCATTAGATTCCGATTCTTCGACCCGTGTTGCAATTTTTTGAGATTTTGTCACTTTCGCCCTACTCACTATTGTTTTTCTGCCCTTCACCATCAGAATGAATTTTTATTATTTCTGCTTTTAACTCTTCCTGAGTTCCATTATTCAGTGCCACTAGTTTACTAGAATACAAATTAAACTATTCAGGAAACAATGGTATCTCTCCAAGTTTTACTTTTTGTAATTGATTCAGAATAAGACATAAAAGCTGAGAAGCAGCAAGACGAAGAAAATATAGAAATTTGTTCACTCATCCCACGTTTGGAAATTAGCCCTGCGGAAGAGAAATTCATATATTTCTGTTTAATACAAATAAATGTAAGTTCCGGCCACTTTTTTCAATGCACATAAATGCAAAACTAAATATTTTTACTTACTTCTTAATTCTCAATCGGTTTGTAGATTTTCCAGATTTCTGCTTCACAGGCAATAATTTTCGGTGATACATCAGCGAAATATCTTTCTGTCTGGACTGCCCATTCTTAACATTACTCCACCTTTCTTTCTTTCCCAGTTCATTTTTCAAATGAATGATCAGCGCAATAAGTTCTTCTCGTTCAAATGTAGATAATTCTGCAAAAACTTTTAAAAGAAGCTCCAAATAGAATTCAGGACCACGAAGATCATAGTCATACTCTACCAGCAATAATTTTCGGTAGCACAATGACGAAGCGCTTTCCAATCTGGATCGTCCATTTCTGGCTCTACAGTTATTTTTACATCACTCTTTCTTTCTCAATTCAGTTTTACCTTTATAATGAATTTTCTTTTTTCTCCAAATGAAAAATCACTTCTTTAGAAACGCTTTGTCTCATAGAAGCTTCCAAGTGTAGGTTCCAAATCATTTCATTCCTGATTTTTCCATAATCTAAACCGATCTCACAAAATTTGCAAGTTGAACTTACTGTTGGGAGAACAACTTGAACAGTTAAAGAAAATTCGTAGTTTTGAACGCATCTTATCATTTTCTTTCTCCAGAAAGCTAACTGCTTGTTTCAATTTTCTCGCATTATTGCTTTCAGGTACTGTTTGACGTTTTGTTAAACCTCGTACATCGTCAGCTCGTATTTTGCTATAAATTGATAAGTGCATAACTTTTCATGCCTGATCCGAGTTACAAGTGTTTGTCCCAGAAAATATAAAAAATGATATTTATAAAAATGAAAGTGAGAAAAGCAGTGGTATTGCTGACCTTGGAGGAGGAGTAAAGTAAGTGAGACAATGTTTGCATTCTGCTTGGAGACCTGCGATATGTTCTAGATTACCTGATATCATCATTGCTTCACGATCATGTTTCAGCCGACTGAAATTATTGTTACAATACATGCGCTTCAATAATACCTATTCACATTGAATCTAAACACCAAAACAAAACAATGAAAACCTTATTTCGTTAGTCTTTTCTTTCAAAAGCGATTCCAGCATTACAATTTTTTGCTTCATTGTTAGCATGTTTCCTCGCTGGTCATCGGATGCATACCCTTTAGACTAAACTATAACAATACTCAATATTTTAATTATTCGGAAAATGATTTTGAATATAAAAGTAATAGCAGTGGCTAATTTGGCAAAGATAAGCTCATAAATTCATTACGCAAATCACTGGGAGGATAGAATAGAGACTTATGTGGTAATAAAAAACTGGAAGAATGACACACCTGAATGAACAACAAATTCTGTAGTTGACGATCTTTCCTTATTATTTCGTTACTTGAACGTTTTAAACGCGTTTTTAATATAACATTTTCCTTTAACACAGCAGCGTAATTCTGAAACAGAAAAAAATTTATATCGTGACGGAAAGATTGATTGACGAATATTTCTGAAACAAATTTCAAATGATAAAGTTGTATATGCATACCTAACCCTACTTAGACAAGACACATCACCATTATAATCTCTTTGAAATATTAGCATCAAAATGCGTTATTTTTGAAGAAATTACATTAATAGTTTTAAATGTAAACCTTCACTTTCTTGCATAAATTTCTCTATGTAAGTTTTTGATTGCACGTACTTGTAGGCAAGCTCACTTACTCGTTTAATTCCGTAAAGCTCTTCTCGTAAATTATCGATCAGTTCCCCTTGCGGCGTTCTGCCCTGATCTAATTGTGGTGACACTGCAAAAAAATTAGGCTATTCATTTTTTAAATTGTTTCCATTTCGGTGTCGCCGCATTCCGATAATGCTAAAATATTATACCAATATTTAATTAATGTTAGAAGTGTGAAAAAATGATTAAAGCTTTTCTCCATCTCAGTGAATGAAATGTAATTTAGATAATATAATTTAGACAATTAGTGAAACAAATTTCGGCAAAAAAAAATACCATGGAGCGGTCGTTTTTCCAACAATTTTAGTGGTAAAAGAGGGTAGGATGACGGTTTAACAGCAAGGCAATACTTGCTTGATGTTGCTGGAGCTGAACGTTTTGTAGAACATATATTCCTTAGCATTTGACGTCGATCATATACTTCCCCCCACGTGCTTGGATGTTTGGGAGAATCATGTTTTGCTAAAATTTCAATAATAAGAACGTATTTGGAAGTGAAATTGTAAGGTTCATATTTTTTATTAAAATTCGAAATATGAATCCAAAAACTGGTCTGCTCTTCTATATTTCGAATGCATAGAATACTTTTCACACTGATCGTTAACAGCTTAATCACATGCTATATCTATAGAACAAAGTTGAACGTATGACCTACCGATGTAACATCCAGTACGGTCAATTGAGTTAATGGAATCATTAGGAACTGAATTATAGCTATCTGCTTTAATAACATTATTATGCGATTTATGCTTTTCCTTTGACTGCCCCTGATAATCATGTAAGTCAACAAATTTAGAGGCAGTATTTATTGTGGACATCAATCAACCCTAAACATGGAAATGATCAGTAAATTTAAGACATAGCAATTAGTTTCTACAGAAGTGTACAGAAAAAAAAAGAGTTGCCATGAAGTTTAATTAAACTTTCACTAAAGCGGAAATTGGTTCTTGCTTAACCGAATGTCCACCACTTTCTTTACATTCTTTTCATGAAGCATTCAACATATCCCTCTACAGAAAATTTACAAGATGTATAACATTTCTGCTCTTGATCTTAGTATGAACTAGTAGAGTAAAATGATAAATAGGTATCTGGCAGGATACTGCTGTCCTATAACCCATTGAAAGGGCTTCGCATATTTTGTATTTCGGCAATGAAAATTATCTGCAAAAACTCTTGAGATACACAATACATCTATTGTGATAATAGATAATAACTCCCGGGGCTAGTCCATCCATAAAAAGAAAATATTTCGTCTTTACCAACTTATTACTACAGTACTGTAATGACTTTGCCAGTTTAGAAAGCGCCATCCCAACGATATAAATATGGTCGGCTTCCTCAGCAACTATTAATAGAAGTTTAGAACAAGGTAGTTGTAGATAACACACGAGAAGAAACGCGTTAATATAATAGAAATATGAGCCTAATTTTTGCTATAAAAAGTAGAAAACTCCGGAAGAAATCTGAGATCAAGCTCATCTAGATAATTCATAATTTGTCATTAATGCACATTTTTGCCATCTTGAAGCACGGCAAAACTTTGTGCAGCATAACTATAGCAGTACAATGATCTCTACTATACTTTCAGATTATTTAAACTTGAAAAATAATAAATAGATGGAGAAAGGATAGACCGTTGTCTTTAAATTTGTCATACATACAATAAGTTTCTTATTTAATTTTTACGATAGGTATGAATTTGCAAAAAGTCCTTGATATAATGCCTAAACATGGAACTGTTGGTTATAAGAAAACAATAAGTAATTTAATTTGAAAGAGATCTCTCAAGTGAAGATGATAAGTGGACATTGTCTACAGTTGTAAACTTATTTGTTATAGACTCCAGTGATTATCATTTAACAAACCAATGGAGTTATATAATCTTATTTTATGCTAATATGTGTTATAAACCTAACAGTTTTCCGATCAAATAAATAGACTGCAATACCGCTCACAGTAACATTGTTGTTCAGCAAAAATCATATTTATTTGGATCTAAAAGAAAATATTTATTATCAAAAAACTGCCGAGACTTCTGAAAGCTTCAAGTAAGCCATAAAAATCTGTTAGCCAAAAAGTCATTGGACGATCCAACCGAAAAAGGAATTGAACTGAAAAGTGGACATATTGTTGATCGCATCTGACGTAAAATAACATGATGTTGTTGTGCTTAGTGATGAAACGCTCGTCAATTAGAAATGAAACGTAAGAAAAAAATATTAAAATATGGCGAGAAAAAAAAGATTGGTGGATAATTAATTCATAGCCGAATCTAAGAAAAGCACTGCTTCAGGTGTAATTTTATAAGGGAATGAGCGTTGCTAGGGGCAGCATAATGCGAATGTGTGATTATCCTGGAGAGCGCACAAGCAGCCTACTTTTTCGCTATTTCAACATCATCTGATCAGATGTCGTCTCCTCGGCATAATCTCTTTTATGAAGAAGGAGGAAGCACTTTCACATGCATTATCTCTCAAATTTGACTGTCCATAAAAGATAAAAGTAACAGGCGAAAGGACTGATAAGTTTCTAAGCACAAAAGTAAGCATCTAAAGAGGAAGGACAGAAAGAGAGCAACGAAAGGAAAGAGAGGTTGCATGTTTGAGATATCTTCCAACTAATTTCCCAATAAAATATCGCTTAATCTTTTAGCCCTCTGAATATGTATATTCATACGACTACTGATAATACGATGATAGGATTAACTGTTAACGGATTGAAATGTGGGAAGAATGAAATCATAAACACAAAATTTCAATCATCCATAACATTCCAAATGTTATTGCATGAAGAACAGCACAGTGCTCGAATGATGCGGTCCGACAACAATTGTTGTATCTACTTGATAAATTTTTACACTGTGATAGATTAATAGTTGAGTGGGTTTTATGGGGTTCCATAAGCTTCGCGATGGACTGCTTATTGTGTTGTTGTTCAAATATCTCACGGGAATGCTGGCATTTTCATGGTCTTTGATTCTGTTTACTTTTTTGATTTACTTTTTTTAGTTCACTAAAAATTGACGGGTGATGTTGATGAAATCAATCTAACTAAAATAAAAATGGCAAAAATGTGTCAAAGTTAGGACTTTTTTTTGCACTTCACTAGGATGAAATGGCATTATTGATATTATTCTGTGGACTAGGGACATGATCTTTTTCTCAGGTACTGCACGACCTTCCGGAGTTGACAATGGAAATAAATAGTAAGACAATATTAATTTTGTTTGATACGACACTCGTTTCAAATACAATAGGCCTATAGCAGCACTTGAAATTTTCAATTCAATTTATACTGGCTAGCTGAATATTTTTGAGACATGGGACTTAACGTTTCGATGATAGCTGATTCTACAACACGTCGGACTGAAACATTTCAAGAAATTTCTAGTAATTTTTGATCTGTGCACTATTCAGAACGATTTCATGCTGAGATTTTCAAATATTTTGCTGCATGAATGAATGTTATCCAAAAAATTATCTATCTTCAAAAACTGTTGAAAATCACTTTACAGGGCGTTTGGATGAGATGCCAGCTGATTCCGGTCACCCTGCATATTTAGCTGCACGTTCGGATTCATTCTATGAAAGGGCAGAGAGAGTTAAATATTTAGGAAATCCAGAACGTGAAGGGTCTGTTATGATTGTAGAAGCATAAATTTTATCATTTACTGAAAAAGAATGGTATTTTATCAACTTAATACACTTTGTTCAGTCTTGGGTAGTGTTCCGTTTGCATTAACTTTTCTTGAGCCTAATTCCGGATAAAAGACACCAATCAACTTAGCGGAATTGAATGTTTGTTTACCTTATTTTTACGACCTGCACTTTTTGTTTAAAAGGAATTTTAATTTCACACGAGCGAGAAATTGGATGCTTGCGTATTACTACTGGTATCCATTAACTCATGAATAAAGGGAAATTTTTGCTAATTGTTCGGAACTTCTACAATGTTGCTACTCGCATGAATTGATGTTCGTCTTATTCTAAAGTATCTCCACCAGGGTGATGATTTCGCAGATTCGGTCACGTCTGCAACATTAGGTATCGTTCAGATTTTTGGGAACTCGACAAGAAACTTGCTCAGCGGAAGCACTTTCCTTCAATCAATTGGTTTATCTCGTAAAGATTGGTGTTACTGTTCATTCAATTCGAAACCGAAACATTCAACTTATGCTCACAGTCATGTATATATGAATACTCTGGTGAATATATGTTATTTTTCCGGAAATATGGCAAAGCTCTGTTTTATAATTCCTGTTCTCAAGTATGTGTATTTCTCTGTGACAATTATATACGACTGAAATTGTGGACAGATAATTCGTTAGCATGTGGTAAACAGGAATGTCGCGTTGCATCCGGGATGCTATATCCTTGTGTTGGTCGTTGTCGGTGACGTTTGAACAAATGTGCAGTCATCGAAAGACACAGACACTGAAATTATGTCTGCAGATTAGAACAAATATTGCAATTTTGAAATGGTATTATAAATAAATGTTTAATGAATATCAACGAATGAATGTTTTTTATACTGTTTCTACAATTTTGTTCAGTTTTGGACAAAAAATTATAGTAGTAGAAATTGCAGTAACCTCGTCATTATCGTTCATGTATACCACATATCTGTGCCACGCGATGTTGAAGGCAAGAGCAAAACCGCAAATAATCGAAGTTAGAATAAATCCAAGAACAACTGCAGTTGTTATAGCAAGCGTAGTCCATTGGATTTGATTCTATATAGTTTGTAAATGATTTCAGAGTTTGTAAAGGAGTTAGTAAAGCATTCGATTCGATTTATATGTATTATATCGCACTTTGCTGATTGCCATAAAGTGAAAAGTTGTGGAAAAAATGTGATTTTGTTACTAATGAGGGAATTCAAGCTTACGTGGTATACGAAAAGTATGGAGACGAAGAGAGCATGAGTAATGGCATAAATCATAGCAATGGTTAGGAGCACAGAATTCATGATGATTAAATCCAGACTTTCGAGTTTGATTGATGCTAGTAATGACATAAGCGAAAGTAGCCATAGAATGCACATTCCTTTGAAAAAATTACTATGCTGTAACTTATGAATTTCTCCGACCAAAAAATTCAAATTCTAGAAAAACTTTTACCAGTGTAGACGCCTGTCGATATCTGTATCAATTCAGTAAGGTCTAGTTGAAGTCTAGTTTTATCAATCGTGCCATTTCCATTCACGTCTGAAATGGAATTTCTATCCCAAATGATTTTCTCTGTCAGGTTCATGTCTTCGCTTACTTCTGTTTCATTCATCTGCAAAAATAAGCTTCAAAGTATCTTTATTGTACGGACTGATAAATTTGAGAGAAAGAGAGTTTTACTGGCTAGTATTGGCTGCTTAGTCCTATTTGCTAAATACGCTAAATCTTTGTGGTGAAAATAGTTTTGGAATGAGAGTCTTATTCGTAGGACTCTCGTTTAAGGAAAAACATGCCAGGATAGCTCAGTAGTGTGAGTATGAGTACTAATTTTAATTCGATAGTATGTCACAAACCTTTGTTATATTGATGAGAGTCGTAAGATATGCTGCTTCAGGTCTTTTGGATTGCTGTTTAATAGTTATATCGTAGAGATGAAGTATTAGATATAGTGTGAGGGCTGCACTCATTACCAGACCAATAAGTTGTATGCAAAGACTTGCAATGCCAGTGTGCCGTGCCGGTATCTGGCATAAGCGGGTCATTGCTGGATTATTTAGCGGTACATTCTTGACCATTATTTCTAAATATTTGAAATTTCTGGCGTTATGCTTTTTTATGTTATACAAAGGACCTGCAAACATGGCAACGAGAATCGTCATGAGTCTTTCAGTAGGAGTCAATAACAGGATCAAGCAATAAGTACGCATTGCAATCTTCTAAAAATTGTCGAGTATGACTATTTTGTTAAATGTAGTGTTTTCTTCAGTCTTTATTTGCGTTGGCTTTACCAAAAAACAACTAAAGTTGTATCTTTGGCGGTTACGAAATAATGTCAAGAAACCACATACCATTTCCAACCGTCATATTTGCATTTGTTGATGATTTGATCGATAGAAGTATTTGTGACAGCAAAATTCTATTCAAAAATAAAGTTCTTTTCAGTTATGCTGATAAACTTTAGTGCATTCAATAATTGCTTAAAAAGCTGATAAAGGAAATAAGAAAGTATGTTAGTCAGATATTACTCTTGAAAATTTCGCCGTAGCCAGAACAAATTCATATGACAGCAAGTACGATTATGTTTCCTACAATTCCACTTACAATTTATTTTCTCCATTTTTATTTTTCAATTTTCATGTATTTGCAGCTTTGGAAGAGGCTTCATTCAGCTTTTGAAAAGTAGATGTAGATTTTCTATCTACTACGCCGGAATTTTCTTTAACCTTTTAGAAAAATTCGGTGTAGTAGTAGAAGAAAATCTATATATATTTAATGAATTGATTTCTTTTACTCTTATTTGTCTCGCCTTCGTAACTCTTGCAGAATTGAAGAAAGGAATTCTGCAGGATTTGTCATTAAGCATTACTAAAAAACAACTCGGTGAAGGCTGTGGATCATCCTTAATCACTTCATAATGCCACATTAAAAGATCGTATGAGGGATTAAACTGCTATTAGTTGGCGAATTACAATAATTACAGTAAGTAAGCTTTCATAGATTCTTTAATAAAAAGGAAAGGAAGCACATCTTAAATTAAATGAATTGTGAAAATTGGTGAAAGGAAAACAGTAAGGTGGAATTCGCAAGAAATAATGAAAAGACTGGAATAGTTCTCCAGATTAAGTTACCCATAGCAACGATTTCTAAGGCTGAACTACTTTTCCATCTTCCTCTCTTCTGGTCTCTGACATTAGATGCTTTGAGCTTGTCTTCACTATTGTTCATAGCTTCCATAAATTTATTATATATGTTCACATATAATTTAATCCATACAATGTTGCAGATTGTTCCACTTGCTAAGAGTTTTGAAATGAAGAAAAAAATTGCTGTTGCGAGTAATTTGTCCACCGAATATTATGTGTGCCCTAATTTGTGATTTACTTGATTTTTGTATAATATATACCTTCAGCAAATACATGCGATAATCATTCCGATGATTATTACGAGAAAAATTTTTGCAGAATTTTTATCTTTATCAACAAGATGCAGAGAAATTCTACATGTTTGCTGGGAAATTTCTACTTAACTATGTAAGTTTTCAATGTGATGATGTTACTATTACTGAAATTTGACTGCAAATTGTAATTTGATTCCTTTTTATCAGAGTAACATGTGTTTTAAATTCCGACTCGATTTCAGACTCTTTCTGACTCTGTTTTTTTTCTTATGTTAAGTGCATTTGATTCAACTGAATCTGATCGTGCCATCGGCGGTAATTTTTTCCTGTACATTGCCATTTTTTTTTAAATATTTCTTACCCCAATAAAAATCTGTATATTTGATAACTGGGGAACTAATGTTAGGATAAGATTGAAGCATTTATTGTTGTTCATGCCTTTCCTCAACACATTTTTGAGTTTTCTTTGATTCAGTTGACCTCCTCATCTTGTTTTCAATTTTAGAACATCATCGATAGTTCAATATAACTTGATAGTTAATCTAGTATGAATCAACCATTCAGGTATATTATTAAAGAAGTTTACACTGAAAAACGTTTGCAATCCTGATGACCATAACTTTCGTACTATTGAATTTTGAGGAATTAAATTACTAAAAATAGCTGGATGATTTCCATAGAGATGCAAGTGCTAGAACTTCTTTTTTCGTATGTATAATTATTTCAATCAGCACCTTATTTATAAGCATGCTTACAGATGAAACTTCAATTAATGCTGAAAGCTGCAAGTATAAGTATAATTCTGATAGGCCGAATCGCTAGGATATTGTGCAATTTTCTTCTATCATTTGAATGTGATTGGCAAGCTTTTCATCACATTTTCTTTTGAGTAAAAAGCTACTTTGCTGGTTAGTTTATTAATCAGCATTTTTTTAAAAAAAAAAGAATTAAAAAAGATTGAAGTTCATTTCTGTAAAGTTTGAGGCAAATGGCAACGTTCGTAGCGATAGTTAATTCATGATTTTTATTGATCAGATATAGAAGCATAATAAATTCATTGCATTAGCTCCACAGGGGCAGACAAATGTAGAAATTCAGCAATGTATCATTATGTCGCATTAATCAGGACTGCTTGTGTATTTGGTATATTTTTTCTAGCACCCACAGGCTCTAAATGATCTAAAATTTTTAATTATCAAATATTGTTAGACTTTTTGAATTTATTGAAATAGAAGGAAATTCAGCTAATAGTAGATACGGTTACCGTGGCTAAAGAACGTTGGAGAAAACAATCTGTTAACTATGAATTATTATAATTGGTTCTTCTTGACAAATGAAATTGAAACGTTTGAAGATTTCAAATCGAAATTTTCATAGAAGATATAGTATTGTGAAGTGATCAAATTTTTACATTTTTACTTATCATCCTTTACCAGTGCGGTGACTCAGTTTCATCAGCACTCAGTTTTACTATACTTCAGCATTATGTGAGATTGGTAAACGATTAAATAAGAACGGGACGAAAATATTGATCTGACCAGTAATCATCAATACTTCCTCTTCTGATGAAAGTAGTTACAACTTTTTAGCGAAAACACTATCGATGTCATTGAATCCTACCAACTGTCATTTCAGAGCAGTAAACTCTGAATCAGTCTAAACAATATTCGATTTGTGGTAATTGATCCAGAGTATGAAAATTAAACAAATTAAATTAAAAATTATTCCTAACTGAATTAGCAGAGTAAAACATATCACGGTTAAAGAGACTTAAGGGCTTCAACCGTACTCTGAATCAAAAAAAGAAAGTGGGAGGAAAAATAATTTCATTAAAACTGAAAAATAAATGTTACTTACTTTAGTACTGCCTGGCCACAGACAGTTTTGTTTTCCTACGGTACCGCATCGAATTTGGTTTTGAAAAATAATTAAAATCAAAACGATAGAAATTTTCTAATAATGCATTATCTAAAAATAATGTATTATCTTAATTGTTAAATCACGTAAATTTATTATTAATTGCCATTTTTGTTCCATTCCCGAATGTTATTAGTTGTACTTTCAAGACGTGTATCAGTAATAATGGATATAAGGAACATGTAAAAAACTTCACCTCTAGGAACAAGAGCGATCTGCAAAAGAGTAACATGCGGGACAGAACCATCACAATTAACAAAGTTCCGGCAAAATTGTTGAAACTCCAAAGCATTCCTTCAATTCAAAAAAAAGAAAACATATTGCTTCTAATTGAAATAATCATCTTTCAAAACTACCACTAAGTATGTTTTAGCCTTTGTAACATTCAGTCAATGTTAAATATGCAATTAATCCGTTGAAGCTCAAATAATTTAGCATTTTCATTTCTAAAAAGAAATCCTTCTGGGAGAGAGCGCAATTTCTAAGAATGCAATGTTTTCCATTTTCACTTAAGACTAATAATATCGACATTTCGAAATGGATTGATAATTCGTCGTCTAACCGTTTTGCATTGTTAAAAAAAGGGATTCCCAGTTTCTCAAAATCAAGAATTGTTTCAGAGGCAGAAATAAATGTAATTTCGCTAGCTCAAAATTTTTGTAAAAATTTCGTGCTCTTGTAATAATTGCTTTCTGCATAATTTCTTCTCCGTAACTAATAAATAATTCATCCAATTTTCATGACATATAAACAGCTGGCCAAAACAATGAGATTTCAAAATATTAAAAAATTGACAACACTGTGTTATCTTGGCATAAAAAATGGTCTGTGATATTAATAAAATCCTATGCGGAAAAAAAACAAATAGATAGGCTGTCAAGAAAAGTTTACATTTTGAGCAACTGAAGTATATTGCTTTTTCTAGATGTAAACAAGACTTATAAGTAGAGGATATTATCGATAGGATGACGAAACAACATATTTCCTCCACTAACAGCCTTTCATGACATTGCTTTTGGATTAGATTTGATATTATTTGGTGTCATTCAACAAGGCAGACTATGTTTAAGCAATCAATTTAAACTTTACCGAATTCAGATACAAAAACTGATTCTGATTGCTGAGCTCAGATGATCGTCAATCCGAGTGTCCATTTCGAAGAATACATTATATAGTTTTGAGAGATTGTATATCTCTCCTTTTTGACCTGATTTGTCGCTTGAATCAAAATTATTTGTTTTTTATACTGTGAACTTGAGCTCCATTTAAATTAGCACAAAACAAATTGGACACAATTGAGCTGCATTAAACTATTGTAAGGTACAGATAGAATGAACTGCACTCAACTCAGTTATTTTTTGATAGTAATCGAAAACCTTTACTTAATTCGCTAATTATCAATATTGTCTGTTAATCGATAGTAGCATTATCAAAAGGATAGAATACATAATGATCAGGTATCGTTAATTGAAAACATCATGGTGTTATTTCATAGCATATGCAATTAAACATCGATTAATGTTGAATATGAATTATGCACGCTGAATTACTCCGTGATTTTCCGGAAAACACCTATGATTACATATGCTCTTCAGCTTATGCATGAAGAATAAAAAAAGTCACATTACTAATATGTGCTTGTCATGATAACCTACTGATTATCAGAAATCGTATGATTTCTGAAGTAGACTTCATCAAAATCTATCAAAGTTTTCAATTAAAATTATGTAGTTTATTTAACCGTAACAGAAATGGTAATCAGGTAATTCCCATGAAGATTCCTCCGCTATTCAACACTATATCTTATCTTTATTTGTAATTTCCGATGATTAACTCTTAGAAAATGTGCGCAGACAAAAAAACATTAAGGAAAAGCGAGACGAAATGTCGAAAGCAAAAAAAATTGCACATGAATAATACCCCAGCCATATACTACTAATGCCTCAGTCCTCTTTTTTTTAAATTGCCACCAAAATCAGTGCGACAAGTGGCAAACTCAAAAGAGCAGAACCACTCCTTGAAATCATATTTCTGGGGGTGTCATTATTAACTCACCCACTACATAGAAGTAACATTGCCGGAAAAAGTAGATAAGCGAAGTTTTATCCAAATTGAGCAAAATATTCAAAAGAGAACGTCAATGTCACAACAGAGAATTTGGAATGAATATACAAAAAGAAACTGTACATTTTAAAGTATAGAAAAAAACTAATAAAACTTCTGGGAACTTACTTTAACATTTTCTTAACGAGCAAAACGAGACAACAGTTAGTTAAATAAAGTTCATTACTTTACATAATCTCGCGATCTTCGCATAAAGTTCTTATGGAAAACAGAATACGTTTCGACTTTCTCGGCAGAATCGTTTACTTCCAAAATTCACTTTTGCTAGCAGAAATAGATTAAAAGATTAAATAGAATAAAAGCATTTAAAAGCACAAATTAAAAAGTCAAACAAAAGAGCAAAATGCACAGAAATGACAACTAGTTCACGAAATAACCTCAACTCCGAAAACAAAGAACCGGAGCTCGAGAAAGCATAACTACCTGAGGTGGGTCAACCATATCTCCTCGCCAACCGAATTACAGTAAAATTAAATGACAAATAATTCTGGAACATTAAGCAGTAGTGAAAGAATATATGATGCTTAGGCACATATAATTGCTATCAACCTATAAAAAAATAGGAAACGATAATGACCTTATCTATGAGCGTCACCAATTTAAAAAATTTTGAAGATTTTTTGAATGGAACAAAATATGGGCATAAGGCATTTAACATAACATATACACACATACAAATGGCAGAGTGCAGTGTGACCGTGTGAAAGTCGCTATCTCGAAGACATCAACTAGCAAAAGCCGGATGCAAATCTACCTCACAATCCACTGAAATGACAAGATAATGAAAATTTTGCAACATCACTTGTTCTCTTTTGTTAGACCAATTTTATAAAACTCACAGAAGACATACAATTACTCTAGTTGGTCCCACCAAATACCAGATTATTTCACACAAATTCTATAATTATATTTTGTTTGAACAAAAAAAAAGAAACTGAAAACTAATTCAACCTCTTGAAAGTGAAATGTCCTAAATAGGAACTGCTATGGGAACCCACCTTGTATCAAAGTAGAAACTCGATTATTTCAGTTGGAACAAATGGTGAATCACCCGATAGCATCTTGAATAACTTTTGCACACCAAATCAGTTTATGGATGTAGAAGTACTGTGATAATTAAACACATGAATTAGAGTGAATAAAAATTATGCAGTTATACATATTAATGGATCCAAGACAGTCACTTTTTTCTCAGAATCATTCGCAGCGTAATGCGACACCAGTCAAGCAATAACAAGCAAATAGTTTATACACAATTAAAACCGATAATTTTAGTCAAGGCTATAATACATTCGAAACAAAATAACATTCATTTAACAAAAAATTTTAAGAGGAGAAGGCCTGAGTCAATATGAAAAATAAAATATTGACGAAAAGAAGCTCTCTTCATATCATAAGTCAGTATGAAAATGTAGGGCTGAAAGGACATCGATGAGTGTCCCTAGTAACAAATTTTCCCAACGTGTTCTCCAACACAAAATTCTATAATTATATTTTATCCACGCAAAATTAAGCTCAGCGCTTCATCATAATGTTTGTTATTATGGAGTTACTCGTACATAAAAGGCAAATTTCATCCCAAACTCGCTTGAATAAAATCAAATGATTAGCAAATTTGACCGAATCATATTAATCATATTGATCTCTGAAGTCAGCCCCAAGAAACAATGCAATCCACTAAAAGTTTTTACTAACAATAAAATGCAATGAAACAGGTGAAATAACCATAAGCATGCAAAAAAACAGAAATATCAAAAACATAAAAACGAAATGATCGCAAAGATGCGATTACAAAGCTTATACATTGTAATAATGACTGATGGAATTTGTAAATACCTAAAAACTGTATAGGACATGACACAAATTCGAAAAAGAAAACAAAACGAATAAGCAAATTTCATTCGAAACAAAATAACATTTATTTAACACTAGTGAAATTAAGTGGCTCTTCGAAAAAGTTGCAAATCCACGAATTTTTCAAATTCCTGGTCCTACATAAATGAAATAAATTACCTCGAAACAGTGATAAGTGAATATACCAAACGAACAGTCCTAAATATGCTACCCGACGGTGGTAAATCAGCAGACTAGCTGTACAGCACCAAAAATGTTATTTTCAATTTTTGAATCTGTTTCACAGTCTCGTTCACTTACACTCATAACGTTCGTTACAAAAACCCTGGAAAGGCAAGAATGTTTTTTGACAATTACGTTTGTGCAACGAAGACAAAACCGGATCAAATTCTCACAAAAATTTTGACTGACTGAAATAGCGTGAAGAAAAAAATATCTAAAAGGGAAACAAATCTGCAACGCACCTGCAAATAATTCAGAAGTGTGTAACTACATAAAGAAAGCATGCCATGGAACTACTCATCAGAAGATTTATTTTCTTTAGTCTGCATAACCTCATTTTCCGTCTCATCCGTATGATGAACTTCCACAGAAGTGATAGTTTCAACCATATGCGGCTGTGACTGTACCAACAATTCTTGCTTAGCACTGCTGCCACTGCTAATGGTGCTTTCTCCTATTCTTTCGTTCCCAGCCGTTGATAGAACAGAAATTGAAATATGGTGAGCATTGGTCTCGTTTAGTGAACTAACAGGTGTTGTTGAAGAATGCGTAATGATCGCTGAATAAGCTGGTGGTGCAAATACAGGTTCCTTGATAGCTTCATTATATGTTGGCAGTGGAGCTGTACAGGCTTCCAAAAGAGCATTATAGCTGAAAATCTGAAGTAATTTTGGCAAAAGTGGATATATATATATATGCCGCGACGTCTTATCAATCTAACACTAATTTGTACGTGTGCTCTATGTTAGCAGTCGCCAAAATTTGGCTCTCAGTATTTCTAATATAATTATCTTATAATACAGCTTTCAAATAAATAATTTAGAGAAATTTAACATCAACTTACAAGGGTGATTCGGAGAAACGAAAAGAGCTTGGAGATGAATGAATATGTGATCGTGAATAAGCATTATGTGTAAAAAGCGAAACAGGAAGTCGGAGGGAATGTGACTGACAATGGCCACGATGACAATGCAACGAACCATGGTGAACATTACGGTGTCTGCAGATTGTACGCGCACGCAAGCAACACAAACCACCAAACAAGAGTAAACTGGTAATAATGATTGTCAGGAAAAGATATGAGCTGCCCGATGTCAGTTCGGCAGGGGTCGAAGTCAACAGCCCAGAGAAAGCTGTAATTACTATAAAATTTAAAGCAAATATACACTATATTCCCTATCTAGTAAACTCCAATTAAAGTGACTCTTCTTGAACTCTATCGAATGTTTTCAAAAGCGTGTATACCCATATCATGAATAAAGTTTATCTAACAGTAATGTATTCACCTGCGCCCTGTTGTTAACATAATATAAAAGCATTAAGAAAAGCTTTATAAATCGGAATTACATTAATTTACTTTGTCCTTGACTGATTCAACTGAATCATTCCATCACTTTTCTACAATAACCATGAATGTAACTGATTTTTTGAACACCTACTTACTAATTTCTTGAGAGTGAGTTATTACAAAACACGAGCCCTACTGTATGTCAATATATTAAAGATTTATAACTACCGATGAGGGTAAAGATGAGTAGAAGAAATGCGATACAACACCACTTGACAAGAGTGAACCGATGTTTTAATGCTTGAGCATCGTTTCGAGAACAAACCAATGGTGTTGTTCGTCTGCATGATGTTAGATGTCCACAATCACAAGTTGCCAATGTTCCGAACAAATTTTGTGCAGCATGACCTGGTACTGAAATAATGCTCGCGTGGAATGGATCGGAATGCAGTAAACTAAAGAGGAATTATCCAGATGTACAAATATCCTAATGAGGACATGAACAATTTTTTCTCTTATGTTACAAATTTTCATTTTACCAAGAAATTTGTAACGTACAGGTTCCTTAAAAACAAACGTATAGGAATGCACAAATAAACACATCATAATGATAAATATGAACTTACATCCATTAGCAGCACGATGTTCCTGCTCTTCGTTTGCCGCACGCATCAGGCGTGGCAGCCACATTCTCTATAAATACAAAAAGCTAGGCAAAACATTTCGACAAACATAACATACAACAACTGACAACGAAAAAGCGTCACATCTATTGAGGTTTGATAAGCAATGGAAGTAGTAGTGGCAAGAGATAAACAAACTACCAACTTAAGGTACATTTGGAAATGAGGATAATCTGTAAGGAACAATAAAAGAAAAAAAATTCTACCATAAGGAAAACATTGAAAAATATTCAAATATTCAACTAGTACAGTCAGTGGTCTCCATGGAAAAAGACACATAGATATACAAAATTGAAAATGTGACTTCATTTAAACTCACCGTCAATTACCACCCTACCTCGGCTACAATTGATATAACCACTACCTACCTAACAACATTCCTAATCCAGAAAATCTATTCCCTTTTAGAAGTTCTTACCACGGCGCCATCCGTGAAATTAAAAAAGTAATAGTAGAATGCGGAACGGCACCTTTGGATGGAGTTCAGTCTTGGATGAGCTGGAGCTTGTTGGGAAGTTAGAAAAGTCCACGCCATCTTTTTTGTCTTCATAGATTAACAATAAGCGGATTAAATTCTAAACCGCTGTCATCTAAATTGTTTAGTACAGTTATTTACTTCATGCTTATGGCGTATTAGATAAAATTTTAAAAGACCTTATGAATTCCGACTAGTTGGTGATAGATGGAAATCGTATATTATTTAGTTATCGCTTAATTAATTTCCACTTAAATATGTTGTCAATTATGGTTCGCTTCAAACGATAAAGCAAATATAAACAACTTGAAAAGCAATGTAGCTTATTCAATGTATTATTATCTGATTGGTAAGATTATATATTCTGATTCTCGGTGGTCGCATCAGAAGTATCACTCAAATGAGCATTATGGATCAAGAGCTATCCAGGACAAAAAATTTAACCTTCATGCTATAAAGAAGTTAAAGCATTAGAAGTATTGTCAGCTAAGTCAATTTCATCTCTGTACCCATCTTTATTGCCAACTATTTTGGAAATTATTCTGACATTTATTTTCATATAAAAATCCGTTACTTATTATTTGCCCTACCACATAACACACGAAAATTTTTTGAGTGGGGATTGAAATACTGTTCAGCTAATGACGTTGTGCAGTGAAATGGAATTGCAGAAGGTGAAGAGAGGAAAGTAGAGTTCGTAAGTTGGCGATTTTTTATGGATCTGCAATCATGCTAAGCCAGTGCTAACTTTAACCAGTCAATAAATTCGGTTAGATCACGCAAATAAACCAATGAAAACCCAGGTGAACTGATTTCGTGAGATTCCCTCTTATTCTTATTATATATAAACGTTTGATAATAACGATTAATATAATTGGAATTCTGAAACGTATTTGCTAATCCTCTTTCAGTTATCATTATAATTTACTGCTTATCCTACTTCTTATGTGAAGATTTCCAAAAGAGCAATCATGATTTTTTATGTTAAGACAGTAATCAATGTCGCAGTATCTGCACACGATATCATCCGCTATTCATATCCTAGTAAATCAGCGAAATTACGCGATGTTATTCTGCCGCGAATGTATAGAATCAGATTAGCTGACGATTAAATAGTACCTCTAGTGTAAAGTCTTTACTTGAAGCTGAGTAATTTGACGAGTAAAACCATGATCTTCTTTCATTGCCGTCCAGTCGCATCAACGCAAATTAAATGCTCCTGATAATACTAGTAGTTCTCATATTTAAAATTAATGAGAAAAACAGCGATAAATAATTGTTAAGGGGTGTTTTGAGTTCAAAAATTAAAATTTCCAGTCACGCCACTGATTTCATTTCTCTCTAATGTGAATGATGTGAATAGCATTGTATCGAGTAAAAGTTGTTTACAAACAACTAACAGCTCATCAAAGTTGATTTACAGAACGGTTCAGGATGCGAAGATACATTTCGTAGCAAATTGTATATGCTGACCATTATATTTTATTTGATAGCATGGTCCATCGGTATAGCGCTATCACATTTTATGTTTTTCTACATTTTCTAAAGGCTTAAAGTCTACGATTTTCAAAGCATTTTCTTTTAGAGGAGGAGATTCACACAGCAGTAACGATGGATCTTTTGCTTGATTCAACTGATGTAAACAAAGTTGACGGTATGGTTTCTTGTAAATATTTAAAATCAGAGTTTATCATAAACATCCTTTCAAGGATGTTCCACAAATTTTGACCATCGTGACATTCCAATCTTTTCTTCATTGAAAATATATTTCTTCATGTAAAGTTAGCGAGCAGTCACCAAATGAATGATAAGAAACATAGTTGACTAATTCCAAAAAACAGATTCTCCCATATTTCTTTTCATTAGTTCATTCCCCCTAAATAAAACATTAACAAGAGATTAGAGCTGAAAAATGAACAGTGATAAAGATGATTGTTACTGATAACATTGGATATTGGCTAGATTTGTCTTTTATTATACAAGCTCTGTACACAGTATTTATCCAAGTGGCGCTGTTAGCATGCTTTCATTGTATCCATTATCGGCTTAACGGAGTGATATAATAGTCGTGGTAGGGATATAGAAACATTTATCTATGGTAACTACTGTAGTTTTTATGTGGTATGTGGTGGTTCATGTCAATTGATACTTTGTAACAGCCTTTTTGGACAAAAAGAAGCAATAAAGACCATTAAAACAATTGCTGAATACAACTGCAGAACAAGGAAATTACAACTTTATTGTTTCTTCAACGAATCTCTCAAAATGCCCAGTTTTCTAAATACAAGCATTTTTTAAGATCCCTTACCACATCATCAAAGAGATCGTACTGCTAATTGTTTTTTTCAAAAAATGATGAGTTGCATTTCATGAATGGTGTAGGTTGCATATTAAAAAGTTTGTACCGCATATATACAAAAAGGATTTGTAGCATATTATTGTGTTTTCTTCATACGACATTGAATTTAGAAAATATTCAAAAAATATGGTTTTGAACTACACTGTACTCAATTTGTATCCATCAACGAAGTGAGCTTATTAAATTTTAAGAGAAGTATAAGTGATAGTATCTATAGATTTATGCATGGTTGTGTTTTGAAGATACAAAGAATAATAATGGGATATTTTTGGAAATTTCGGATTAGACATGCAGAGTCCAACAAGTTTACTTGCTTGAGGCTTGGGTCAGGCACGATCACGATAGTTCAAAATATAACTTACGGCTTACTGATTAAAAGTGGCATTTGAGTTTCGTTATGTTTTCATCAATCATTTCGGAAGCAATCATTTCTCATCAATTTACCCAAATTAAGCAATTATTTGATCTACTTTTCAGGAAATGCGATTTTCTGGAGTAATCGTCAATTGCAAGAAGAAATAAATTCAACCCGAGCAATCTTATAAGACAATTCTACATTTCAACTTTTTTTAAACGGTCCATAAACACGCTATATTGTTCTATTCAAGCGTTTCAGGTCAATTGATTTTTTATGTAAGACGAATTAGATTGTAAAAAGTTTTGAGAGATATGGGATAGGTTTACGGAAAATCTAAAAGTCAGAAATCAGCTATTTTGGCGTCTTACATTTTATGGATCTTTTTTTTTACATATGCAGATTAGATAACCATGTAAAGATTTGAATATGGCATTCTTTAATTGTGAAATGGTGCTGTCATTTTATGTTTTCTTTTAAGTAATTTTAATACATTAAAATATGGAGCCTACAAATAAGCCTACAAAGATAAAATTTAACATGAAAATTGTGGTACATAACACAATGCTTCCTTATGGGAAATGAATAATGCACTGAATATATTGAAATCCTAACCTCTTGAAAGTAGTAAAAATGCAGATTGTTGTGAAGTCATATTCAAAAAAGAAACACACCGACATCGGACTTAAACAGCCTAATTCGCAGAGATCCATGCATGATTTCCTGAAGAGAATGAAGTAGATGACCTTGTTAACTACACACATACATATACACACAACATATATATATGCAGAAACATAATTCCTCATGCATGTGGTCAGACCGATAAATAGGACTGATGAACAGGTGGATTTCTTCTTATCGACCCAAATTGATCATCATTTCAAATATGTGCTCAGGCATCATAATGCAACGCATTATGTTTAATGACCTCACTTTTCCTCATTTTTTTTTCTCTGAGCATTTTGTAAGCTGTAATATAAGAACGTTTTATTGAAGAGACTGAAAGAATCAAAACTAAATAAAATTACTGCATAAGTCGGAAATGCTACGACTTGCTTTATTATTACGTACAACTTTATAAACGATTTGATCAAATTGAATTCGAACACTTCATCCTACTTCAAATGTTAGCTATATCTTTTGTGCCTTATCCTAAAGTGACTCGTGTAAATCAACTTCCTCACATATTTGGTGATATAGTATCAACAGCGTAGAATGCATCAATCCTCCAACACTATCACTGCGATTAGATTTGGTCATATCACTGGCTGGCAGTAAAAGTTCTACAATGATATTGTCTGCGACCACTAGCATTAGCTCGTTAATAGCCATTTGAACTTTTCAGGAAAAACTCAGAAAAAGATGATAGTTAATTGCGGGAGATTCAACGGAATCGCTTACTTGTCAGCAACCGGTTTTCTGATGATAAGTTTTCCTTAGCATAACCAATCTGCTAAAAGTGAATGTTGTTTCAACGTGCGAGACTATTTGTAATAATGTTGAACAAATTACTTGCAAGTCTCTCGAAGCCTGGCCACTTCACGAAAAACCGGAATTACTATCAGTTGTGGTACACCAATCTTCCTCATTAAAAACAGCTCATCAAAGTGATACAATACAGGTAAGAAATTGAAATAAAAGAAACCGGAAATACAATGTCACTTCTGGCTGTGTGCTTTGTAGTTGTGGATGCAAATGTGCATATGTTTATTTATGTATGTATATATATAATATATATATGTGTATGTGTGTGTATGTGTATGTATATGTGTAATGTATCTATTTGTTTGTCCAAGGTTTGCATGTTTGTAGTATTAAATGTGTTAAAAGCAGTGGTAATTTCGTGGCGGTTTGGAGAATAATCGTTTGGTATGACAGCGACAAGGGGAGCGGTGTCAATGGCATAGCATAGTGACAGTTAGACCGGAATAGAGTGAAACTGACGAAGTTTGATACCTCACAGATAATTGGTAACTAATTTAATCTGTTGCTGTTATTATCAAGAACGGATATATATACTTATATGGTCAACACATAAACAACAACAGCACTGGTAGCCACCGGTATACGCTGGGATTAGCCGTGTCAGCCTTGTCCTTGCAATCTAAATGATTTTGCGATGCTCCCAATGTCAACAGTCTGAATCATAGTGCTGGAAAGGACGAGCATGATGATTCATTGCAATTTCCTTTCAGTCATTACGTTCCACACCGACCACTTTCTTCGACGATTTACAAGGAAATATTAGTTATTAGTGGAATAGAATGAAGCCAAATTATTTTGCAGAGTGAGAGTGATGAGTCGTTTTGGATCAGACAGACAAGAAATTTACCCGAGATCATCTACCACTTTCTTCACAGAGGAGCAGTATCACATTTCATCCGGTTGTTCACAACCAACACTTTATTGCCGTACTTCGTATTGCCGATTTATGCATTTATTCCGTCCTTTGATAATATATTTGCTGATTGCTTTATGCTTCATTACTACTAATGCATCACTTTATCCACCTGTTATCATCGGAAATGCCGATTTCCGCGAATATAAAGGTCAGCAATATATTGAGAAGAAGGCTGGCGAGATATTGGAATTGAACTGCTCAGCAATGGAAGCCGTTAAATGGATATTGCCTGATAACTTTCTCCATATTGGATTCGACCCTGTGGAGGTTCGTCCTTTTTATTCACACACAAAAAACATTTAATCTGCCTTCCAAAAATGTTGAACCGATTCTATTAGAGTAAACTTAAATTCATTGAAAAGATATGACATCTCAACATACGAGCATCTCTTGGGTCCTTTCAATCATTGAATTATAATTACAGTGTTTGTTATAATAAATAATATTCGAAATTTGAAACATTATTTATCAATAGTGTAGAAAAGGATTTTGAAATGTATTGAATGATATTATGGTTACGAGAATTGATAGCTTTAATATACAATAGAACTACTACAACAGTTTGGCTCTAAAAGATAAGCAGAAAACTTTGGCGTGTTACATTAGTGGGAAAATCACAAGGCTATCGTTGATGAGTGTCTCTGAAATAAGTGGATGATGAGCAGCACATTGCACTTCATGCGGAATCTGTCATTTTCCAAAAAAATCTGTCACTTTCCAAAAAAGTAACATGCGTTGCTATGATAAATTTATGAGCGTTATAAGCGTTAACTGGAGTGGGATTACATTGTATTACTTGCTGTGCAATTTCTACAAAACCTATAACGACTTTAATAATTTGATTTAATAATAAGATCAGTACTAAAAATTTCTATGAGTTAATTGCAGATTTTATGATAGTAGCATCTTTTATTAGCTCGAAGTTATTTGCCAGAGTAAACGTGCATTAAAGTTTTGTTTTTACATCAATTCCGTGAAAAATTACGAACCATTTGATATCGAATAATGTAAGTTTTGGACGTAGCATTTTACAATAAGAGATTAATTTGACGATTTAGAACTATTTGTAGAGAGCAGGAAGAGTCATAGAGAACGGTTTTGATATCGGATTTCGGAGTTTACGGATAGAACCTCTGAAAAGGTCAGATACGGGTGAATATGTGTGTGCTGCAGAGCATTCCGGATTAAGTTCTTCCATATATGTGTATGTATCTAATAGAAAAAGTGAGTTTCTTTTCAATTAGAAATCTTTTGGATATAGGTGAAGAAAATAAAGTTTGCGGAATTTACCGATTCCTTTGAAATAGTTTATGTTGATTCTTTTGTACCAAATAGATAGATATAAAATATAAATTTATGTCAAACAGGTTAGTAACTAATTATGCTATTACAGTTAGTAACTAGATAAGATATCTTCATCGCATATGAATTATATTTAAAATTATAATAAAAGTTTATCAATAAGAGACATTTCAGATGGGAAGTCAGTTAAAGCTGGATCGTTCCTGAATTCTGGTCCCCTAATTATTTCCAAATCACTCCGAGGAGTTAATGTGATCTTACCATGCAGAACAGATGAATTCATTGAAAGTGGTGTGGAGTTGTTCATTAATCACGTAAAGCAGACTAAAGGAATTCAATTTGATCCAAGGTTCATCTATTCTAAAACATATTGAACTGTGAGAAATTCGTTATTTAGCGAATTGTTTATTTTTAACAGCATCTTTTTTTCCTAATTATAATCAATTACCAGGATCATTATATACGTTGAGCATTATACAATTCCAATATTTTTTTTCAGGATTGGATTCGTTGTAGATCGAGATCTTCTCAATGATCGTATGGAGATACTGGCTCGTTGCGAATATTTAGGCCATATTTCAGAAATGGTAATAGTACCGATAAAAAATGATGAAGAGTTGGAAGGCTCTCCAGTGATTGAAGTGTCGACTGAGTGGCCTTACATTAGACAGGAATTGAAAATGAACTGTACATTTCACACAAGAGACGGATTTAGATATATGCTTACCTGGAAATGTCCTCAATGTGAAGATGAGACGGTATGCTGTTTTACAATTTGCTGATATCTGGTCCAGTTTAGAGTATGATCAGAATTTCTGAAGATGTTGATCATTCTTCAGATCTCAAAATTCATTAGACACCGAAAGCAAAATGGCCATTTTCTATTCAGTAAATATTATGTATGATGTTTTCTACCTGAGATGGCGGTACTATATTTTGCTGTTTTACTAATCAAAAGTTATAAATTACAGGAGTTTAAAGAATTTGAGATTTTTACATATGTTTACTTGTTGTCTTTTTACATAAGATGTATAGAAGCATCAGTGTTTTTGTATACTTTAAAGAATGTAATAAAATTTTAAGTGTTAGATTTACTTGTAGCAATTAGCAATACTACTGTTGGTTTATTAATGAAGTTGAAAGAAAGGAAAGCAATAGTTTATTGCTAAAAGTCTACTGAAAAAACGCGGTAAAAAGTTATTGAATTTTTTTCTTTTCACTGAGCCTTTATGACATTGCAATGAAAAGAAGAGACAAGAATTTAGGATTCCAATTTCTAACTTTCTTATTCAATTCACTGCTATGACGATTAACTAAAATTAAGTATTACGATACCTCAAAGAAGCAAAAATATTTTTAGGGTCATGTCATTTCAAATCGTTATGTGAAAATTGGCGATGCTATCAGGAAACTGTTGTTTATTGAAGATTTGCGTGAGACCGATTCTGGTGACTATGAATGCATAGTGACAAATAAGGATGATGTTCATGATGTTCGACGTAGTATGCATCGATTGCAAGTGTCACCCACAAAGGGGCAGCTGAAAGTGGTGGATTTTTCGGAAAATACTAATTTCGAAGAGGGTAACACTGTGAGGTTGTTCCATATAGCAAGAGCGTTTCCAAGCGATGAATATAATTCTGAATGGAGAAAGGTTAATAAAGTTAATGAAGTTTCCGCTTAATAATGTTTCCTCATTTAGCAAAACATCTTTCGACAGTCGCTTTGCTGTTAATCTACTCATTTTTAGTTTTGTTAAATTAAGACTCTTCTATGATAATCTTCTTTTCTTTTGGTCTTTTATATTTTGATTTTCAAAACATCAAACTCAACATTTCTCTCTTGAACCAATTTAGTCACTTCATCATCTTTTTTAATGACTTCACATATAATAGGAGCGTACTGAGACTTTTTTGTAAGAGCTTATACTCTATTGAGAAATCAATCCATTCATTTCACTCAGGAGTTGGAACTGCCTGGTTTAGTTGATAATGTTTTCTTTTGATTGTTCGAGTCAGTAATTAAATGGTTCCTTCATTCCAACTTTTTTTTGGCCTTATGGTCTAGGAAACTTATAGAAATTCCCTAATCTAAATTTTGTTTTTCTTTGCTCTAATGATGATAGTTTTTAGTATTCGAAAACGATATCATCCGGAGGAGAGTTCATGGAGAAAATCGAAAAAGGCGTTAGGAGTAAAGAGAATGCAGATCTTCATGAAGACGAACTATCAATCGTTAATGCCGCCGTTGATGATACTGCGACGTTTGTCTTCTCAATAATTCCATATTGAAATTCAAGAATAAAACTCACTGCACATATTTTAACCATTTCGGGTCACATTATGCTTTTTAGATTTCAAAACTGTGTTTATTGGAAATAGTTCCGATTTCATTGTTATAAACACGGTTCAGATTAGCTTAGGCGTTTCGTCTTCATTTCATTGTTGTAATTATTAGAATAGCGTATTAAAAATTGCTATTTTATAGGCAGAAATGAATAAAAAACTCAAACAAAATATAGGGCAATGAGCGTTGCTTATTATGGTAATGTTTCGATTAGAAAGTATATTTCAGCTACCAATTAGTGATAAGAGTGTCACAAGATTATGTTTATCGCAAAAATTGGACATTGTCCATTCGTCCCATCGATATTCAACCATACATTTCTATTCAAAATCAATTCGGTCAACTTCTATCATCTAATGTGCTAATTGATTCGAAAATAATTGTTACATGCGTGGTAAAAGATATGAAGCCTCGCAAGTTACGCCTACTATATATAACGTGAGTTTCGAATATTTATATACTAATTTTTTTTTTCACAGTCTTTTGTTAGTTCTGGTTTCTCGAATTCATAAATAACTTCCTTACTGGTCAATTCAGGAGAGGTGGAGATTGGGAAGAGCCTGATGACAGTGAAGAATTGTCTGGTTTCACTTTTGAATCCGCTATAAAATGGATAACATATGCGAAGGAACATATGCGAATACGTTGTGAAGATGATGAAACTAATAAGGTATTTTTAATTTTACAACCCTAATAAATATGATTTCCCTGAAAGTAAACAAAGGTGATATGAGATTCGAGGAACAAAAAAGAAGAGGGAAAGAAATTATTGTATTCAAATATTAGCCTCATGATTTTCATTGTTCCATTAGCTTGAAAATCTATTGAAGTATGTTGGTCAGTTATTCGAAAATTGTTCTAAATCAGTTTCTATGTTTGATTTTTTAATTTCTAATTTTTCTCTTCACATTTTTGATCTTTTTTCTTTTTCATGAAATTTGATTCATATTGTGAGAGTTTTGTAGTGTGGAAGTGTGATGGCTTTGACATTTTTACTCATTATATAAAAGAAAAAAGCCCAAAATCATGTAAATAAGAATTATTTGCTTTGCTTAGAACGGTCTTACAGTGAAATGTGCCAAAGATTCCGTAAAAGTTTCATTGACTGAGTCAATTTTTGATATTTCTGTTGAACGCTGCATGACTTTCTTTCCAATGATGCAATTTTTGCCCTTCTTAATTCTCTTAAAATGAACTGATTTAGATGGATGAAAAGGATTTGGTCATCTCAGAAGTGGAGACAATTAACGCATATTTTATTGCCAAAAAGCCAGTTGATTTACTTAATGAAGACAATAGTATCTATGAAAAAGATCATCTCGAGCTAATTTGCATACTTCCACTGAACGATGATTTGTTGGTATTTTGATTTCTGTAGATGAAAAGCAAGGGGGTAGTATCATGCAAATTTTTGATATATTGGTTTATTTCTACCGGTGGAAAAATGATCCGATGGATCAGTGAGATCAATAGTTTTCCAATATGCTTCATTTTGTTTTGATTTTGACTGTGCCGTTAAAATTTGTTTTTATCATAGTATATTGGAGCCATACTCAACTTGAAAAAAAAGCTTACTTATATCTTCTTTATCTAGTAATTTGTAGATAAACTTCAGTGCTTGGATGCTCAAACTGTTTTCTATCAAAATTCATGCATGTTTGAAAATCACAAAAGAAATGTAAAATAAATGAAAAGAGAAATAAACAAAATTGTCAAAATTTTCCGGAAAAATTGCTATAAAATTAACTTTATTGGTATGTTCGAAGAATATGACGTATTCTAGTGATGTTAGTTGGGTGCGAGATGATGTTCAATTACCATATCCAGAACGATATGTTACCATGTACTCTCAGAAATTCATAACGACATTGGATGATATTAGTTCGGGCGAGTCCGGAGATTATCAATGCATCGCCAAATCGAAAAATGATCGCATTTCTCGCAATTATACGTTGCACATCGAAGTAAGTTATAACAGAACCATTATGTGACCTTAATTTTTATACTCTGCTTTTCTCTTCACTTCATTTTCTTTTAACATAATTTCAAGCACAGACATCTTTTGATTCGTTTTTATAGATTTGATCAAAATATAGAATTGTTAGTCAGAAAATTGGTTTTTCTTGCAGCAGATGTAGGGCTGGATAGTACTATATTTTAAATAGTTCATTATGCTTTTAAAGCACTGAATTATTTTCGAAAGAATTACTAAAAGATTTTATTTTAATTCTCGTGAAAGTCGTGTCAAAATATTGACAGCAAATTCTATATTTTGATAGAATTGTGTCAAAATATTGACAGCAAATTCTATATTTTGAAAGGCATCTTTTGGATCTAAAAAAATCAAATGGTTTGATTTTTCCATTCATATTTCTGAAATTCATGTAAGTGAATTGATTTTAGTTTTATTAAAGTTTTGTCGTTAGCTTCACAGACAAAAGAATATTAAAGAAAATTTGATTGCTAGGTAAATGCAGTAGTCGCTCCTTACATCGTTGAAGCAAATGAAGAATATGTGCATCTGGCGAAATATGGAGAAAAAACAGAATTTGTATGTCCTATTGAGGGGAAGCCAGAACCACTTTACAGATGGCTTAAAAATGGCATTGAGTACAACGGCTACGACAGTTTGACGAAGAAAATTGATTTTCCCCGAGTTATTATCGAAGATGAAGCAACTTACACATGTATTGCAAGAAATCGCGCTGGTTCACAACAAGTTTCAATTCGGCTTGAGGCAAGTTCGATGAAAATATTTTTAAAATTTTGCATTGAAATCAAGTCAAGTTGTTTGCAAAAACGCAGTGTAAGTATATTGGAAACTATTACAGTTAATCGATGAGCCAGCGTATATTCGGTTATCAAAATATTGGTGGATTATTGGTTTTGCAACAGTAAGTGTATTGGTGTTGCTCCTTCTAGCATTTGTTTTTGCGTTGAAACAACGTCGCAAAGGTAAGCGGCAAGAGGAACAATTGCGCACACTTTACAATCAGTTGATGAGGGAATCGAATGGAGAATATCATGATGGACCCATTGATCCGAAGCAACCACTGCATGAGCGCGTTGAACAGTTACCCTATGATCGCAGATATGAAATTAGCAAGGATAAGCTATTTTTTAAGCAGGTTTCTATATCTTTTTTTTAGTCTTGGCTTTAATTCTGTGCTAAAAATTCGGTGCAAAAAATTCTGAGAGGTCTATGTTTATCAAAGTCGCTTGAGTTTAATTTTAGATCTAACGATATTACGATTTAATCATACTCAGTGTAGGGTAAATTCTGTTTACATCATTGTATGCCTTTTGAGGACGGTAAAAAGCTGTCACAACACATTTTATGGATCAGCGATCTCTATCTTCTCCTAAAAAGGAAAGAAAAAGTTTTCTGCAAGGAAAAATTTATTAATTTATATTATTAAATTCATCTGATCAGTACACATTATATATGGTTGCATGTTGAATAGTTGAGCGTATTGGTTGAATGTAGTTAATTCCAGTTTTACCTCCGATAATAGCTATCATACATAATATATCACATATTTTAGTCACTTGGTGGAGGAAATTTCGGACAAGTCTACTTAGGTGAATTGAACAAACCTCGAGTGAGTGATTCGTTAGCTGTGTCACATGTGCTGAAAGTAGCTGTAAAAGCTCCACGCGATGGACGTAATTTATATCATCAGAAAGCACTTGCCGATGAGCTGAAAATAATGATCGCTATTGGTATTCATCCGAATGTTCTGTGCTTGATTGGCGCTGTAACGAAACAAATGTCGAGGTATTATTAAATATTTTTGAAATACTATTTTTCTTTCATATTTTCAACAAAAGAATGTAACTGATTAATAAGCTAAATAGTAATGTGCGTATTGCAGTGGGCAACTCTATGTGATCATGGAATATTGCGAGAATGACAATTTGAAAGATTATCTGTCGAAAAATAGTGCAGGTTTTTTGAATGAAGTTGAAGTAAGTAAAGAACTGTTGAGCAGCGATGGATATTTGGCACCAACGCGGAACGCACAACATGAAGCTCAAATATACTTGGTTTTTCTATTCTTATTAAAAATGTCTTTCCGTGAAAGTTTTTGGGAAATAATCAGTTACTTATCAACTTAGATAAAAGTAGCAAATATTTATGCAACACTTTATAGCTTTGGAAGTAACATTTGCAATTTATGTTTTCTTCACATCGGAACATCTTGTTTAAATTTATTTACTTAACAACCATGTGTTATAGGCAGAGTTAAAACCCCAATGGGCCATTGAAGTAGATGAGGCACGTATGGCTGATAAAATGATCACCACAGGTGATTTGATCTCATTTGGATATCAAGTTGCCAACGGAATGGAGTATCTATCCAGCAAAACGGTATCTTTGATCATTTTTGTTCAAAAGCTGACCTATGCATTAATCCATGATAAATTTGGTAATATTCTAGTGTATTCATCGAGATATTGCTGCTCGAAATATCCTGGTAACAAAGAAGCGAGTCATACGCATAGCAGATTTTGGTTTAGCACGTAAGGACTCCACAGTTTATCACATACGAAGTAGTCAAAATGTACCCTTACCTCTCAAATGGATGGCATTAGAATCAATTCTATACCACAATTTCACGGAACAAGTAATGTTTTTCTCATGTTTACTTCATGTATTTGATAACGATATTAGATCATGTCAATCGATTTTCTTATGTTGGCTTATAACAATTTTTAGTCTGATGTTTGGTCTTACGGTGTACTGTTATGGGAAATATTTTCTCTTGGTAAAGTTCCATATCCACAAGTAGACAATGACGATCTTGTGAATTATTTGCAAGAAGGAAATCGTATGGAACAACCCAAACTTTCTCCAGATGACATGTTGGTTTCTAGGATTGTTGGCTGAAATTCCACTAAAGACAAAAAATTTTCCACTAACTTATTTGCTAACGTAATCTTTTTATTTTATCGCTCGTGAACATTTTTTTTGCAAACTCTTCATAATTTACATGGGGCTTTTGTTGAAAACTACATGCTTACATGGGGCTTTTGTTTGAAAAAAAAAAACGTCGAAAATTTTATCAACGAAATACGAATTATTTTATCTGCAGATATAATCTGATGAGGCAATGTTGGCTTTCGGATCCTAATAATCGACCTACGTTCTCCGAATGCAAAGTTTTAATGAAAACACATCTTTCGCGTGCTTCACCACCGGTGATTTTTTATGCATTTCAAGCTGTTTCCGTTTGATTACACTTGATAAATCCGTCATTGATGGTATGAACAATCTTTCAGATATTTTGAAATGCGACATTCTCAGCTGTCTGAACTGTATTGTTTTTTTATATTACCTCGACACTAATGATGGTTTTTAAAACAATCAGTTATTTGAATCTAATTTAGAAGCAAATTGCAGCTGAGCACACGGCTTGACAAAATGCTGGAAGAAGACCAAATTTTGATGGAAAAGTACAGTGAATGGCGTGATTCAGAGGAAATTGAACAGGATCTCAGGGCACAAGCTACTCGAAATGGGTTTATTGCTGTTCCAACTCAAGAACCACAAACAAATTCCAATATATACATGTAGAAGTGAACTGATTGATGAACTGGAAAGATTTTGAATAAAACGGGCAAGGATTTAAGCATAAGGCAAACATAAATTTCAATTAAAATTTTCCGTCTTCAAAAATTGTAAGTTATAATACTATCAACAAAACCGGAAGAAATTTCCTCTATAAGTAATATACATAGGAAAGCACCTCTGTCTCCTTATTTAAACAATTTACATTATATGAATTTGTATATGCGGTAGAGGATCAATTGGACAAAGAGTATTTACTCATTAAGCAGCTAGACGAAGAATACATAGCTGTTATGGAGCTTGAACAAAAGGAAACAGGGGTCAACTATGATTGGGACAGCTGAAGGAGAAAAAAGAAAACTGGTATAAGAAGGAATCGTAGTGAATAGAAGGATGACTACGGGTTACAGTTTCGGATCGACCATTACAGATGGAGTGAACTAACGATTTACAAGTCCACGTTGTAATCTAATAATGGGATCACTTAATAATCTACGAATCACTTCATGCTAATTTCGTAGCATCAATACGAGCTAGATTTCTTGTGCTTTTGTATTCTAACAATGAAGTTTTCATGTATTAAGTAACTTGATCTTTCTCGCTACATGCAGTGGTCTTCCTTATACGCGAGGTCTGTCGGCTGCCACTTCACCATATTATAAGAAAGTTAAGAGTCAAATTTGTATAAAAGTTTTTTCTTTACTAATACTTGATGCTACGAAATTATGAATTGGGAATTCATTTAAGGAATCTACGTAATTAGTCTGAAGTGGAAATTAATTTAAAGAATAAAACTTTCAGCTCGAAAATTCGTGAATTTGGAGGTGTCCAATTGTCGATGCAGCGGCACTATTGCATATTTATGTTTGTATTATGTAGGCCAAGTGTCATGATGCATATTTCTCGTATTCTTATACTTGTTATATTATGATTATTTCATTTAAAATTCAGACGCAAATGTCATTCAACATGAATGATGCAGGATCTCAACTGTAAAATTTTTGAAGTATTCAATCTTGCCATTATATTCAACTTCATTTGCATTATCCGTTTGTTAAAACATGTATAGATGCTTTGAATTTCTTCTGCTAGCGATTTAGTGCCATGTGATTTCACTGAAATGTTAAACTTTGCTGTTAGCATTTTGATGGTAAGCAGGAGAGGTGAAATTTACTACTGCTACAGGCAGAGCAACTGAAATTATATATAATAAATACATGAGATAGAATAATGTTTGGGGAACACTGCACTGCATTCGGATGTTGGGTGAGATATTTTTCGATAGGATTTGACTGATGCGATTTATTATAAATATCTTTAATTTTAGCTAAGGTTAACGTCGTCTTTTTCATTAGTTTGCATTAAAGTTTTACTTATATTATATGAAATTCGAAATATTGATTTGTCATCAAAAATTGCTGATTAAAAGGAAAAGGAAAAAGATCCTTCAGATTTTCTCATTATTTGTAGAAATTCATTTTCGTTCGTTAGCAATAAGTTATGGCAACCAGTCGGAAACTAGTTCAAACATGTCATAGGATCGATCGAATATATTAGTGATCATAACAAATACATCACCTGAAATTATACACTGTGCTGGAGTTCTTAAGCAAATGCCAACAAAAGAGTTATCGCTTATTAAATATCTGCATTGTATGTTCTATAGAGAAGAGATTTGCGCACAAAGTACATTTGTTACGGAGCTAAGTGCTCGTAAACTTAACTACAAAATATCGAAAGGCTGGCAATAAAACTGAAACTTTAACGCCTCAATACCAAAATGAAGAATTAATGTACTTGAGGAAACAAAGTGTTTAGCACACCTACGAGTGAATATGAAAGCTGAAAAACCACCTGGTGGGGTCGGCACATCTGTTGTATGGGTGAGCACAAGAAAACCGCAAGAAACGACTTTGATGTCTTATTTTCGGCTCAGTCAGATATTAGTAAAACCATTAGTTGGAAAGCTGAAAAAATATTAACTAATTGTAATGATAACTTCCTAAATGATAAAACGAATATAACGGAACATGCCAGTGATATGTTATGTTCCGCTATATTTATTGTATTACTGTTGGGTACTTTCTTAAATTTAATAGCATTTTGCTTCTAATGTAATTTTTTCGGCACGCCCATTAATTATAATAATCAAACGTACCCTGTTGGGCATTAGAAAGTTCTTTGTTTCAAAAAAAACTAATCCTTTCTAATGAGCAATAGGATATGTTTAACTGTTATAATCTTGGAATAGATGAAAGAATTAGCAAACTGTGATTAATCTCATACGACGCTACAATAAAACAATTTCATTTCGAGTACCCTTCATTATTTAACAAAGAGTAACGGAAAAAAAGTAATCTTAACCTGTGTATTTCTAAAATGTTGTTTAAATCTTCACTTCACGCTTCACTTCTCAACACACATAGACACAGAGCAGTCCCGCGGGTCATTTCATTCATAACGTCACGTTGTTATGGGCAGTTGAGTCCTGCAGTGAATCCTTGTCTTAGATATGACCCATTGTTATTGTTATCCGTTTTGTTGATACTGTTTGAGAGTTAGATGAGTTCAGGGTGGTGCTGAATGTGAGGTGATTTGGATTTTTTGGAATGAAGAGGATACTGTAAAACAATTGGTGTGTTTTCTACATTTCGTTGAAGAGTTTTTGTTTTTGTGATAGCCTCCGTTTTGAAATGTTTTCATAAACGCAAAGTATTAGAAGCATATGGGGAAGAAAAGGAAGTTATAGAAAAACTAGAGATACGGTTGAAAGGGCTGCTTTCATGCCTTCAGCTGGGTGGAATATAATGGCGGGAGTCTGTATTGGCGTCCAAGTCCGGGAGTGACACAACCACAAGCCATTTGATATTATGTAATGCGTAATACTATGGTACCAGGTTGGGTGCTTTACCTGGCCTATCTCTTTTTTTAAAAATTATAGCGCTTAGTGTTTGTCCAGTTAATTTTAATTTTGGTTTAAATTTTTTAATTTTGATATTGTTGTTGCGTTCATCAGTCGAAATAGAGTGGTTTGGAAATGGAAGAAAGCGCGGTATTTTGTTCTATATGTTTGGAGGTAGGTTCTCTTATTTCATTCTCTGTAGTCCGGAATAGGTTATTTTCATTGACATTCTGTTTTAAATCATACTGCAAGTAGGCTTCACCGTTGTCAAGATGCAGCAACCAAAATGTTTTTCTGCTCAAATTATTTAAACACTTGTTTATTTTAGCATGTAAGCTGGCCAAAAGCACGACCCAAGATATGCAAGCACACTTTTTGTTATCATTGCATAAGTACATGGGTAAAGGTATGCATTATTCACTTTATATTATAAATTTCTTTAGTAGTTTGGTTAATATATCTAAAAGTGTTGCGTTTACAAAATTGTATTTTGAGATTACTGTGGACGTCCTTGGAGCTTATATTATTTTGCAGATACTGATGTTAACATTTCCGAAATCAATGGATTTGTTTTTTAGAGGCGATCGGAATGTCCGTTGTGTAAGAGACCATGTAAAATATTGATGGTAATAAGCCAGGACGGTAAAGAATATAAGACATCTGTTAAGCGAAAAACTTCTGCTCAGTATCAGAGAGAGGTAGTCTATGTCATTTTAATAACACAATTTTTGTTTAGTTTTGGCTTCTTATTGACTACAAAAAAGGAATGTTTGATGTGTATATGTCATCATTATGCTGTTTTCAGACTGATGAAGAGCATTATCTATTTCAAGAAACGGAGGATATAACAGTGACATATGCTAGATGTCAAGTGTGCAACTTATCGAAAGACGAGCATTTACTATTGCTTTGCGACGGAATTATTGGACAGAATGTAGACGGAAGCTCAGTTCGCTGTAATGCTGCGTGCGTCTTTTTTTCATCAACACTGTATTGCTTCTTTCAAGTTCCGTAACGTGATGGATTTTCCATGCTATTGTATTAAATGACGAAAACTTTTTCAACTACAGAATTTGTTGTTACAGGTGTCATTGTTACTGTTTACCAGAAAAATTTGACAGTGTACCAGACGGAGACTGGTTTTGCCCTTTCTGTACTGACGTGAGAGTAAGTTTTAAGACATCCCTGATTTGTGTACTACCTGATTAATAATATATCTTCTACATCACTGTGATCATAATATTTTCCCAATAGGCTACGCAAGAATCAGTGTACAACGGTCGCTATGCACGACGAAAATGCCGATCGTCATCAAATCACCAACAGTATATGGATTTCAGAGATTCTGGAGTCTTAAATGAGGACCAGCCGGGTGAGAGATTGGATTTCCTAAAAATTGAGAGAAAAGAGTGACGATTAATTTAGTCACTTAAAAAAATATGTAAACAACATATATAATGAATAAAGTATATGTAATCATTATGTTTGTGTGTACAGCAATGCTAATATCTTTGTCAGTTTTTTACAGGACCGAGCAGAATAAGTGAAAGCTTTCAGTTGAGAAGATATATAGATGTTTTCATTAGCGATGAAATTTTAACGGAATCGAGCTCCGACAGTGTTAAGAGCGGTGCGAGCGATGATGGGATGGAAAACGATTCGGATTTTTCGCTTAATTCCTCCAAAGGTATGAAGATTTCGAATGTTCTTCCTCCAACAAGTACTCTAGTGATATGTAATATTGCGGAAAAATTTTTTTTATGTGCGTTTTTGACTTAAATAATATTTTTCAGGAAGAGGCATATTGTTTATGCTGGAATATGCGTCTAATTAGTATAATGTATTTAGGTTGAAGTGTTAAAGTTTATTAAGTGTTGTTGTACTTAATGTCAAGAAGATTCTGAATGGCTTTTCAAATATTTAGCCATTAAAAATTTTTGTTTTTAAGGGAAAATTTCTCCTATTTTCACATTCTGGCAGAAAACTGTTTTTAGTATTCCTACTGTAGTGCAGACAATACATTCATTAATCGGAAATGCTATCTCCTTGTGAAAATTCTTTTTTCTCTGCATCATTTAATTTCTTTTAATGCGAGCAATATTTACTAACTTAAGGCCTTTATCTTTTAGGTTTCAAGAAGCAGCAAATAGAAAGGAGTGATAAAAAAACCGTCCAAAGCCAGCATGATTTTAAATGTTAATCAGATGTCAGTGACATACGAATGATTGCAGATGATGATGCTGACTGGGACAATCAAGACGATATGGTTTTGGCAACAGATTCAGATATAGGTTATGATCCTGCTGGAATGACTAAAGTAACGCAACGGAAAAGACATAAGCATCGAAGAAGGATGAAAAAAATTTTAAAAAAAGCAAAAAAAAGGAAAGATATACGAAAAAAAAGTGTGAAACATCGTGGTCAAAAAGGGAATGTTTCTGAAAAAATTGTTAGGAGAAAAAACAAGCGAAGGAAGAACATGCGGAAAAACAAGGTAGCTACTAATTTATATTGCATTTTTTTTTTTATTTTCAAGATATAGCATTTGAAGACAGTGTATGAGTCGGGAGTTCATCCATCATTGAACAATTCATCACGCTGCAGGGTGCCGTTGAGGATCTTGCACCTATTGGCAGATGGATGAGTGTTCTCCTAAGAATGGGTTCGAAGTCAATGGCAAATATTAGCCATAACTTATTTTATAGAGTATGACTGGAGCTCAGAAACGTCTGGCTGAAGCTATAGGTTTGGATCTTTTGACTGGTCGACAAAAAAAACGGGAAAGAAATGTGCGGTATGTTGAATTGTTTTAGTTTTAGTTAAGATTAAGAATCTCATATACTCTTACGAATGGAACTCTTTTTTAATTGTGTAAAGAAAGTGTGCAGTAAAAAAAAATTGCTCACGTAATATTGGAATATTTTTGCTACTAATGCAGGTAAAGCTCATCGCTCAATGTCGTACGTCTTGTCAGTTTCCATGCATTTGGAATCAACATTTCTTCAGCTCTTTATTTTCAGACATTCCCTGTCAAATTGCATTCTTCGAGGATCATGTAATACACCCATGCTATCCATCAGAAGCGGAGATGACTTAGATGTACCGATCGAAACGCGGTATGTTTCGGGATGCTTTACATTTTTTCCAAATTTTGATGCATGTTTATATCCGGTTTTACTTGTTTCTCTATCAAGCAGTTTGCTATATGTATTGCTAAATATCCTGTTTGTTCTTTTTGCAGGAATCTGCAATCGACAGAACATCTCAACGATAAAACATCCAATGAGAAGCCAATGTAACTTAATTTTTGCAAATCCTTTTTTAATAGACTAATTTCTAATTCACACTTGCAACAAATTTTCTATAAATATAGAGTTTAAGAGAAGAAACAGATTTAATCACTTCAATTATGTTGGAACAAGCAAAGACTTTGGCACCTGCTCGATATCAGCGCATCTTACGTGACGGTACAATCAGTGAAAGTGAGCAAATGATCAAGCAGAGAAAAAAATTAGTTGACGAAAAAATCGTGGCTTATAAAGAATTATTTTCTTCGGAAGGCTTAAAGGTTAGTCTGCCAATTTAGACTTAAATTCTGTTTAGTTCCGCTTGATTTTAGCTGCAGCCGTCATCTTAATCCTTCTAATATCGTATAATTCCTCGCACTTCGTTTATACACATCTCCTTTGTATGCTCTAGAAGCAGACTGGCACGACAATAATTCATTTTTGATGCCGGATATTACTAAGTTCGTTGTAGTTCGTGGGGCTTATTTATTTTATAAAAAGTATGGACATAATGTAAGAAGTTTTAGGATGAGGAGCAATGTTTTGCACTTCATATTTCAGTTTCGTAAGTAGAGCAGAATCACGAGAAGGTGGTGAGACTTTGAATCTGATGCTTCTGCAATGCGTACGTCACGAATTAATTGTTCATTCATAGCTGTTAATGATAATAGTTCGGTTAATTATGTTTTAATTACTAGGTCTCTTTCAATACTGTTTTTTAGTTTTAATCAAGTTTTAAAATTTTGCTGATTTTCAATCGACTTTTCTTTCTGTGGAGTTTCAATTATGGGAACATTGATTTCGTTCGTCAAAGATAATTTAAACGTTTAGTCAAGTTTGTCGGTTGTTTTTTTGTTGAGACCCTATCATATATTTGCATATTTTGTTAAATTTGTAACTTATAAGAATTTTCCTGCGTGCTTTAAAATTTCAGATGTTGAGGTTATATATATGAGAGCTGAAATTTTTTGGGCAGTAATGCATAATTTCCATTGCCATTAATATCATCTTAGCGTTTCTTACATCTTGTGTTTGTTTTTCTGGAGAGTGAAAGCAGAAGTGTATCGTTTTGCCTACACTTTTTTCCTACCAAGTTTTACCCATATTTGTCATTCTTTTCACTTTCAAGTGATGTCTTTCTATTGTATTACCAATTTTAATGACGGCGCACTGCGTTTTGCGTTTTATATTAATTAGTTCGTAAATTATTATTAGAGAAGTGCATTGCAGGGTTCAGATGAAAACATATCAATGTATTCGGCTAGCAGCGGTCATATTGAAACGAAAGAAAAACGGAAGAGACGCCCATCACGTTGGGGCACTCCTACTACTTCAAAAAGCCATGATAATACAATTATAACTGCTTCAATACCTCTTCCTTTGGGACCACCGTTGACGCAGTCAGCAGTTTCTTTAGAAAATATACCGGTACCTTCAACAGAACAACAGCCGTCACAGTCGCAAGTGGCGCTAACTTCAAGGCCATCTGCTCTTAATAGTATGATTTGTTTTTCATGTTAAAAAATTTTAAGGCTTTAGCGAATATCGTAGTTGGTTTTACATATATGTACGTACATGGGCATGGATGTGGTATATTTCATGAGTAATATAGTAATTGTCTGTCTTATCAACTTTCGATGGTAGTTTATGTGCCTACCATGATTGTAACGGGTAACGGAGAATAAGGGTTCGACTCCGGAGAGGGAGCCTGAGAAACGGCTACCACATCCAAGGAAGGCAGCAGGTGCGCAAATTATCCACTCTCAGAATGAGGAGGTAGTGACGAAAAATAACGAGAACGTTCTCTTTGAGGCCGGTTATCGGAATGGGTACAATTTAAACCTGTTAACGAGGATCTATGAGAGGGCAAGTCTGGTGCCAGCAGCCGCGGTAATTCCAGCTCTCAAAATAATATACGTAGCGAAATGTAAAAATTACAAAATTTCGCTGTTACTATAGAATACAACTATACATTTTTAGCGGCTCCGTCTACGTCTTTTGCGCTCAAATCGGCATCGATACCACCATTTGGAATGGCTACTGGACAGCCGCAGATCAATTTGGGTGCATTTACTGGTTCAGGTCTAGGTCAACAGCCTCTTGGTTTAAGCCAGCAGTCTCTGGTCACTCTAGGACAGCAGCAATTAACCAATCTGGGGCAGCAAACTTTGGCTGGCTTAGGACAACAACCAGTACCAGGTTTAAGCCAACCTCAGTTGACGTCTATTGGACAAGGATCATTAGTTCAAATGCAGCCATCTTTGCTGCCGAATTTCTTCTTACCACCGCTGAATTTAGGTGCAAGTAAGCCAATTTTTTTTAAATGCTTATTGGAACTTTTTTTACATGAAAGTCTACGAATTGTAATGAACTCCGGATTTCCATGTACTTAATCACCATTAACCTTTAAAACGAACATATTTTAGTGAACGGTTTATTGGCAGCAGGTTTGCTTGCGAATAACAATCCATTGGCAGCTCCGCCGATCACTCAACCACTAGGTCAACCATCTTCTGCAACCACGACTCCTTTTATGTTGAATCCAGTGCAGCTTTCAGCAGCCTCAGCTCAACAACTCAATCAACATTTTGTAAATTTGGCAACAACACTACGGCGAAATGTAGATACGGCTGCTGATTCCTTACATTTATCTCAACAGCCTCCTAAACAGCCGGAGGGCGTCCCGCCACCCCCACCGGTCATGAAAGCATCTGAATCTGCATCCGCCAATATATCTCTATGTGAGCCGTTGGCTGAAAAAATCAGAAAATTAATTGAAGCTAGTAATGTCAGACCTCTGTGCGACTCAAGCGTCGAGGATGGTACCACAAAAATTGGTACTACAGTAAATGTGTGTCCTTATTGTTTCATAATTTCTCACTTTGAAAAATTTACATACTCATTTCATTTCAACTTAACAGTTTCATAATTAAAGAACTGGTTAGTTGCCTTTATATAGTATTGATATATTTCGTTTAAGGATGAAATAAAGAATGTGGTGCTGTGCGATGATTCAAAAGTGGGCGAGCCGGGGCGTAAAAGTGCTAGTGCGGACGACGAAGAAACTGGCGAAGCCGTCAAAGTAAAAAAATTTCACAAGAATGGTGCAATGTTCGAGGAAGCTCGACGAATGCTTTCTTCTTCACTTAAGAAAGTTTACAGGTGTGTGGATTCTTGGTGCTAATTAGATTTCCAAGAGATGGGCTGACTTTTTGGATGAAATGCTTTGTCGTTGTTTATTTGCATTTCTTTTCTACCCGTTTTCAGATTGAAGCAAATTACTAAACAAGAATATAAAGAAATAATGAAAAAAGGTGTGACAGCGTTATCTCAGCGCACAAAACTGGATCAAAGAAAGGTGGACGAGTATGCGGCAAAGTACGTGGAGTGCGTTGTACATCGCCGTAAAAAGCGACATTAAGCTCAGCCATCCAGTCTTTTCTGTGGGGTATTATATGCAGTCGTCCAACATCGATGTTTAAAAGAGTAACATGGGTTAAATCGCGTGTTCTGACGAGGGCGTCTGCAAACTTTATTGCGAAGGAACATCATGCGGTATTTCCAGATATTGTAGTTACAGAAATGTAATGCGGTATTTTAGATGTCTCAAACTCTACACTGCTAATCTAAATACACTTTTTAGTTAGGTTTTATTCAAGCAATAGTGAACACGCATGCTTGTGTCCTCGCTTATTCAGGTAGCTTTGACAAGCGGCTAAGCAGTAGTTTTGTCCTGCTTTTTTAATTTGAATTTGGCAAGTACTGTCTAACATAAACATGATATTGTGTTGTATTTCACCATTCTTATTATGGGTGTAATCATATGACAGATATGATAAATTTGAATGTACTAGAAGCACTGCAGTATGTCATTCGATTGTTGATTGTATTGAGAGACTTTGTTTAACAAGCAACATACTTGCATCGCGGCAATGCCATCCCCTTCCACCTGTGACGCAGTGCTTCCTGTTACAGTCAGATTGAGAGACCACGCACACCGGTTTCCGGAAATTTGCCTCTCAAAGAAAGTACATCATGGGTTTCGAGTACTTGGTAGAATTGGAGCCCATTCATTGTATAATGTTTTTTTGGCCAATTTAAGCCGGGGAAATTCTACTATTCGGAGAAAGTCTACAGTATGTACGAGATGCTTTGGGGCACGCAAAAGATTTTATGATGAACTTGTGTTGTGTTGAAGACGCTGGAAAATCTTTCATAAAAAAATCAAATCAGCACAGTACACTAGTTTGTTATAAAATTATAAAGTATGAAAGAACAAACATGAAATTTGTTGATAGAAACTGGGAGCAAAATCATGTCCAAGCGGTGGGTGCAAAAATATCGCAGTAGATCAACGGACGCTACAGTTGTCACACAAGAGGGGCGAAATGGAATACAGCGCCGGGTTCGTTTTCGGGATCAATCTTCCGCAACTCTCGCAATGACATGCGAGGTTTCGTTAACTGTTCCTCTTCCCACAGTACACTACAACAAATCGTTTACTACCAAAGGACAAAAAAAAAGCAGAATTACCACATAATGCTTTGTTCGTTTGAATTACATATTGTGATCGATTACAGAAAAGTCCCTAATAAACATACCGTTTAAAGTGCTCTACTTCCAATTCAAGAGGATCAAGAAACTCCAATTCACTGTCAGGACGCGGTTTGAAGGCTTCATGTGGGTCAAACTTCATTTCTGCGATAGCGATAGCAATGCGTGGATCACCTGGTTCAAAAATCATCGGGTTTTGGTTGTGGAAAATCTCATCCTCTCTTGCGAAAGCCGCAAGTTTCCGAGTTTCTGAATCATAGTCCGCCAGTGGACTCGATGACGAAAGAAATGTTTTGGACGCTTCATTTCTCTTTGGACGGACTGCAGCTGTCAACTGAATGGAACCAGGCAAAGCTCCATCAGTTCCAATCTTCAATATAAAAGACATTAAAATAACATATGCAGCATCGTAATACTTTCCCCAAAGACCGAGAGCATGATAAAGCTAGACTCCTTGGCAAAGCAAGCTGCAATCTTATAGTTTAAGTAAATATAACTACTGTTGAAACTTGATATTTTCTCATAGATTTATGTCGATATGCCTTTTTTAATCCGAAATATTAACATTTCTACTAGTATACAATCTGGTAACTCTCGTTTCTCCACGACCAATCCTTTTAAATAAGCGTGCTTAGTTCACCAAATGAGTGAGCAAAATGGAAAAGATTGGTGCAGCTTACCTTATTCGATTGTGCTGCGTTGCTTACGCATCCCGTACTGTTCATACCATTTCGAATATTGATCGGAAATTGTGCATTTATGCGCTGTGGCGTTTTCTGTATTTTGGTAGCAACGACACCCTGCTCGAGAGAAGTGAAATTCAGTAAATCTAATTTAGACACGAGTAAGCTATCCAAAATTATATTATTTACAGGAACAGCAATATTTGGTAAACGTTCTTTTGGACAAGAGGAAGAATCAGAAAGCGTAAATCCTGGTGCAGCGATATTGGCACTCAGAAAATTTTGTGCTGTACCGTCACTACTGCACGAATTATTTTGTAAAGGCGCATTCATGACACCAGGAGATCGAATTAGAGTTGTATTGGTATGACTACAAAGAGATGGCTTGGAAGACGAAGATAGTAAGTATGAGGAGAGTGAAGATAATGAAGACGTTTCTGACGCATGCCGTGGCAGTTTCTGAAAACCAAGGCAGGAAAAACCTGTGGCTGCCTGAAAAGATTTAGCATCAAATACAGGAATTGGAGAGATTGGTCCAACTCCTTGAAACATATCAGTTAATGGTTTATTAACTGATATGGAATGAAATATTGGCCCGACATATGGTTCTTATCATTTATTGAAATTTGACAGCTCCTTGCTTCATGTGCTGGGGAAGTTTGCAGTGACCGCAAAACAGGATCATGCGCAAAGTTAGCGCTCGTTGCTGACACTACGGGTGCATTTTGGCCAGATGAAGATACGACACACTGATTTAATCCATCGATAAGGTAAACTTCAGGTTGTTTCTCAAAATGTGTATAATAGACAGCTCCCCCTTGACAAGTGCCAAAGCTTGTGTTCGTTTGTGAAGGAGAGGGGGGGGGTATTGGCAAGACAGGAAAAGGAAGTCCCTGTGATATATTTGTGTTAGTAAGTTCAGCAAGTCGCATTTATGATATCTCAAAAAGACTTTGGGAAGCGGAGAAGTTTTATAAGGAGGTTCTGTAATCGGAAAACTTACGCTTGGAGACTGAGACTTCAGTTCTACCTCCGACAGAATTGTAGCTCCATTTCCTGTCATAGCTGTTGAAGAGGCATCCGATTTCTTGTGTAGTGTAAGCTTTGTAGCTGGCTGAATATTCGGACCCATTCCCTCACTTTCGCGATTTTCCATTTTTGAAAGCACTGCTGCGCAGTTGACCGGTGATGTTTCAGATTTAGCTATATTGTTTTCATTTTTAGAACTTTTGTTGCTATCCTTTCCTATCAGTGAATCTGCTTCTATAACCTCATCCTTCGCGAATGCATTTTCTTTTTCATTTTCTCTTTTCTCTTCCAATTCAGATCGCTTTGGGACACCCTCATTCTTTTTTGATTCTTCCTTATTTTGTATTCTCGCTCTTCCAGCTTTGGAGGCACTGACTTGCTCTTTTATTGATTTCAGTCGCTTAAATTTTGGATCACATTTTAGATCACTCCAATACTCAAACTCTAAAATCGGTTCCTTCCGAACTTCAATTTCTAAACTTTTTGATGATTGCAGTCCATTTTCTTTTTTTCGATCGCGACCATCTTTTTGTTTTTTTCCTCGCACTCGGTCCTACAATAATCCATTGTGACAAAAAACTGAATTGAACAAAGCCGCTCTCTTTTAGTACAAATTTATAACTTATCGAACATTTTTTAAAGTTGTCTTATAAACAAACTAGGATCCGCATTGCGAGGCCAAACATAAATGTAAATCTACAAGATAAAAGCGCAATTTCGATTTTTTTAAGCTACCTTAAAGAACAGCTTATAATCTATAGGAATATACCGTTTTCTTTTTTTTTGCTTCTGGCTTGCTCTGTTTTTCTTTCTTCACCCCTTGTTGCGTCGCTTGCTGTTCTTTTTTCTTCTTTAGAAGCTCAGCTTCAGTGACTTTCTTTTCCTCTTCTTTGAGTTTTCTTTCTCTTTGCTGTCTTTCCTTTTCTTCCTGAAACTATTGGTATAGTTATGGACGTCAAAGTGCACAAAATGTAAATCGCTATAGCCTACTAGTGATTTAATAGAGATACAATGAGGAATGCTTTATATTCTATTTCCGTAATCATACAAAAATAATATAGTTCTCCAGAAAATGATTCCGGCTAAATCTGGCCACAGCAAACTTGAAAGGCCATAACAAGTTGTTATTTTTATTGGCAGCCGTCTACAAAAAAAGATCGTGCGCTTCAGCACCCAGACCAAAAGCACCATGGTAATGGCAGAACGAATACGTTGATATAAGGTAAGATATGGATAGAAAGGATTTCCCGAGTTCCTCTTCCTCAACCTTCTTTTCTAGTGGTATTTCTAATTTAGAATCTCTCACAGAGAAAAATGACAGACATAATCAGGCCAAATCAAAACTCCAACTTGTTTTCGGAGCTTCTGTCGCGCTCGTTTAGCAGCTTTGCTTGCTGCAGCTTGTGCTAATACAATATCTTTTTCGTTAATGTAATCTAAAATTTCCTCAATTGGCGTGTCGGGAATAACAGCGGGCGATTCCTTAGATTCCTGATTAGCCGTAGCGCAGGTCAACTTCTCCTCCAGACTTTTTGTATCTGTTCCAGAGTGCTAAAATCCTGTCAATAACTGCACGAAGTGGAAATTTCGATTTAATGGCTTTGTAATATAAAAGGTACAAGAAATTAAAATGCAAATAAGATTTACTAAATTAGAACACCAAACAGTATTTCTTCAAAAATTCACCTTTATTTAAAGCAGTACAGTTTTAGTTTCTCTCATATAATGCTCCAGATATTGGGAAACTAAAAATAACCTCCTGTACACTTCGGCGTTTCAACTTCATTCGAAGTCTTTCCCTTATTTGCGCACGGCCTGATTTAACACTCTCTGTGGCAGCATGTCCAAACATTTCACAATAACAGCAGTCACAATGGCCGTGCCGCCCATCCCGACCTGTTCCAGAAGTTGTTCTGTTTTTTGTCTGAAACTAGTACCTAAAGTTAATGCAAATGCAGAAGTGGAATAGGAAAAAAATTCCAGAAAATTATTCAAATCGAGTTCACTGATCCAAATCCATGCCCTTCAAGTTCAAATTATGCTCATGTAAGCAAAAACTAACAACGCAGTAGAAAAGTGAAAAGCATTTTCTTGATATATGCAAAAAATTCACCTTATTGTCACAAGAATGATGGCGATGTGGGTGTTGTTCATCGAGTGCTTCGCAGTCATTCCATTCCTCATCTGTGTCCTGAAGGAAACTGAAGTTTGCACATGAGTTTTGGTTTTCTTGTAATGAGGGTATGGAAACTTAATGCCTTACCGTATCTCACACAATGAAAGTGTATGATCAAATAATAAATATAACAGTTTGTAAAACTAACCTCATCTTCATCTGTCACATCATCGATATTATCTGTCTGGTAGCCAAATAGTTCTTCTTTCGAATCTCTGAACTCACTTTCAATTCGCTTACCATCATCGTATTTACAACTAACTTTAGCGGATACACCTGCATTATTGCTTTCTGAACAATAAATAGAAACATATCACTGATGTCGTAATTGCTTTGTGATGGGAATCGAGGTATTAAGTCCCAGCACACATTTCAAAAGATCATCTTATAGAATGCTTCAGATTTTTTTATTTCGTCACAAAATAACTTTATTTGCCTTAATTTTTTTAATCCTTGCTCCAAAAAATACTAAGCAGAAGACATACCCGTCTTATTTCGCCTCAGTCCGATTGCTTGCTTCAGAAGTTTTTTGAGCTTTCCCTCTTCATACAATTTCCGCACTTCTTCAGGGAAAGTACTAATATCAAATTCACCCAAATCAAAGCTAACGTCAATAGCTGTCGCCGAATTAGACGTCGCATCCAAATTGTTACCCATTTTGCAGGAAACTGTTTTCGACGTTTTTCGCTGGAAAAGTCTCAGTGTCGTTAAATCTCAGCATTTCCTGCTCTTTTTTTGGCTCAAACGGCCCCAGGCAAACAAACCTTTTCGACACTGAATGTCTTGTTAATATCGAAAACAGTTCGTTGGTTGGTCAACTGCTTAGCGATGGCAGCAGCCAAGGTTTGTTTCGACCAGAACTGTGCCAAATTTTCATGTTCGACTTTTTTTGGCGATGACTTTGTTTTTTTATTTGTTGAACTCGAGGAAAGGGCCGTAGCAAAACTGACCGTCGTTCCTTTAAAAATTTAGTTTAAACCTAAATAAAAAGCAAATACCAATATGCTCAATGATATAAACTCACCAATAGTAGCTACGTCAAACATATTGGAAAATGGACACATAATTACTTACTGGTTCCTGGAATGTTTATCATTTCTCTGTCATTTCTTTTTTCTTGATGAGAAGTTTTTCCAGTCGTTTTCTGATTAACATTTTTTTGCGCCGAATTGCAGCTGAAGAATAAATTCGCTTTCATATGGCCCAGGAGACAATACTAAATAATATAGTAAATCTGAAACTATTCGAAGTGAGAATAATCTTCAAATCATTAAACTCCACTGTGACAACAATCTAAACGAACCATTAAACTCTACCGTGATTACAATTTAAACGACCCACCCATTCTTAGTTAGTGTGATATAGTAGACAAAAGTCGACATGAAAATAACTAGAGACTCTGGGAATGCGATGACTACAACCGCTCAAACCCAGGAACAGCACATACAATACCATATTAATAACAGAGTTCCATAATAAATAACGGAGTATCTTCCTACGCGTTTTCATATTCCATTTCCCTCGCCCTATTCCATAATTTTTCAAATAGGTCTTCCGATGTATGTTCAAAAGCACTAGCACATCAATTTTTTTGAAGAATTAGACTGCTCGCTTTCTTACCACAAAATAATTAGATCAGGTATTGTTCTCATCGTAAAGTAATGAGGAACCAACCAAGTACTGTATAATATTTACGCACGCCTTCTACTCAGTAGTAAACAAACACGACCTATCCAAAGACGCGAATATGCTGAACGAAGCAGGTCTTGAGTGGAAAAAAACTGGCTAAGAACAGGAGAACAGTAAAGTACGGTATGTGTTAGTGTTTCAGAGCATCGAGGACGACACGCTTGAGGCCAAAGATTTATGCGTGCAGGCACTAATGATATTTCTTCCATGGAAATCTGGCTCAAACAACGGTTAAACTTTGAATATCCTAAATTTGCTACAGTGGACTAATAAGTAATGTTGCTGTGTCAAAAGAACTCTACAGAACAATGAAAGACGTGTGGTGTCTCGGTCCTTGTGACACTTACTTACTTGTGTAACTTGGGTAATTCTTAAACATACTCACATGAAACAATGATTACGAAAAGTCTTACTTCTTTTCATCTTTGACAATAGTTCTGAGGTCAACAGCTTCGTCTTTTTTCGTCCAGTCCTTGGATAAACATTCCCTCATACTTCCTAACAGTCGACCCTGAATATGCCTTAACTAACGCTCAATACTGGAAAATACAGTTCGAAGCGATAATGAACTCAGCAAACTTCACAATATAAATACTTTTTCATGAAATAATTTGGAAATATGAATATTGTTGAAGATGTCTGTTGACAATGTGATTCGCAATTTTCAGATTTTAAAAATATACTTGTGAATGATTTCGAAAAAAAAAAACCTTATAATCCTCGGAAGATTTTGCTGTCCAACGTTCATCTTCGTACGATTGAACTAACCGCAATAAACTTGTTTCGCGAACCTTCTTATCCATACCTTTCACTTCACTAAGCAACCTCTCACGAGCAGACGCTACAATATATACCACCCAAAGTGTGTGGATATGCAAATTTTTCAGCACTCGCTTTGCTCAAACATCCACTCATCAAAAGATTAGGGTTGCGAAATGAAGTCGTGCTTTCAAAAACATTAATTCCGCTACCCGAAAGGGATTTTGCTGCTGAAATGCCTCCGCTGTTCGTATCGCTTTTATCAGATACAAGTTTGCCCTTCCTGATTAGACGTGAAACAGATGGCGTTAGTCCAGCTTTGCGCACCATTTGCGGTTTTTCCATCGTTTTTCGTCCAAAAATCTCTAGCGCCAAATCATTTACTAAAAATATGGATATAAACTATAGGCCACAAACTACTATTTCATAAATAAATTTTACGCTGAACATGAAACATTGATCTGGTCAAACGAACACTTAAAGGTACTTCGTAAATAAAAATGATTTTACACTTAAACAACATAATGAAAGCTCGAACTTTTACCAGCATTATCCTTTGATAAAACAGAGTAATGTCTTCGTGTCATTTTCTTCAGCAACAGCCTCTCTGGCCCAGAGAGAGGACAATTATCCATGCTGAAAACAAATAAAAAATATGTATCGCAGAAAAGAACAGTTTTGGTAATCTCTAAATATGATCATACAAATGTAGATGTAGACAGTAGTGCAAATACTAGAAGTATTCCTTTCTTACCATGTTGTTTTTCTTTTCCATCCTTCTCCCATTTTCTGAATTAAGATAAGACAAACCAACCATTCATTCGATCCTTGAAATGATGCCGAAGATGGTTCATAATCAGATTCTGTCCCATCGCTATCCCTTGCTGGATTATTTCCCGCTTTCTTTATTTTGAATCTCTTCACATTTATATTACTCACCGATGCAATTGTAAAACCCTTCAAAAGTCAGGACGAACAAATTTGTAATAAAAAACAAAATCAAGAACCAACAATTATTCCATTGTAAGGAGAAGTGATGTTTATTTCTCCAACAAAAATTCTACGGGCAATAAAGGTCAGATGAAAATGTTCATTGCTATCATAAATCGAACTTACAGACTTTCCCTCCGTGCGAAGATTTGTCTTCGTCATTAAAAACGGGCTCTTTCTTCCATGTTTATCGCCTTCTCTGATTTTGTTCGTTTTCTCATCATTGATAACTGGAAAACTTTAAACATAAGGACAGATAAAAAAATAGATAAGTGGTATTCTTCAGCTACAAAAAACAAAACGATTATTTTCGAAATAAACCTGACGAAGTCCTTGGCACATTATTACTTTCAAATTCATAAATCGGCGATCCCATTCTAAAAAGAATATTCTTGGCATCTCAACATTATCAAAGAAAAACTGAAAACAAATCCGAAAATTAGAAAAACTAAATAAACTTCAAAAAACCAAAAAAAAGTTTTCCCACTTGCATCCTTTTGTCATCAGTTCGAATGCTTCCTTGAGAATTTCTTGATATTTCTTATTATTTGTTAAGTCAGACGAATCGGCAGTGTCAGTTCCGTGCTCCTCTTCTCCGTCTGAACATTTATAAATTTTACAAATTAAGAAAATTCATACATACCATACGAGAATTTTAGAGCAAACTGGCAATATACCGGTCTTTATTTTCAAGTACTTCCATTGTATACCTGTCCGATTATCCATTGAACCAAAGTCGCTATGTATGCCTTTTTTTTCACAAAAACAATGGCCGAGATAATCGATGTCATCTGAGTAACCACATGGTACCTGCCAATCGCCCCAAGCTGTTTCTTTTCTCTAAATATTTGTCAAAGTTAATGAAGACATTACTGAGGTGGTGATCGCATGCAATTTAATAAAATTATTTCAATTGTCTAGGTTGAAAATAAAGAATAAATGTTGGATACGATTTTTGAAATCTTCGAATTAACAAAAATTTTTTTAAACGATTAAAAATGGTACATTGTGATGATCATGCAAGGTGAACAGCGTTCTTGCAGTCTGAAATCGTAAACTTTGATTAGGTAAACGTTTAATATTTGGGAGAGATGATACTTTTTGTTGCGAATGTTCTAAATGCGAATCTCTGTTATCACCTCCATCACAATAATCGTTCATAGGCTGTAAAAATAAAGTTCAATTAGAAAGGAAACTGAATATACAATAATTGCGTAAGCATTTTTTGACTAAAAAAAAGAGACGAATTTGGTGACAAATTGCGAACCCATATTAAATTACTTATGTCCTCGCTATCAATTAGTAAACCACGAGTGATGATATGCAAAATTCGACATTCATCACAGGAGCAGTGTCGGAGAGTGCACCTTTTGCACCGTAAGCAAGGCAACACTTCGCTACTTTCATCTGAAAATTTTCATTATGTCAGTCCAGCCAGAATGCAAAATGAGAGCAAAATAATCTATACAGTTGAGTTATTTAAAACCATGCTATCCAGGAATGATACTGACTGCATATTAAACATATGAACAAAGCCCTTTAAAAAAGTCTTTTTAATAGAAAATGCATACATAATGCTTTTTGAAACGATATATGTGCACTCATAAGAACTAACCAGTGCAAACAGAAGTTACGGGTCCCTCTTCAATAAGTTCATGTAATCTTTCCGATACATTGATATCGTCAGCTTCCGAATCGCTATTGTCACTGAAATGACGTGATTTGGGCAATATTGAAATCGCTAGAAAAATAAAATTAGATCAATGCGATAAAAAGTAAAAAGTATGTTATTTATTTTCGAGCATCTCATAGAGATGATCTTCAAAAATAAGTTGTACAAACTGTCAAAATAAAGGCCGACTACAAGCCGCTATATATGCTAAACCCAGAAATCACAAAAACGACTAATGGTAAAGATTCTCAAAAATTTCCGTTAGTTCCACAGTTAATCTTGCTTTGATTTGCACAGTCTATGTCGGCCAACATTTGACAACGTTTTTACATGCTCATAATGCATTCATTACATAGGCGCTGCAATGCTTCCACACTATAATCAATACGGAATTGCCTACGTCTAAATCTATGGGAGCAATGTAAATTTAACCCACAATATCTTGTAACGAAAACACTTAAATATACGAAATTAAGTAAGACTTACCATTCATTATCTATTAAGTCAGATAAATCTCCAAAAGCAGTTAAATCGGCATGCCACTGGTAATACTGGCCTTTTCGCAAAATACAATTGCGGATCACTTTACACTGGCTTTTGAAAAATTCTAAATCTTCTTTCAGTAATTCATCTTTCACTTTGCGCTTAATCTGGAAAGATTGATTAGAATCCTGATCTTTTTTGAAACAAAAGGAGTAAAAATTCAAATGTCCAGTTCCCGCCAGCTGACGAGTAGGCGGAGTTCTTAATTTAGCATCATTCCATGAATTTCTTCAAAAGATGACTAAATTTTTGCACGACTTACCTGATTAATAACTTTTTGCTGCTCGGTGTACAATACGATATTTGGACTGGCCTTCTTAAATATTTCTCTGCTTGTAACCATTAATTTATGAAAAATGCGAAAACTTTGAGCAAGTTCGAGAGCGCCTTGGGGAATGTCTGTACGACTAGCTTCAGTGTAAGCTCGTTGTCGGCGATCTTCTTCATCTTCATCATCATGCACTATCAATTTACACCTGCAAAACAATTTACACTTCAATGTATCTACTTGAAGTGTCTATTATTGCATATCGAGCCGTTTAATATTAAAATTAGACAAGAATTCTGAACAATTACTTCTAAACGAGTTCGGCCACTTTGTGCAGCATTATGTAATTACAAAAATTTCAAGAGTATGTATTGTCGCTGGTTAAAAATGAAGACTTGATATAAGGAATAAACTCAAATTGAACTTAAGATATGTAAGATAAAACCCTTTGAAAAACTACTTTTACGGTTCTATACGAGCCTCCTGTGACCCAGCTATGTTTATATTATGTCGATGGTTAGAGAGGAACAATTCGAACAGCATGTGAGTATAAGTGACAGGAATTCGAATTATTTCTCCCAAAAGTAGAAGGCTATGTTAACTTGGAATCATGTCCGATCCGTAGTTGAGCAACGGAAGAAATGATGCATCGGATATACAACCTATATCCTCGTGAGAACTTCAGGGTAAGTTATGACGAAGCAAACGAGTGGACCGTAGTCCAAAAGTCATATTTGGACCCGCGATCGATTAGTACTGTATATGCAGAACTAGGTGAAAACGACTTCAATAAAACATAACCTTCTTTGAAAACAGTACTGACCATTGACTAGCGCAATCTGTGAAAATACTACGTAATAAATTAACCTACTTGAGAGCACTTTCCAGGTTAGGCAGATAATTTAGCAAAAGATCATCTTGATAAATGACTCGGTCGAAAATGTGGTGATTTACGACTTTCCAGCTAATTCCAAATTGCGAAAGGTAATGTTCATCCTGAATGAATGATTCGGATAACTGGTCGGTAGAATGCAGAACACGAGGAATTCTTTGACAACAGATAATAATGGTTTTATTTTGAATTTGAGGACTTTTTCTGTTTTAATTATGCTTTTTTTTATAAATATTGCTGTTTATTTTTAAAGAATGCTTTCATATGATATGTTCCAAAACTAGTTTTCCTTAGTGCTCACAAAATAAAAATCCTAGGAGAGAACTCATCACTTGAAATTATTATATATTTTTTCATTTACCTTCTTCGTCTCTATTTTCAGACCATTTCTCCTAATAATCTTATTTTACAAAAATTAACTCGAATATTTAGACGGAAAAATTACTTACTAAGACGGCTAATAGTGACGACATATTCCTTGCAGTTTCCTGCTGGCAAGAAAAGCGATCGAGTAAAGTTTTAATAAAAAGTTTAGCACGTTCAAGTTCCATTTGCTCTTCACTAGCGCCGGCTTTATAAAGCTGCAACCTGGGAGTAATGGAGTCGTTTTATAATGTTCACCCTGGAACTTCCTCTAAAGAAAACAAAACTGCAAGCGGAGACTCTATAAAATTAGTGAAACCTGGATAAGAGTGGGTACGACTTGAGGGGCCACCAATATCTGCCACAAATCATCTGATTTCAGGTTCATAACATATTCGTGTCCAATACTCTCCAATCGCTTGTACAGTTGATGAGGATCCTTCTCAGCCAATCTGAGCAATGTTTTATTTGAAATCACATGCGAAAATTTTTATTCAATAAGTTTGCATATGCAGTGCGCTATACAACGACGCTAAAATTGAAATATCCAGTCCTTTAATACGAACCAGCAATGTTAAGCATGCATTCCACAATTATTTAATAAGCTTTGTGAAAACCTTATTAAACGATGTTGATAAAATACCTAAAAACTTATCGAACTATTGCAATTAGTATGACATGACTTTGTTCATTAGCTTACATCGTAACATTTCGTTTTATTTTGTCCACATCGAATCGCTTTCCTTTCGATGATGTCATATTGGCATTTAGACCATCGCGGAACATCTGTCGGATATTCTGACGTAAATCATGCCAACATCTCTGCAGCACTTCGATCTCCTTTCTTCGCTCTTCATCCATAAGTCTAAACAGATTTCTGCGTTTAAAGTTAGCGAATAAGAACATTTCGACCATATTACATTAATCTGTCTGAAAAACTTCCGGCATGAAAAGTTGCAATATCGATAAATGTGGATCAGTAGACTTTATGAAGATTGTATTTCGCTTCCTAGAAAACTTTTGGGAACCTTAAAAATAAATGAAAATTCGGGGAGAAATTATTTAAAATTAAAGTTATACGTACTGTCGTCGAACACAGTTTTGACATTTGCAGTGACCATAAGCATTCAAATCAGCGCCGGTACAACCTATCGATACTGATCGCGCTTTATCATTATTCTGAAACCATATCATTTTTTATAAAATGTAATTAGTGGGAAAAAATCAAAACACAAAACGCATCCGGCCTCATTTCCAGAATGTCACTTTCATGAATCAATAATATCTGGAAGTTTCGGAGTCAAAAGAAAAAAATTCACCAAGTCCAAAATATGATTTTCTTGGATCTATTCAACAAAATCGATTTGATCACGTTTAGAGAAAGGGAATGTTGAGCATTTGCTATGTAATGTTAGTACAACTGTGTAACTCAGAAATGATTTAAATTATATAACTTAAACACATAATATATATTTATTCCTTTATTTATATAAGTGCCACGAGACTGCGTTATTTCTTGGAAGCCAAAAGGAAGGTTTGCAAATGCAAGTCGTGTTCAACTATATGGAATATTTGAAAGCAAATAATATTGTTAAAGGTGTTACAAGATTAAATCTTATGATTACAAAAGTGTATACTAAATACATGCCGTAAAAAAACAGAAATGTGTAAAACGGTGCGTAACCTTCATGATGCTTACTAGTAAAGTAGCTTCTAATTCTTCGGCATATCCCTTTTCGTTCTCCATGCAATCGTCACAAATGTAATAAGCCTAGAATCCATCATTACTTTTGATGTTTGAATTGGGGAAAATGTTTTAAAAGTATCGAATAAATTATAAATACATCAACGATGTTAATAACTCACTTCTGAAGAACTCACCAGCGACGTCGATCTGGCATCGTTGTACGTGAATTTGCATTTACAAAGAAGGCATGTAATGTTAAACTTGTTTTGTACCCCACCATCAATCATCGAAAGAAGCGAAAAAGTCGTTAGACGGTGTCTGGATCGAGAAATACCATTCTTCAACTCCCGTTTCTGAAATACTATTGCTTAGGCTCACTATTAATTACTTATCGTGTTCAGCCACAATTCATATAGAGGCGATCCCCGTTTAATGGATTTTGGACTTAATTTTCTGATTGGAGAATTCCAGAATTTAACCAAAGTACCTTAAAAGCAATTTTCGAAAGCAACGATGTACCCTTCCAAAAATACTAGTAATGATATATCGGACGCGAAAGTCTGAACGATACTTCGTAAAAACACTCAAATAAAGATTCTTAGATCCTTCATGATTAGATCTTTCTATACGAAAAACCTTCAGCTAATGGCCAGTCAGAGTGATTGCTGGTTTGAGAGTGCTATTTTCCAATAGCCAACAACACGCAATTTCTGAAACATTCTCGGATAGGTTCTTTCGTCATAACATACTCTTCCAGAAATAATTATATTGAAATATACGGTACGGAGAGATAACACGAAGGAGAAAAATAAGAGAATGCTTGCAAAAGAAATGGAAATAGATTAAGCCAAAAAAGATTCACTTCATGCTTTTGACCACTGCTACATTCAGAATCACTGAGGTCTTCTTTGACAAGTTCACCCACCAGCTTTTTGTCATTACTAACAATCATCATCTAAAAATATTAACTGAAGTATTCAGACGAATGAATTAATTTGATATGATCTAACCGCATTAAAATTTGTGTTATGATAGATGAATGCCGTGGAACACTTAAAAAACTGTTTCTGAACTGCGATCATTTGATCCGATAATTTACCATGTGCTTCGTAATATTGGTCTGACACAATTCACTCAAATCATAAGGCAGGAGATTGGTAAAATTTTTGTTCAAAAAAATAAGTTATTTGTCGAATTTGATTATTGGTATGTACCTTACGAACACATTTGCGGGTGCTTTCCTTTATGTTTTTCTCCGTGTAATTTATGCTTAATATTTCGCTCATCACAGCTCTCAACAGCAACTGCAAAATCTATTCTACATTTCAAAATATCTTGAAAGTTATTTGCAACAATATACAAAACATCGTGGTATCTTTAAGCAACAGCAAATATTACTCTCAGCAAAAATGAAGATACGATCTCTACAACATTATTTTCCAAAAAATCAAAAACTGACATTTGCTGACTCTTCCTGGTAAGGATAAAAGATTAAGTTTTAGTAGGAGTGACTTGATAAAGTAACGGATACTTCTGATATCCATTATATTTCCTTAGCGTTGCCATATAACATTAACGTTAAAAATCACTTTTATGAATGACGGTCAAAGGAAATTTCCATGTTCATTTCATGTTTCCGTCTTTGGCAGCGTTTTTGACGAATGCACAGAATACGAATAATAACAGCAGTACACTTAATGAAGATAATTATTCAAACTGGCTATAATGAAGATAGCAGTATCTGTAGAAGTGTCCCTTTCAGGTACAACCATCAAATGTCTATCACTTCCGTTCACTTCACTCAGTTCAGCCCATATAGGCAGAATGGTTAGATGTAAACGTACACCTAAATTGCATCCACATATTATTTGACGTATATTGCGCCTCAGCTCTACTAAAAATTATTAAAACAGTGTAGGGAAACAGGAAAACGTAGTTGGATTGACCAAGGACATACGCAATATGCACATATATGTGTTTGCTATGTACGTTATGTTCGGAAGAATGTATATGTCGGTATATTTGAAAGCATGTATGCATAGATGTGTATGTGATGTATAGTGCGTGTATGTGTATGTATGTGTATGTGTGTGCGTGTATGTGTGTGTATGCTGTGAAACAACCTCAGCACCAATCAGTGAGTACATAGCTATAAGTTTTTTTATTCTGTTCAATAGAATGGATGTTGAGAGAGATCGATTTGCAGGTGACCCATAACACGATAGAACTAACCGATCAATGCGTCGTCTGCTAGCAGTAGGGAGGCATTGGTTGGCCCTCCTCTACTTCCTACACTATTCGCAGTAGGAGCAGCAGCAGCAGCAGCATCGGTGATAGTAGTAGTAGTTGTAGTAGGTGGCAACAGGGATGGATGGTACTTGCTTCCTTTTGTCATTTATTTCAATAACCCACGCTTCAGCCCTCATCCCACTTCTCTCTCTCTCTTCAACTTCTATGGCTTGCAGCTCCACTACTAGTAATAGCAACGTTTCAAGGAAATTCACTTTGCGCTTCCAAGATTATTCGTATTTATGATCCAAAAAGCAGGACGAATGACGAGGACAGTTTGTAACTTCTATTTCTGATCGGTAGAAAGTAGAGCCGATCAAACCGAATACGATATTGAAGGATTATTCTCGATTTATGAGCTGATGAATATTGATGTATTAATGTTTATATACAGTATTTACTTTCACGTCGATCTGTTGCTTCCTCCTAGTTTACTAATGAATCTTGATACTTCAGCTGCCAAAAGTGTTTCATACTGTTCGACTAAATTCTGTTTTACAGTAGATGTAACTTTGAGTAGGTTCGATACTCCGAGCATACCGCATGCATATTTGACATCCGCAACACGGATAGCTCACTTTATATAGTATGTTTGTTTAAATAAAAGTCACTTCGTACTTTGTGCAGAATTATCATTTGATTATCCATCCCTCTTTGCTGATTAACTAAGCTGTTGATTGAATCGTTATGCATGTTCAGGTTTCCCAAACAGCGATCATTGCAAGTGACCTATCATATAGACAGTCTCCGTTGACAATCAAGTTCATATTCTCCTGATCAATTGATTGATGCTGTATCGGTAAGGCAAGGTAGCCGTACACTATTTCAGATAATATTGTTAAACAAAGCTACGAAGGCGAAAACCTTGTTAACTTGAAGACCCTTCATTTCTAAGCATTGCGAAAAATTGAATACATTCCTGTTTCTGATACTTGCTTGTTCCGCTGAGAGAAGACTTTCAGTCACAGGTAGGTGTCCTGTCTACTTATGAAATCCAGATTATTGCCGTGATGAAAATATCACATCACATAGTTCATTTCTTTCATTTATTGTAGATTGCTAATATACAACTGAGAGAAAACTGACCGACGTAATTATTAATATATAACCGCAAGAAAACTGACTGACATAGTGAGTATTTGTGCTATAAGTGCAAAAAAAGGCATTCTTAATAATGTGACTTGTGAAAAACAATAATGATCCGAACCTGAAGCAATGAGCAGAAGATTAGAATGTAACAAGTATAATATAAAATTATGTACAGTTTCTCAAACAACCAGAAACATGGTGCAAAAGCTTTCATGTCAAATGAATCTTCAAAAGCAGTACTTCACAAATACTCCGGAAAGGCACTGTGTCTAGCCCAAGAATGAATACTGAAGAGATACTGACACGTTCGTTGTCGCACACAAGGTTTCATTCAGAAAAGTAGAAAGCATAAGTGATCAGAAAAAACAGGGATAAGACGAAATGAAACAATCCTACTGAGCAAGCTTAATGTGGTTATAAACGCATATCTACTTCCATCTCTTATATGCATGCGTTGATAACCATGTATTCCGTACAGGACAACTGAAAATTTCTACCGGTTTTAATTAAAGACTCAAGCATGTAACGAGGGCAGGCAAACAATTTTCCTAATTAAGATGTACTAGAAAAAAAGTGCACTATGACATAAGGAACAACAAAAGGATTTGATTACAGAAAGAATCAACGACTGAAGGCTTGAGCTTGTTGGACGAAGCTACAAACTCCCTAACTCCAGGTACGAGTCTAACGTTATCTGACATTCAATTCATAAATGCTTAGTTAACAAAAGCGAACACAAGATGAAGACTGGTGCAATCGAATTGAAAACATACTATGGATTAGCAGATGAACATGAAACAAAATCATATCCCACTCTAGATAAGTTACTCTGCTGAAGGAATGTTTGAAGAGAAAAAAAGTGTTCAGAAATATCCAGTGCCATTTAAATTCATTTTGAGCAGCCATCGGGAAATGCATGTATATCACTCTTCCAAATAAATTTATCGACCTCCTGAGAAGTATGTTTACGAAAATACGAACTGCCTAACATATGCACTTCATCGTGCAGGTAGTCACATCCAGCTAACTGATGCGCAGATGGACGAAGCTCAGGATCGACGACTGTTAGCCAGGCAACGAAATTCTTCTAGAATTACAAGATTACATTACACTCAAGTTCAAGTTTGTATGCAAGGAAGGAGCTCTCAGGATTTTTTAAGCGGTGAAAAATACACGCAGTAACTTCATGAAAAAGCCTTTTCAAGCTCTGAGATGAATACATTTTTCTTTTTCCGACAAAAATTCTGTTATTCTGAGAAAAGATAGTAAAGGTGCCACTGACGGAGATCGAGCCTTTAAAAAGGTTTGAATTTATGTTGTAAACCTTTGGCAAGCGCCAATGTTTAAAAAATTGTTGGAACAAACTGAACGCATTCTTTACCTCTTTAGATGGAAGATTATCCAAGCATTTCGGCATGATGTCATTTTGTAAGCCGGACAAGATGCTATTACGTTCCATAACAGTTGTAAAGGGAACAATGAGCTCAACGAAAATAAGACCGAGTGAAAACACATCAACTTTCTCATTATATGCTTTGCCTTCCAACTGCAAGCAAAACAATAAAAATATCTACTAACAATGCAATATTGAAAACAGAGACATGATGCTGGGTAAAAAAAATTAAAGCGAAAAATTTTTAAAGCGAAAAAGTTTCAATGCGAAAAATTACCTGTTCTGGACTCATATACAGACGGGTACCAACATAACTCGTATGAGAAATATTTGTTATGACATCTTCTTTGCAGTCAGTCCTTTCTTCAGCATTAACATAATTTGTCACTAGACCAAGATCACCAATTTTCAAATAGTTATTTGCAGAAAAAAATATATTTTGCGGCTGCAATATGAAGCGTATATTAGACAGTAAACGACATGGGTGTGCATGACAACACTATTATCATTTATTACTTCCTATCCCATTACATTACCAAAAAAAACTCAGTGATTTTATACAGCCTCACTGTAAGATAGATGAAAATATTCAAAAACTACCTACCTTCAGATCTCTATGAATTAAGCCTTGACTGTGAATGTAATCAATGGCACAAACCAATTCTGCTAACCATTTGCGCATTCGAGTTATTTCACGATCTTCATATCTGTTATTTGCTAACAACCAACTGTGCAAAGTTAACTCTTGGCACAACTGAAGATGTCTTCAGATTAATTTTTACATTTTTATTTAGTCATTTTAACCCCGTCTTGTAATTTTTTAATGTAATTAACTTTAACTATTTGAACTGTAAAATAATACCTTGTACAAAATCTTAGAACGAAAAAGTAAAGATCACCTCCATCTGTATATAAAGGTAGACATAGTCTTTGATGTTCTTACAACTTTGTAAATCGCACACGCTTCTGACCAAAACAGCAGGAGGTTCAAGAGGATCTAGTGACTTGCCATTTCTTGATTTTTTTTCCGCAATTTCTTCAGTACTGCGCAAGGAGTTCCCACAATCAGCAAAGATTATGCCTGCTGAACCAGCACTTCCTGCTGAAAAACCCTGCGCTGCTAAATTTCAGTACGTCTGAATAAAACTATTTCGGTACTAGTGCAAAATCTATGAAATGAGTAGTGATCGGTCCATGAATAAGATACAGAAGTTCAAACTGCAGATAAAATAAAGATCAAATTACATAAGTTTGTTTTTTTGAATACAACATTAAACCGCAATATGGTGTAAAAAAAACTTTTGAGAATCATATAGTACAATGCCGGAAAAGTAATATATGTCGAACAAATGAAAAGTTAACAGGAAAATTTTTTGAAAGTAAACAAATTACTAGCTATGGCAGTGATTCCATGTCCAACAAACTCGTTGTCATTATCGACAGATGAGTCTGATTCTGCAGCTCCTCCTAATTCACTGCCATTATCATCATTCATCCATGAAAGATTATCGGTGTCACCGCTTGCACTAATACCTTTTTCGTCGGTAGACAGGTTCAAATTTAGTTCATGTAACAGTTCTTCATTAACTGAAGAATCCTAAATTACTCGAACTGCACTTACATGAACATGTCAACACTGCCCACATTCAGCGTTATTTTCTACTCGTGCGCTTCATCAGTAAAGATACAAAGATAAGAAGTCCAGTCTATAAGTCTTTTTTCTAAAAATTTGTGAATTCAAGGAATACATACTTTAGTTGTGAGATTTTTTGACTGGGTTGTACTCTGATCACTTTCCAATGTTTGTATTATGGATTTGCTTCCTGAATCTTCAATAGAGCGACTGAAAATATACTTTATAGTAAAAAGTAAAGTGAAAAGAAAACACGTTTGAGAAGTTGGAAAACATACATGTTCCGAAGAATTTCTTTATCTTTTGCTTGCTGCCAACCAGAAGGAGGTTTTTCCATCCAAGTATGGAAATAACGAATTATGCCTGGATGGTCAAGACGCGCCATTGCACGCGCTTCTCGTTTCACGTGATCAATTGCAGAAATTCTTAATTATTCGATCAGAAAAAACTTAAACAACACTGGAGTTCTGAATAGTTTAAAAAACAAGATTAAATAAATAAAAGCTCGCATCAACGATATAAAGAAATCAGCATCTCATCGGCAATGAAAAATATATAAACAAGTTGATATCATGTTAACATGTATTATCCTTGTAGTGTGCTATTAAAAAAACCGAAAATTTGAGAATAGTACACCCTTGGCAATATAAATGGGTGTAGTTGACAAGAGAACCTAATTTTGCTAGATGGTGTTCATCTAATACCTGGAGTCCTCTACTTTATGCAGCAATGATGATCATGGGAATTATATCTCCACAGCATTCATTTTATTATAGTTCGTTATAAATAGTAATCATGAGAAACATACGTATTGCTAACTGCGATTCGTTTAACAGCATAGCTCCGGTCATCTAATCGATTGCGACAATTAAAAACAACACCGTAACCACCACGTCCAAGCCACTTTTCGGGCACAAAGTCCTCGAGAAATCTGGAAATTCAGTTTAAAGAGAATTTAACAAACTAATTAAATTTCCATACTGAACAGATGTGGATTCTATTTTTAATGATCACTAGCGCGAACTGTTGATCTACACATCTTAATAAATATGCTAAACAACACATGTACTTGATACCTACTTCGATGAAAACGACCCTTGCGCAGAGTGAGAAGCTGCTGTGCTTGTTTTCTGATTCATCCCAGTACCAACAGATGCGCCCATACTCGGATATTTTGTTTTCTGGAGCGACTAGAAATTGCGTCTAGCAATTCATATTTTTATTTTGTATTTAGGAAGTAAATGTTATTCTATTCATTTATCAGCATATTCGTAATTTTCACTATCTGGATTTTCTTTAAGTAGATTAAGCATACATATGGAGAGCTATGCAGTGTAAATAACTGCACCTAACAATAAAACCAATTTTCATGACTATATACTACATCATAGCCCAAATCCAAATCCAGCTTGGCAATACCACTTTACATAAAATACCATGCTAGAGAAAATGTTACTCAGTAACTGATACAAATGCCTTTAAAAATTTTGTTCCGTCCATATTAGGGTCACAGACTCTCATTTGAACAAGTTCCATCTTTTGAAATGACCCCATCCAAAACCTTCGTTCACTAAAAAACTTGACATTTTTATGAAAATAGTTTAATTTTCAGGTTTTAACCAGTGATATTACAAATAAAGTGGAATGTGTGCCAGCTCCTAAAAGAGTGCCTATTATAATTTTTCTGAGCAGAAAACGAACTGGAAGTGAAATATTCGAATGCGTGTGAGATCTCTTCCTCAGATCATGTAGTAAAACAAATAATTTGAGATGCCGAATCTGCTGCCAATAAAATATAATAATAGCGGCAAATGAACTCGCAATTAAAGACAAGAAAAGTGCAACGATTTTCCTGAAATATCAATCATTACACGCCATAAAACCTAACAAGAATGTCACATAACACAGTTATAAAACAGTAGCTAGAATGCGAAATTATCCTCTTATTCAGATTTCGTTAATCGATTTTTTAAGATGAAAGGTACAGAAGGTATACCATCTAGAACAATAACATTTCCTTACCACCATCCTGAAACTGGTTCATAGGCAATCTGTTTCAGTTCTTCTAAAACATTCTTACGTCTACAAAGGTAATCATAAGAACTTCTCTTCTTTTTATTTATTTCTTGAAAAGGATTGTTTTTCTGGAATGGTTTGCGAAGCGGTTTGAAGATATACCAGCCATAATCACCTGAGTAATATATTCGTAAAATAAATGCAAAAATACTATTAATAATGTTAATTAATATTAATATCAATAAAAATTAATAATTACTACTTAATAATTAATAATTACTGCTAATATTAATAATTACTACTGCATAAAAGAAATTTCTAAGAGCTATGAATGAAAATAAACACTCAACATTATAAAGACTACTAAAGATGACTTAAAAGTTCAAAAGAAAACAAGGAAACGAACTATACACTGGTCTTCACAGTTGCGTTGCGACAAACATTTATGAATCTACTTATTTCTTGAAACTAACCTTTCGCTTCACCGTTTTCTTTAAGCTTTTTGCTGCCAGCAATGGTAATTGCATCATGTACATCACATGTTAATGATTTCGAGGTTGCTGAGTCTCGCGCACTATCTACTTGATTAACTTCAACTTCTCTTCGGGTCGTTCTATACGATCGCCATATTAAATCGCCTGCAACCAGGATAATGAATAGTCTTTTTCTACTACAGTAATTAACATGAATTAATGAAATAAAGCTGACTATTGTAGCATTTTTCCATCAACAAACTTACCAACTTTCAAATCTTCCAAAAACGGTGCTCTTGAGTGATAAAATGAATCTAATGTTCGGGGATAATACTCCATTTTAATATCCGTAGGTGTACGACGCAGTTCTCGCATAAACTCCGAAGGTATAATATACGGCTCTGAGTTAACTGTTCCTGAAAAATTACCCTATCAGTTGATGGAATGCATCTAGGTTTCCGCAAAATTAAATGAACGTGCAAAGAAACAAAAAGCAGTTTTTACACTAAATCAGTGAACCAAATAAACATATGTAATCTATGAATAAAAGAAATTGTTTGTATAAGCAGTTTAAAAACATTTCCAATAAATGATTCGTCACTTCTTGTTTACTTTCATAGCCAAAAGAGAAACAAAGTTCCAATGCTGTGCAATTTGCACCATTACACAGTCAAAAGTTAAGTGAAGCTCATCACCTTTAGTACTTTTGATTAGACAGTAACATAATCGCTGATAGGGACCAAATTCCAAAATTTTAATTTCTATTAAAAAATTTACCAAAATAAAACGGTGCTTCATATTTAGAGGTAAAATGATGATCACTTCCACTAAAATCGCTTAATGCACTTATAGTTTCAGAAGAAAATAATGATATCTGAAAAAAAAAAAGTTTTAACTACTGTTAATGGGAGATGCTCTGTACACAACTGTTTCTTAAAATTTTTACTGCTTTGAATTATTTGAAGTTCTCGGTTAGGAAAAATATCATTTAATACTTGAAACCATCAGCAAAAATTCCCAGTTACAAATGATGATAAATGTATCCGTCAACAAAATATGAGCACCAACCTCGAAGATTCTGCCATGCGATAATTGCCAAGCTTTAGCTACTGGGCTTGACAGTCGCTTCTCCCATTTCAAATTCCCGCAGTTATCAACTGCTGAAACACTACCACTTGGCGGTTCCAAAAGAAAACTGATATGAGCAGGTACGCTAGCCTGTTCAAAACGAAGTGAGTGGTCGGATGAAACCAGGCTAATATCATATTCACCAACTGATAAATTCCATCTGAAATTTATCTTTACTAAGTCATAGCTTCCGAAAATTCTTCAGCTGAACCAATCAATAGTTATTCATGTATGCACCTCTCCGTTCCAGTAACAGGATCAGCAGCTCGAGCAACTTGTGTATTTTTTCGCATAATAAGGGTATAACGCGATGAGTCGTTGGTTGTGATTTCGTACTGCATACATTTTCCTGCTGTACATCGATATCGTATCTCAAAAATTAGAGCATACAATTTATAAGTATAAAAACAAACGACGTAGTTCAGTTCCCATTTGATACTTCACACACTATGAAATGTAAACATTTTAAATCATGATTTTAGCATGAAATACCTTGCCAGTAAGAGGATCGATTCCAGTAGATGTTACAAATATCCCGCCAGTAACCTCATCATTCCCAATCATTACCCGCGCATTAGCACCCAACGGAATTAGACTCAACAAACTACTTTTTACATTGAGCATATATAACGAACCATCAAGCGATGGTACCAAAATGTACGGAAAATTATCGGCAACTAACTGAAACATTCGAAATACGACCAAAAAATGTAGATCCAGATAACAATTCTAATACAAATATAGCTAAGAAAAATTATCTTTAAGACAAAAAAGGGAAGTAGGAATATTACAAAGCCAACATATTACGCTTTTTAATTTTGTGGAAGACGTACTAAGAGCGTTGGGATAAAGTGAAGCACTGATCAAAATGTGCAAAAAAAAAAATAGTTTTTGAGTAAAGAAGCTTTCACAATACATATATTACACATTTTAAAAACATGTGGCCACATCTTGAGTCCCTTTTTGAAGAACAGTTCAACACCTTATCCGACGAGTTCTGTAAAGCGATGCATTTCACTGATAGAAAAGAAAATCCAACTGATCAGAATGATTTTTATAGTAAAAGAAAGTAATGTTATAATTACAGTATTACTTTTTGTTGATTAAGTGAACTCGATAACAATGGCATTTTATCAGCATCCACTGTCCACACCACTTCACCATTTTTTTCGATATCCATTGCCGTTATTTTGCCATCTGTTGTGCTTGCCTAAAAGACATGACACATTAGTTAAGAGAAATATATTCAGGAATTCCAATAATATGTCTTTTGTTTCGCGTTATAAAAATACAAACTCTTACCAAAAGATAATGTTTACTGATGAAGCTAGCGTTGCCAGTGGCACAACATTCCACGGAAGCCCGTTCCGGTGACAACTATAATGGAATTTGAATATGTCTATTACCAAATTTCGTTTGTACGTGTTATACAATAAGAACTAGATGAACTATCAGTAAACCGGAAGTGTACAACCCCACACTATCTACACGACGATCTACATTGCTTTCATTTATCTAATTATATGACATTCTACATTCTATATTGTGATGAAGAAATCAAGATTGGAAAAGATTCAAACAAACCTTTACTTCTCCGTCATTTTCAACAAGTGTAACCTCACCATCGTGGGTCAAAGAGGTGCGAAAGAAGACGGCAAAGAGTGAAACCACTGTTCCAGTAATCAATAAAACGACCGCTCTCCGCATTACTATTTGATTTTACGAGAATATAACTGACGCTTTTAAAAAAAGTTCATCTCGAAATCGAAGATGACAGCACTTTGATTACATACCGCTGCTGTACATTTATATAGATATATGTGTTTCCACTGAGGCACCAAAACAAGAAGTCCAACAATCCTTAAATTAGCGCATGCAAATTTCTCAAGCCATAAATTAAATACGGAAATCACTCACTGACCATTACAGTTCTCGCTAATTAAGAGAAGAGGAGCTACATTCAACTAGTAAACGAGAATTAAGTTGGCGTCGAGGTTGGTTGGTACCATCTTAAGAATAACCGCAAATCTCTTCAAACTCTTTGTGGCTGCGTTTAGGAATACGTGTTTGGGAAAAATTTACGTGATATTAATTCAAAACAAAGTGCGGAAACATTTGCAAAAAAAAATCACACTGAATGAAGATGATGTAACACGAGGCACTAAACTGACAGTCAACGTATATAGCCATGGACCTCCCGCACCTCCTCTAAGAAATGCCTAAGCTCCGGTTACTCATTTTCAATCTCATGCAAGAGTTTTCTCTGTAAGAACATTTCTCCAATTTGTACATTCGCACCGAAAAGTAATTTACGGTTAGTCTTTGTCACGAATTTTTACAGGGCTGATGCAAATCAGAAGGACAGGGAAGCGGGATATTTGGATACCGGAGATATAACAAAACGAGCATAACAAAACGTGATAACGGAAGAATTGGTACTTTTTAACTTCGCGAACTTTTACTCGACATGAACGGTAAGCAAAGACCAAAATTGGGATCGATGAACCAAAACAAAGGATTGGAAACGGGTTGGTACAATCTTGTGTCTGTCCAAAACATCCAAGATAGGGAAACTGTCGTTACTAGAAATAATATGAAAAGAACCGTCATAGCAAAAGAATAAAACATCACTGAGTATTCTCTTTGTAGGACACAACCACTGAATGGCGTAGTAGAGAGACTGTTATAAGGTGTCGTTGGACATATCAGAAATTCATGATGGTTTATTTCACATCATTTTTAATAATAACTGTTTGCACAATTTACATTTTCCCATATAAAACTTTCAAGACGATTAATCGATTAAATTTTAAAGTATAAGAACAACTTATTCAATGAATTATCACAGCACAAAGGAAAAGTAAGAGTCCATTAAGTTTGCTAAACGTTACGATAGTGGCAGTTGAGGAAACTTTGCAGTGATCGGTAATTTACTGGAACTAATAAGTAAAAGTAGGGAAAACGTGAGTAGTCGGAAGGGGAGATGGAAAAACGTGAGTAGTCGACTATGATAATTAAACATGTACGTGTAATTAATAAGTAGACAAAGTTGTCGTTTGATGAATAAACATGAAGGACTTAAGATATTTTCACGTGGTTTAGTTTCCCATTAAAAATCTTCTGAAAGATATGATTAATTTTTCCCAGTTTTTGGATAAGTAGGAGGAAGTTAAGAGTCTTGCGCTTAATTTTGATCACTTTTTCGGGAAAAAGTCTAATTGAGGTTTTTCAAACTTTCAGGTATGTGTTATTATTTTCAGGAATGAAATAAGTAAGTGAGTGAGAGGGAAATATTGCAATACCTTTTCTCCTTTACTCATTGTATACGCTTTATTTGAAAAATAACTACAAAATCGGAGAAATTTCATTCACAGGTCACCTGTTATCTTATTTTAAAGTTTTGGCCGTTAGATTAGCTGTTTTTTAAAACCTCATTATTTTCTATTTGTCCTTCTATTGTGTCCCCTCCTTTTTTTTTTTAAAGCCATCTTATTGATGAAACCCTATAATGGAGGCCATCTCAAACTTGTTATAGTATTTGTTCACACCTTATTTGTTGAAGCGAATAATGTTCTGTTTATGAACAAAGGAAAAATCCAGTTAATCGTGAAAAAATTTAATTTGACGGGCTCTTTTTCTCATACGGCATAGGAAAGCTGTCAGCATGTGATAAGCTGGAAGTCTAAAACATATATGCTTCATCAGCATAATATTTGAATTAATCATGTAGCAAATCTATTTTGCATTTGTAGTTCGTAAAATGTAAAACGAGAAAGGATGTTATTCAGAATAAAATTATCCTTGTGAGATCATTGCCCATAACTGATCATATTATAGTTATCCCCAATTTTAAAAATAAAAATTACTAAAATGGATGAATAGCTTGGAAGTAGGGCTGTTAAATGCTAAGTGTGAAGGGAATTTGGAGCTTTGGACAGCCCTTCTAATCATTTATCTGTTTTCACATAGGCTTAGACTCGTTGTTTCCACAAATTATTAAAATGATATGCGTTAAATATATTAATTATGAAGTATTAATAATCTTGAGTGGATTTTGCTCTTCTAGAATCTCCGCATGTGACATATTTCGTTTTCTTCTTCGTCTGCATTTTACCATTATTTTAAAATTTCCTTTTTACTATCAACATACAAAGGACAACTTGTGATTTTGACTGATTGCTTGTTAGTTGTCGCCGATTTCTCTTAATTCTCACTTTTTTCTTTTTTGTCTATTTTGTTGTTATTTCAAATTAAATATTTGTAAATGTTTGCAAGGGCAAATCACTGTATTGCATTTCACTGTATTAGTTAATATGATGTGTGCAAACAAGGGTTGCCAAATTCTGAATCTCATTAATCGTATCGTCCAATCCATTCGACGCTTGCTAGAAGGACTAATAGCACCGGTATGGCTTTGTTTGTGTCCTGCTGGTGCAACCAATCTGCCTCACTATGTCGCGTTGTGCTCTTGAAAGTCTAGAAGGTATGTTGTATGTGTGTGCTATCGGTCCTGGATGTTGGATGTGCTACGAGCAGCGTTGTTCCATTCTAAACTTTACTCTTTAGTCATTATCACTGCTACCTCCTTGTGGTCATTTATCATGCGTGCACGCTAACCTTCTGATATATTTCCATCCCGGCGATAAATGCGAGACATTTTGATTTTTCATCTTTTTGTCCCTAATCGATATGCGAAAGGGTGGCAATTTTCTCTCCTTATCCCAATTAATTTCGAGCAGTATCCAAGAGAAGGACTGAAGGCATTGTTTGAGTCCATCTTTCTGCTTGTGACCTCTTCCTTCATCCGCTGTTAAACTTATGCTCTCTAACAAATAAATACTTGAGTAAATCGCAGCACGCAAGCAGCTTTTATCTATTTCAGAATTCATTTCTCATCAATAGCCGCCGTTCGAATAATTGTATTTGATTCCAATGATCCCTGCTGTTTGGTGAATGATGTCTTTGTATGAATCAGAACCAGTTTGTTATGCATGTTCGTTCGTTAGGAGTTGTTAAATCTTGAGAAACATATAATACAAATTAGATAGATTACTATATAGAATAGAAATTTGTATTAAATGGATATGCTTCGCTACGATGTGAAGATCGAGATTTCAAGTTCAGCGTCATGTTTGGAATATATCGTTTTTACCTTTTAGATCAAAAAATGCTTTTACACCTGGGCACATCCTATCTCAGAATATTATCCTCTCATAGTTCTGCATATTTCTACTAGTCTTTACCAGTTTTCTATCAATACCCACTTTAGAAATGACTCACTATTTTTAATTTGCGTGACATGAATATAACTAAATATGAGTAAAAATATATAGGTGAATATGAAACATAATGAGGTATGAATTAAGTCATGAATGCAAATTGAATAAAATTATAGTGCTGTCACGTCTCCTTTTTATCGCTTACTGTCTTTTGTAGATCAATAGATTTCATTTTATTTCTTTTTTTGGTCCCCTGTCATGTCATAGTTATTATTCCCAAAATAATAATTTTTATAGCTCATGATTCACATTATAAGATTTTTTTCATTCTTTATTATAGAAACTTGAAACCCCTGCATATCGTTCATCCCAAAGCATTTTGTAGCGTCAGCAGTCTGTGTTGTCCCCTTCTCTTACTGTGGACTGAAATTGTAACTAGCGAGCTATCTTTCGTTATCCATACATTAAATCTGAGCTCGTCGGCCTAGACTTTTGGCTTTTTGATTTAAGAAAATAATTTGTCAGACTCGAGTGGTGGTCCGGTTTTTTGAATGACAGAGATCCGGGAACATGCAAGTGTAGAATAAGGCGTATGACCTCTGTGGAATTGTTGATGGAACTTAAATGTGAAATTGTTAATAGAATTTGAGATGTGAAATTGATCAAATGTTAATGTCTCTTTTTTTATAATATCTGCTTCCACAAAAAATCTTTGCTTTTGACAGTGAGAATTTATTTGGAAGGTTACGTAAAATCTGGCATTCGAGTACGTCCTTTATTTGGATGATATTTTTTACAAAAAAGACTTATGAGTATGATCAACATTTGATATTTACATTTTGCTGCCTTCCTCAACTTGGCTGAAAACATGATTATAAAATAATCCAGAAGCAGCAGAGAAGTGCATGTAATGTTGTAGACAAACAGAGATGTTATCATGAATATGTGTAACCGTTTGGTATGTCGAGCTGTTTGCATCAGTAACCTTTGCAATTTTGTGCTTTGATTTCCCTCAAAACTCTGCCATTGCCTCCCTTATTCACTTCGACTTTTCTAGTATTTCTGATTTCCTATCAATTGTTCATATTTTCATTAGCAAAGGGTATCATTTTCGGGAATCCTCACTTCGATATCATTTACAAGAAATTATTTTCACTACTTGTGATTCGAATTACATTTATTTTAAAATGGAATCGCATTTTTTTACTCTCCGAGTACTACTGGGAATAAGCCTATAGACTAATATATCAAAATGACATTCATTATTTCTGTTATTAATGAATATAAATAATTGTAAAATTATTGCAGAAATTTTCACGAGAAGTTAAAAGTACTGAAACTAGAGCTTTTTGATATATTTTATATGGACCTCGAATTAGGGTGGTCCAGTATGGTATATTTATCCTTCTACATTACCTCTCTCGCTTCTTGTTTTCTTTCCTATTTTGGTCCGACAGTTTATTTTTTAGTGATAAGTTAACCATCGCTTTTGGAGACTTTTTTATGTATAAGCGTTGAACAGAAGAGAAGATAATGATCTTTCTTTATCTTTAATAGAGTCTTACCCTTGAAATTATCGGTTTATTAGTTAAGACAACTGGAAACGCTCTATTCTACAATTATGCACATTTTTCTAACATTTTTATTCCTTCAAAGTTTTGAAGATATTCTATGTAGTTAGTGCAATAAAGGATGAAAAATGCCGAATGCAATTTAAGGAATGTTATAGGCAGTTTTGATAATGACTGCGCAGCGAGTAGAATCAGGAGTTTGGAATTCTCAATCGCCAAAAGTTTTTCGCATTTCATCGCTAAAATATTAAAATATTTTGTATTCAGTGAAATTTAGAAGGCGTGTGATCCTAAATTGCTTTTGAATTTTTAATTGTTTTGAACACAGTTTTCTTGTCGTTCTACTGTTTGCCAGGCATTCTAAAAATCAGTTTCTGCCAATTTGACCTCACTAGTAGGAACCACTTATCCTTGTGTGTATTCCACTGAAATTTAATGTAATATTGTTTAAGCGGAATAGTGAAATTTATAGCTCTTCAAAATACCGAAAAAACACTTGAGGAAATTAGAAATACATTACAGACGTAGCCTGCTAGTGTGTTTAATTCGTGATAAACTTTGAATTCGAAACTGTTTCTGCTCGCTTCAACAAATCAAAAAAAAAATTGTCAATCTTGAGATCACTTGAAAATTTTTATTAGGACAAACGGAAATAGCATGTGGTTTAACTATTGACATCATTCTCCGAAAAACGATAAAGAGCTTCTGTTGATAGGGAGTTCCACAATATTCACACAATGTTCTAATTTTTTGAAACATTCGGTTCGGAGTGTGCATTGCTTTTATTATATTTTGTAAGGTCCAAGTTTGAGAATCCATAAAACTAATTTAACGCTCTATTAACATGTTAACTGTTCCGGTGCTATTCCCACAAATGGTTTTCGTAATAATACTTGTGTAATACAGGATTTGACTGAAATCATAGTCACCATCAAATTTTTCGAAGTTAAAAAATGAATTGTGAAAATGACAAATGTCTTCATTTTTCATTTCCACAATTCATTTTTTTTGAATTTCTTTATCCGGCCGTAATAGATTTTGAATATGGTCATAAAATCGTTTTTAGGTTATTTACTCCTACCACTCTGTGATATCTGTAATTTCTTGCGTATTGGTTGTTCACGCCTGCTGTGGCTTTTTTTGTAAATCAAAGGTTCCTTGATTAAGTATGTTTCATAGTTAAGTGCTAAAAATCTGCTGATGCTTTTGAACTGGAAAGGAACAGTGATTTGCCGAGGTATATTTTACTATGATCATTTGTGAGAATAACGATTTAATAACGTATAGGTCTCGAAGTTACGCAAGTCTGTTATATTATCTGCGAGAGGAAATTTGATTTCAAAATTCAAACTGTTTGTTGCATCACTTTTTTATTCAGGATTTATAATATTCAAGAGATCTAATTAGAAGTTAAAAAAAACTGTTATTTTGACACTTGTTTGAGGCAATGGCATTTGAAATAGCAGAGAGTTCTTTGTCTTCCTTGCAATTGTCGTCTAGATTTTCTAGATTTTTCAGTTTTGTCAGTGCGATTTCTCAGAGTTGGAAAACTCTGTTTGAATCGGTCAAGTCTTAGGACAGTTTGCATTGCTTTTACCGAATTACAGTTTCTCAGATTTCTTGTTAATGTAAGCTAATTGAAAGGTATTGGTCAGTGCTTTTTTTGCGCTTTTTGATGTTGCCTCGAATAAGTGGATTTGACATTTATTTTCGATTTCAGGAAAATAACAAGTATGGCTTCTAAGGAGAGCATTAAACCAATAAATGGTGCTTGGTTTGCTGAAGGGACTCAGGTTTGTTGGGAAATTTCTTTTATGATAGATAATTGATAAAATAAGCTAGTAAATATCCATTTGGAGAAAAGACTATCAGGTCAATACAGTTTGTAACTATGATAGATAATTGATAAAATAAGCTAGTAAATATTCATTTGGAGAAAAGACTATCAGGTCAATACAGTTTGTAACTATGGTAGATAATTGATAAGATAAGCTAGTAAATATCCATTTGGAAAAAAGACTATCAGGTCAATACAATTTGTAACTGTGATTCATTTCGATTTACAGAGTGACGCAAATACAGATCCACAACCAAATGTTGTTAATGGCAATCAGTCATCAAGTAAACTATTGCCCGTTGAAGATAATTCGAAAAGAAATGGCCGCGGTATATTTTCTGGTGTCATTGAAAAATTTGGCGCAATGTTCTTATTAAGATGCTTTTGCATGTTGAATATAGTTTGAGCGTCTACTTTCAATATTCCATTTATATGATCCGTTTATTTCCATTTCAATTAATGAAGACTGAACAGCAAGAATCGTCCGAAAAAACATCAAAAATAATTTCTAGTCAATAAAATCATAAAATCATTGGTATGGAATTAAATCTTGACTTTTAGCGAATCCGGATGATACAGAAGCATATAATGGCGAAATTATTGGTGATAAATGCAATCATGACAACTCTCCGGATTGCTGCCACAGTGTGTTTGTATCTTTTCTCAGCATTAGAGTTGTAGTCTTATGTGGCGCTTCTATTTAATGGGAAAGAAAAAAAAGCTGTGCGTATTGGTCACTTCAATTATAACATAAGTGAACTCAGTGGTCGAAAAATTAAGCGTAAAGGTGAAGTCTATAGAGACAGTTTTGCTACGTCGGTTGTCGGTACATGTGTAATGCTGATATTTGAATTGTGAATTTGTATCTTCAAAGTATTTAAATCATCTTTCAAAATCATTTAAAAAGTTTATTCTGGTCAGTTAGAAGTAACAAAGCTGTTGGATGCGCATTCTTCGCGCTATGGGAGAGTACAGTTGAAATGGTGACTCTAACTCATGATACCAACGTTTTTTTCATATTGAAGGTGATAGAAGTGGTTCGGAGGAAAGAGACTTGAACGATGTGTTACCGATACCACCAGACGGTGGTTATGGATGGGTGATCGTATTTGCTGCATTCATGTCAAACTTTGTGGTTGATGGTATCGCTAATTCGTTTGGTGCCTTCATGAGTATTTACCAGGATTATTTCAATGCATCGAAAGCTTTGGTTTCGCTAATTGGTTCTCTACTGATTGGTTGTTATTTGCTGATCGGTTAGTTTTATCGCAATATTTGAGGAAGTATTGCAAAATTTTCATTGAAAGAATGCAATTTGTAGTATAAAAATTGAATTCAAGGACCAGTTGCTGGTGGACTGGTGAATAAGTATGGCGTTCGAATAGTCGTCGTAATTGGTTCATTTGTGGCTGGTTTATCGTTTTTAGCTTCAATCTTTTGTCCGAATATCTACATGTTTATGATTTTCTATGGATTTCTTGGAGGTAATTCATTGAATTTTGTTTACATTAATACAAAAAAATGAAACAATTTTGTCGAATCAAACGGCACTTCATCATTCATTATTGTTATTGGCCAGTGGAACGGAAAGTGTTTAAAAATAATGACGAGTGGTAGTGGTATAGGTATGTGTTATTTATAGGGGCTGGTTTTGGGCTCATTTACCTTCCTTCAATCGTTACTGTTGGTTACTATTTTGAGAAGAAGCGTTCGATCGCGACTGGCATTGCTGTTGCTGGTTCAGGTGTTGGAACGTTTGTGCTTCCTCCACTATGCATAATCCTCATCAATAGTATGTTTTAATGCTTGCAAATGAAGAGATATTCATAGTAATACAATTAGATAATTTCCTTTTGGGAACTCAATGTACTGTAGGAAAATTCTGATAAAATATTGAAATCCCATAAATGAGAACTAAGATGTAAGTTTATACATTTAAGGTAAGAGGTAAGCAGGATGATAAGGCGATACAGAAGAATGGTTATTCGAAAACTTTTTTAAACCGTGAAATATAACTGAAATGGGAAATTCCAGAATTTGGGTGGAAGATTGCTATATGTTCACTTGCTGCTTTAAGTTTTTCGAGTACTATTTATGGATTACTGTACAGACCACTGCAAACACCGGTGATTAAAAAAGAGGAAAAAGCGAAAGCCGATGTAGAAGAACCGGTTTGTATATGTAGATATATATAATTTAATTTAATTTGTTCATTCAAGTAACAATAAAATAGAGTGAAAATTTTATGTGGATAGTTCCTTATATTAATTTATTGTAGCTTCTGAAATCGAGAAGGAAAGGGTGGAAACCAAATGGTGATGATAGTAAAGGTTAGACTAATTATTTTGCATTCTTGTGATTGGGCAATCATTATTTCAACAAAAGTAAGAAATTGATTCCGTTTAAAACTTTTTCTGAAACTATTACTGCAATCATTATTGGTAGTGACCATTATCACTTTGAGTCAACTTCTTCCAGCTCGCAAAATGTTTACAGATAGTACAGCAGAGGAAAATCAGCTTCAAAAAATCATACGAGTACGTAACACCCACAGTGAATGTGAAACACACAAATTTGACGAGACGACTCCATTGACACCGGTTGCTGAAAATATGACTGACAAAAATCGTGGTACACATAGTGATTCAAGTGAGGGGTTGGCAACGAAAACAAGAAGAAATCCGAAACAAAGGTTTATGGCAGGTAATCAATATGAGATGGATGAGTTTTGTGTTCGGACCAACAATCGGTGCAACGATTGTTTTTCCTCCAAATCTGATGTTTTTTGCTATTCAAAAATTCAAAA